CGAGAGCTACGAATATATACTCTAGAGAACTAAGTTATACTATTCTTTAAGTTTATTCGTACGCGAAGAATAAGTAAGAAACTAGGTAATTAGTTCTTAGGGCCTTTTAAAGTACTTAAGGTAGTAGGTTAGAATACCTATATACTAAAGCTACTAACGAAGTATAGAAGGCTATATAATATATTCTACGTATCGTTACTAGAATTATATTATATACGACTCGAGAGCGAAAAGCCTAGGCCTATCGACGTAGATAGAGATAAATAGTAGAAAGTCGAAAATAGGCTGCGCAACGGATTGGGTTAGATAACCCGTAGACCTTTTATAGCCCGAGCAAAAAGCCCTATAGGGTTTTTAGTCCTTATAAAAACTCGATTAACTAAAAACCCAATAGGGTTTATATTCCTATTAGGTTTAGTCTTAGCAGCCTAAATTACTAAAAATAGAGATTATTACTTAGATTATTACTATTTTTAGTAAAAAATATACTATTTATAGTAATTATTTCTATTTTTCTTAAAAATAGTCTATTTTTAGTAACTCTTAGTAGCCCTATTAGGTTTTAAACCCTATCCTCTTTTTTTTTAACCCGATTAAAAAACTCGTTAGGTTTTTAGCTATTTTAGAAACTTAATTAATTTAACCCTATTAGGTTAGGTTCCGGGTTTTTAACTAGGTTTAGCCTAACTCGTTACGTAGCCTAGTCGAAAAGATTCTCGACTACTAGGATACTAAGGTAGAACGCCGGTATCTAGTTAAGTAGAAGGATTTCTCTAAGGTAGAAGATACCTAAGAATCCGCGGAATATCTACTAAACGCGGACGAGCTACTCGCTAAGTTTAGAGAGATATATAATCTTTAAGGACCCGAGTAGACGAGATTATAAGTAAAAATTAGAAAGTAGAAATAATATAAAGATATCTTTATAAGGCCTATTTAGGGTATAGTATATATAAAGTATATAAGATAACTACTACTTAATAGCTATAGAGCTAAAGAATAATAAGAAGTTAGAATTTAACTTTAAAAACTTATAAAAGTAGAATATAAGATAAAAAAGTATACTATTAGTATAGTAGAGTAGTACTTAAAGCTAGAAATCTACTTAAAGCTAGGACTAGAGCTAGAGTAATAATTAGAATTCTTAGTAGGACTATTAGTTCTAGAGCGTTTTAAAGGTATAGTAGGGAATTTAGCTACGAATCGTTTATAAGTTACCTACTTTATAAGTTTATTTAATAATAATTATTTTAAGTTAGTAAAAGTATAGAAATTCCTATTAGTAGTACGAAGCCGCTTATCCTTATTACTATTAGTATCTATATAGAAGTATTATCGTACTCGTCTAGTAGGCTAGTTATCGGTAGCTTTAATCTTAATATCCTCTATTATTATATTAGCTCTAAGCTTACTAGCGGTTAAATTATATAAATTTCTCTTAGGCTAAGGGAGTAGAGTAATTCGGGCCTAGAGAAAGTATTAATATAAGGAAAGTATAGAGGTAGTAGGAGAATCTATAGCTTAAGCTTAGACTTTAGCTAAAGTTCTAATAGTATTAAGTATTAGAAGAGATATTATAGAATTAGGATTCTTCTTATCTAGTTTAATAATCGAGAAGCTTATAAATTTATTTCGAGATATAATACTAGAAGTAATATAGCGGGCTATACGATTAATTACTTCTATAATAGAACGATCTAGTATAGGATTAGTAAGGGAATAGCTAGGGAAATAAAAAGCTTACTAGAGTAAATAATCTAGCTAATACTTCTAGGCTTAATAGAATCTATAGTAAACTTAACTAGAACCCTTATAGTATAGATTAAATATAAGGATACCTAGGAGGTTAGTATAGAAATAGTATAAGAAAAGGAAACTTACTACCTTATAAGTATAATCCTAGATTCTATACTAAGTATATTTCCTATTCTTAGTCTTATATTAAATCTCTCTATCTAAAATAGAGTTAGTATATATCTAATATAAGAAGAGTAAGCTTATTCTTATTAAGTAATACTTAGTTATTCCTTCTTAAGGATCTTATATATCTTATATAAATATACTCGATAATCTTATTACTAATATCCCCTTAAATTAATAGAACGAAGGCTCGACTAGGTAGTATACTAAATAAGTACGATTAGTATACTAGGTTAACTTTAACTATTCTAGGAAAAAAAAAAAACTTATATAGAAATTCTAGATAGAGATAAGAAGATAAGTAGCTAGTATACTATTAGTAGAGAAAAAGTAGAGGGCTAACTATAAGACTTATTAAGGGGGGGGTCTTAAGGAATAAGAGATATAAAAAAAAAAGAAGAAGAAAAATAGAGTAGAGGGAGGTTAATATACTCCTTACCTAGAGACTAATTACTAAGACCTTAACGAAGATTAAATAGCGAGGACTAAATAATTAAAAAGTTTAGCCTTATAGGTATAGCTTACTATATATACTATACTAGAATATAAGAAGTACGCGAAGTTTCGCTAGAATTAGGTAAACTAAAGTAAATATAGAATAATCCCTAAGAGTAGAATAAATTAGGATTAAGAGCGACCCTAAGATTAAGGAAATATATTACGTTTTTTCTAATATTAATATAGAACGTATATAGCGCTATACTAGAACGCTACTTCTTACCTACTACTCCTATACTCGAGGACGAGTATACTTCGAGGGAGGAGAGTAATTATTACGGAATAGGACTACGATAGACTCTAGAAGTACCTATTTTATACTAAGACTAGTCCTAAAATATTAAGGGGCCTAGTATATAAGACCTTAGGAGCTATACGGATCGTATACGAGGTTTTTAGACTTCTTAAGTTCTTATAGTCGATGTTCTAAGGACTATATAGTAATTAATCGATTATCTTAGTATTCTCGTTAAGTTACTTATACTCTTATAAGGTCCTTAATAGTTATCTATAGCGTTAAATATACGAAGTTAATCTATAATAATAGTTAGGAGAATATATTTCTCCTTAATCGACTATAAAGGTACTAAAACTATACGGCTTTACTCTTATCTACTCGGTTAACGGCGAGCTTTACTCGCGCTTATATTAACTACGAACGAAATACCGCCCTCGTTCTATTAAATTCGGATAGCTCCGGAAGCTTATCCTTTCGTCGTACGACTACGATTCCTATAACGACGTCCGCTACGATTATTAATAGTATTATCGCCCTCGATAGAATAGTAATATCCTAACTATTATTTCGCTACTAGAGCTACTACTCTAGTACTACTATACGTTAATTCTATATAACTATCTATTCGTTCTACGTCTAAATTATTTAAAATAATTATACTATCTACTATAGAAGAGCTTTCGTTAGTACTACCGATATATTTATCTTATACGATAAGAACTCTTTCTCTTAACTATATAATAGAGAGCTTAACGTAATATAAGAGTTCTAATAGAAGCTTATTTAACTACTATAGGACTTATTTAATAAGGACGTTAAGCTAAAGGGAAGAGAGAAAGAAGTCCTACCGCTATCTATAGAGAGATATAATCTCCTAGGGTAGGTCGTTCGGTATCCTAAGTAACTATTAGTATTACGTAATATCGTCCGGCTATATAACTATATAGTCGAATCTAGGTATCGCTAGTTTAGTCTTAGCGTCGCTCGCTAAGATATCTATTAATATTACGTAATATCGTTCGGCTGTATAACTATACGGTCGAATCTAGACGTCGCTAGTTCTTACTAAGACATCCTACGGGTTTAACTCGTAATACACTACGAGTAATCGCTCTAGGGAGTACTCTAGAGCTTTATACGGGTTTAACCCGTGATAAATAAGCTCCTATTAAAACCCTTATATTTACCGTCGTAGTAGCGCGAATACTCGTATATCGGCGATTTTAGTAGTCGGATATCGCTTAGAGTATCCTAGTCTCTCGATTTAATACTATTTTATTATATAAATATATTAATTAATAGAGTAGGAGAGTATAGAAGAGGAGGGAGTAGTATTTAGAACGCGTAAAAACGCGTATTTTATTACTAGGGTATTTCGTTACGTAGTCCCTAGACTTATTAACTTCGATAATTCCGCATAATATACTACTCCTAGTGTGTCTTTATAATAATATAGTTTATAATTTAAATGAACTATACGACTTATTATTTCCCTCTTAATAGTTGTATTTATTGAGTAGCTATAGGAAGTTACGATGAAGGAAGGTTAAAATAGTAAAGCGATTAATAGGATCGCCGAGATATAGTTATCCTCGAATGCTATATTTATAGGATGTTTAAAGTGCCTTACTATTAAAAGTTAATTATTATACGCCGATCTACTTTTCGTTAGTGGTTGGCTGTAACGATAGTGGCGTGATTCTAAAATATCCTTGTCCTCATCTGACCTGGCGGCTCCTACTAAGAGTTTTAAGTTGCATATCCAGGAGGCAAGACCGCCGTTGACTCGATAGCCGCAACTAATCCCTCATACAACATGTATTTAGAAGCAAGCTAGCACAATAAAACAAAACCACCCAAACGGTGCTTGAAGCTTTGCTGCATTTCCCGAAAACTAACACTCTTAAATCGTCAGGAAGACATCCTTCATGCTACCCTTTTGGAAAATAACTTTTCTCGTCTTGCACTGTCGAGAAACTCATGATGAGATTGTGGGCAACTTGAACTTACCCAAAACCAATATAAGCCAAGTTGAAGGTACTCAGCACTCCTCGGTGCAGATCTCTCTTGCACAGAAGTTGACTCAGACGAATCGGCGGAATGAATTGAAGAAGAGTTTTACTCCATATTTCCCACTCGTATCTGCACAAGTCGAATGATGATTCTCCATGGTCAAAGCCCAGGAACTAGTTCAGACCACCAGGTTGCCGAGCCCACCCGATGAGCAGCAGGGCCATAGCATCTCAAGATTACCCTTAAGTAGAGCGAATCCGAATGCTTCCCTTCGACTATTGACTTCCTCTTCAACTTATTCCCCTGATTATCTGTTATATAATAAATCATAATGAATAAAAAGTCGTCCTTCTCATCTCTACGAGAGTATGGACTTATCGCGCGCGGAGGCTCCTCGTTAGGAAGGGCCTTTCTTCATCATATCTTCTCCCTCGCCTATGGGTCTGATCAACAATATAACCACGAAAGGTTTGGAGTGATTGGACGCCTCTTGCCATGGTTAGGTTTAATCAACCTTCCGGCTGTGCAGCAGGTGCACCGAAACATCAATTGTTGGACAAATGACCAGGTGATGGCATGGAAACAATCAACGTTTGAAAGTTGTACTACTGTGGCGGTTGTGGTAAGTTCCTACACGTTTCACCATCCATACTCAGAGCATTTCTCACAGTGCTCAGGGTGCTATCTTCACTAGCATTACTCTTAGTGCGTTGTCACTACCTAAACTCGAAGACTGTCCATGGACAGCCAAAGCATTTATCGTGGCTAGCATGATATTAGCCATTCTAGCTGTAGCAGAAGCCACGTCATTACAACAGAAGATTGCTGGTCTCAGCGGTCATCTAGATGTTCGGCTTTGGCTCAGTCGAGGCACATCGGCCCATTCACATTTATATCGTCTAATGAAACCTTTTCATGTGTTCCCATTGGAGAGTTCTGTTGCATCTGTCGAGGCTGTGCGGATGCCAAGACTGTACGTCTTTTTCGCAGGGTGGGTTTTTGCAGTCGGTATGGGCATATATCTGGCCTGGCAATGGGTGAATGAAACCGACATCCTGACCCGGGTTAAGCACAGAAATGTTTTTATTACTTTCGCAGCTATCATAAGTGGCTTATTCGTCCACGATATCTGCCTTTCAGTTTTTGAGGCGCGTGACCAGGAGAAAAGAATTAAGGAGTTTGGTATGAACAATACTAATGTATACTCAATCTCGGACGAACTGCGAACTCTTGAGAATATCCTGAAAGAGTTACAGATGTTAAATGAGAGGCGAGACGAACAGGTCAGTGGACCAGAGGTCTTCGAAAACCACATTATGTCCTTGCGTAGTGATCTTGTCCATAGCAAGAAGTATGCGGCGGGAGGAGACTCAGTATAGATAGAGTATTTCTTTGGATAGAAGGCTTTGCCTAAAACCATACAGAAGAGGAGATACTGACGCACCACACCAGTGACCCCGAATGATCATGCGATTATCAGAATCAATTCATGTCGCCCTAACTCAGGCTTCAGGTCTTCATCTAGCAGAATAATATTGGGCTTTTAGACTTAAGCCTTGAAAAATCCCATGGAGTATTTTCAACTTGCAAAGCTACACCCTTCTTGCCAGTAATGTTAGACAAGTCTCTCCAAATAAGAACTGATCACGTGCTGTTGGGCTGTGGTACTCTCATTGGAAACTCTATAACAAAAACCTCTGATTTATAACCATCTGTCATGCAAACCACACGTTCCCCTTACTAGCTGTCTTTCTCCCTGTTCCGTACGCGTGATTCCTGTGTACGGTAATTTGGATCTGAGCAGGAGTTTCTTTGAATATGGCTTTCAAGGAGCGTGGGTCAAGGTTGAACGATGCGATAATCGCATCTTTCCTACAAAATATTAGCAAGTTGACGTGTGCATCGAAACCCAGAGCTTGGCTCTCGGCATTGAGCGTCGCGTGCGAACAAATAGGTTTAGTGGGAAACACTCAACCACTAGGTCTAGACTCTAGACCATCAAGCTTTACCGAATATAGAATACGGGAGGGAAATGCCAGAAAGGCCAAAGGAGGAGCATAATCAACCCAGAACTTTCCCTTGCGAGCACAATCGGGTACTAGAATAACAATATATTCTACTGACTCATGGTTAGTTACGTTTAAAAAACTAAATTCGGTTAAATTCATCGTCCAGGTGGTGAAACTTTAAGGCCTTCTCAATGCTAGAATACCGATCCGCCTTGCTAGATAGAAACTTTCCATTGCCAGAGCAACACTAGGCCTGCGCAAATCCCATAACCCCTCTAAATTAATCAGGTGAGGAGTTACGCGCACAAAAACTTTCTACGCCAGCCCTTATTCCCCGGAGTTATTTCGTGGTCATTCGGGCTTTGCGTCTGCTGGCTGAGCTCCCAACCCGCAAGTCAAGCTCAGCCAAGGCCGTAAACCCCTGGGCCAATCACGGGTCAGATAATTATCGAGTGCAACAAGTATTGGATATTCACTCAGTACAAGGATTGTAGACAGGGTTAGGAGATCAGGCCACAAAAGGAATCAAGTTTGAGAGCTCGATTCTGCATACATTAACCGCTCACGATCGTAGATCACCGAATACAGACATTCATTACTGGTGCTCCAAGCTTACACTGTGTTAGAAGTATGTAATCCCGCTTAAATGGCGTACTTCTTGGCACAACAATACTAGTGATAACAAGCTACCTCCAGCACTCTTAGCGTAGGCGTTTTGCTAAAAATGAAACGATCGTATGACTCTCGAACGATGTAGAGCAGTCATTAAAACAAGGACATGCATAGTTTATATCCTGAATTGAGTATTTCCGGAGAACTGTTGCTCATTGAATACAAGGGTTTAAGTTACCTAGTACCGCTGTTTTGCCATTACTGAGAACAGAATTGATCAGTGATTGATATTGAGAAGTCGAAATGCCTGCACTACATATCCATCCATCTAGTGTAGTGAAAGCAAAGCGATGGTCACGGGTGCCCCAGGCATGCGACCGATGCAAAATCAAAAAATCGAAGGTTGGTGTCCGCCAACTGATTCTTCGTGGCATGCTGGACTAAACGTCGACGGCGCTTGTTAGTGCAATGGACAGAAGCCTTGCATAAAATGTAAAGACAGTGGCACTGCCTGCTCCTATAAACTGAGACGATCAACTATCTCACCGCAAACGCTGAAAGGGTATGTCTTCCTCCACTCGAACTTATGACACATCTTGCTAAAGCGCCCGTTGATTTGACGTAGCTATGCCGAGCTACTAGGTCGTCAGCAAGTTGCATTGGTCGAATGTATATGGCATCTTTACCATCAACTGTGTGTAGAAATTGTGAATCGAGATGAAAATCTTGCAACTCAGTTAGAGTCAAAAGCCTCATTAAACGATATCTTTGGGTATCTAGGACTCGAGCCCATAGATGACAATAGTTCCCAATCCTCTGAACAAACAGCGCAGAAACTGGAGTTAGGTGGCGAAGAGTCTCTACCAGAATCTCCATATTCACGCTCAAGTGTTGACAGTCTCAAACTGCCATCTACCCTCCAGGATTTGAATATATCTTATCCACCGCAGGCACACAGCAGCCCAGCCTACAACTTTCAAGGAGTTGAAAAGCCAGCGTTCGATTCCTTCAAGCTAACAGAGGCGCTGTTGCAGGATGGTGGTACCTCTGAGCTCTCTGGGCTACCAGCTTCTTGGCTACTTGATAAGCAAGTTTCGCAGTCGCCATTCTCATTTCCAGAAAACGGAACAGTGTGGAACTTTGACGCGATCACCGAGTCTCAAGCTCCAGAGTGGGAAAAGATGAGACTTTGCAAGACTGTGGTATGGGATGATTCTTCCAGCGCAAATTACGACAGAGACGGCTTGTTCTCTCCGACGTTTCCATACTGTTGATATACAAAAGTCTGGGCGGAGCTATGATGCAACTTGGCTTTTCCGGTGCAGATTGCACTTGGGGGGTTTTTTGTCCGCAGAATAGCCATTATTATGGCATTACTGCTTGTTAGACCCAGCTCAGCCTGGGCGAGTCAGAAGACTAATGAGGTCACGTAATAATATGCTTCTAATTCCTTATGTTCTTCGGTCTCGCAATGCTCGATATGGTTTTCAAAGCCCCTCTGACCAGGATTTAGGCTTAAACGGCTTTGACCACAGCCACCCCCAGCCCCCTTGTCAATAATTCATCCACTCTTCTTCTTAAGGTTAAGGTGTTAAAGACGTCTTCTGAGCCACACCGTGTCCATTGCGTGATTCCTAGGATCATTAGGATCTTTGTCCCGGCTCGCCCCGACTCGGCTAGCTACGGCTCTAAGCGAAGCGCGTGATGGCTTCGTGGAGCTCACACATCTGGGGATGGAGTAGAGTATGGGGGTCGGCTATGACCTAAGCCCAAGCTATCTTCCAGAGAGGAAACGCATCAGGTGGTGTTAATCTCAAGACCGAATGCACATCCGACATTCCCGTAACTCTCAAACTAGAGCCAATTTGAATCTCGGACTAGATACAAATGAGATTTTTTCTTCTTCGGCCTGACTTGGATGACGGCCTTGCGTTTCCAAACACGCATATGGACATCGAAGTCGTAATACTTTCGAGTGTGGGAGAAAAGGTCCTGAATGTCAAAGGTATGCTTCGGGCGTAGGATAACAATGATCTCTCGGTCATCCTGAAGGAATCATTTGTCAGGGTTTCTGCTGGTCCCAGGCAGGAAAGTGGGTTGTGCTTACCGGATCAAATCTCCAAGGGATGCCAAAATAGTCCAGTGTTTCGGTGTTCAACTGCTCCCTCCAGACGCGGAGATACCCCGAGTCCGACCAGTCAAGGCTGGGACAGGATAAATCCCCGCAGGGAGGACGTGGATGGGGAGAGGGATGAGGATGTGGATGCGGGTAGTGAGGAGGATGATATGGCTTTCCGCTGATGGCCTGTTCAATCTCATCGGGTTCAAATCCGCTGGCAAACATCTTTTCCGCATTTTATTCTTGAGATCTTCCTCTTGCTTTTTCTTTTCCTTCTCCTTTTTGAGCTTTTCGGCCTTTTGTTCGGCTTCCCATAAATCCTTCAGCTTCTGGATGGCCTCCTCCTCCTTCTTCATCTCCAGGTCGTGCTCATGTATGATCTTTTCTTTTTCTTTCTCAGCTTCAGCCAGCTTTAGCTTGTATTCCTGCACCGCTTGTCCACTAGCGTTCTTTTTGTCATTCTCCTCGGTGAGGACATGTGCCCTGACTATGGCTTCTTCCGATTCCAGCGGCGGATGGTGTGGAATGTGGCTCCAGCGGCCATAATACGGATCAGGGTATGGGCCATTTGGGCTGAAGGGATTGGAATGCTGGCCATTGAACTCGATGCTTGCGATAGCCCCGGATCTCGACCTTGCTTCCGCGGAGTCGTGGACAAGGATTGGGGGACTGACCGGGATATTATTGATGACGGGAGCCACCACGGCTGGAGTATGAGGTTGGGCGACTGACCCCTGAACGGCTGGGCTTAAAACAACTGGAGGCACCGGCCAAACCGGAGGGTGAGGGGGAGCGACTGGAGGGGCTGGAGCTGTCGGTGTATGGTGTACTGGCCTCACTACGAGCTCCCCGTTTGGGGCCCTTGTCCAAATGTCGACTTCTTCAATATCTCCGCTGACTGGCTCGTATGTGACATCGGACCACCCGCGTCGAGGCATGATGGGTTTTGAGGATATGTTTGTGTAGTCCTCTCGAGCTGTAATTGTTGCTTTCCACAGACTGATATGGAGCGTTAGATAAATTGCATGGAACTACAATGCCTTGTCTCTGTCAGAAGTCTCTCGGGTGAGATATATATGGCCTCATAACTTCCATACTTGAAGGGATAATGTGATTCTCGACACTTATTGGTGGCGTGATAGCCCTTCGTGTTCGTGACAAAGAGCCAAAGCATACCAGAATCGACTCAGCTGCTGGGAGAAGGCATACCACCAGGGAGTTCGTATAGGCTGCCGACACGCTTGGAAAACACTTGAAAGCTGCTTTGCTAGACCACATTAAAGCTGGGAGGCCCTTGGGGATAATGCACAAACGGTGGAACATCTGCAGCCACCCAGCCTGATCTGCCTGGAGGCCGCCCGCAGTGGTACCGGCGAGCATGTTCCGATGGCCCGCGGAATGAACCCATCAAAGCCTTGTTCGCCCAGACTGTCATCGTTTCCAACGTCATCATGCACGTCATTGCTCACTGTAGCTCGGTGAGAACGGAATGGCTTTGTTCGTCTCGTAAGAACACTATATAGTATTATGCTAAAAATTACATAGGGTTAACTCTTAAAGTAGCCAGCATTATATTCATAACATGTTCAACCTATGAGGAATATTCAACCCTATACCTAGGATACGTTGATTCAGTTCTTGCTTTCTGAATCCTGACTCGGAGCACACCATCTTTGAGCCTTGCCCTGAGCTTATCGTAGTCGATGGACTCAGGGAATGTGAAAGAACGCTTGAGCGGGCCATTATGACGCTCGGAAAGTAGAACAGTGGCCGTGGCTCCCTGGGTATAATTTGGCATCTCTCCCGGCTGTTGAGAGTGGTCACCAGGATTCGGATCAACTTTAGCTGATATTTGCTGTGGAGCAAGTGAACTCTCTGCTATCTGACCTCGAGCTTGATGAAGATTAGCATCTTCGAACTCATAACCCCATTCCTGCGAGAGGTCGATATCGCTTGAATTTCCTCTAATTGATACTTGACGGGGCCCAAGGTATTCGATAATGATATCATCAGCGTTGTGTACCCCCAGAAATTCTCCCTCTAGGTAGTACGCCACATTTGTTTCTCGGACAGTAAAATTCGGGTATAATATATGCTCAGAGTAGTCGCGATTATCGTAGTGCGATTTACTTTTTAATCGAGACTCTAGCTCCCCCGTCGTAATATACTCAATAATAGACCAGAGTGACCGACGATACGGAGCATGATCTTCTAAAGTAACATGTGGAGGGTTCAATATTGTTCTGAGATGGAGATGGGCCATTTCGATGAGGAGTTTACTTGAGGATACTAGCTATCCGTAAAATCCTTTGATGTATTGGTATGCAGGACATCATAGGAATTTGTCGTTAATGTTAAGCGACGTTCATTTTCCGTGTGAGTCTTTTCAGGGCCCACATGATCTACAACTCTTGCCAAGCATAGTCAACATGAGACTAAGTATCCATACCCTCTAATGACGCAAGTATGAGCTGACCATGTAAGCCGTAGTGAGTCCAGACCTCTGGAAGCACAAGCGGGTGTCGGCCATCTGACCTGCTTTTCGGTAACAGAATGTGCGAGTTCGAGCCTGAATACCATTTTCATCAACGCCATGTTTCCCGCCAAGAAACCTCGGTCTCTCCCAAAGCGGGATGTGCTTCACACTGAACACAAGAAGGAGAAATGAGTTTTATTTAATGATTGAATCGCTTCCTTGAGACGTCCGACGGCTTCTGTACCTAGCTCTGTCTAGTCAGCGTCGTATCTACTAAACGAACTTTACAAAACAACCGGCCCGAAGAATGGCCGAAGATTCAAGATCCCCAGAACTTCACACAATGTCTTCACACACTGAGGCAGCTGTTGGTGCACTTGGCTCTGCATATGCAGCACACGAACTCGTCAAAGCTTTGGACGATGACAAGCATGAAGCCGGCGACCATTACCTAAAGGCCGCAGTTGGTGCAGCTGTAGCGGTGGGAGCATTCTATCAGCTATCAAAAAAGGCAGACCACCCTCTCTGGAGGAGAGACTCAGACATTTCTAGTGACGATGAGGACGCTCAGCACACTGAGTTGGTCAAGACTGACCAGACACAAATCGTACGCCACAAACACCACGAGCACCACGAACACCACGAACACCACGGGAGCCATGGGAGCCACCATCTCCACCCTGCCCACAATAGACTCTTACTTGAAGAAGCTGTTGGTGCCTATAGTCTTGGGAAGGAACTGCTGGGTGACAAGAGACACCATATCATTCATCTGATTGGTGAAGCGTTAGGGGCAGTCGGAACGATCAAGGATATACATGACCAACGTTCCTAGTGTATATCAGAAGGCTTAGAAGTGCATGTGACGTCGGGTCGATGGGAAAAAAAGTGAGAGACGACGCCTCGGAATGCTTACATTCGGGTTATATTCTTCTGTATTAGGTAGGAAGTTGAGATTGAAGATGGATCGCATTGTTTTCGAAAGCGATATCTGCAAGTGTGTTTCATAATTACCTTCATTTGCATCTATATATAGAGTTGCACGCTAAGACTATTAAGCTGTCCTTTCTATATCTCAATTGAATCTCCTGGCTTGCAGTGCAGCACAAGATCGATGATAATCTTCCAGGATGAAAGCAACTCACGGAGCGAAAAGTAAACAAAGGATATGCTTGGATCGTGAACAGCTTCATTTTAGGTCTAACTATTCAGAATAGCTGTGGGTGACTTTACTTCTTCTTTTGACGCAAAGGGCTAAGAAATCCAAGCATTGGATTTCACGACATCTGATTGTCCATGAGCTTCACGTAACAATGTATGCCAATGTATGCCAATAGACAAAAGCGTCTATGGCTCTTTTGTGTGGTCACCACTGCAGAGAAATATCTACAATCAAGCGTAGGTGTTCAGCAGGTCAAAATCTCTAATGGGGTGGTGAAATTGTTACGACGAGCTATAACAGCCACGTGCTATCCAAAACCCTCAACCCTCAGTAGAAAAGAATTCGACTTGATACTTCCTGTTACGGCATAAATGGAAAATGTCGCAACCACTCACCGGTTGATGGCAGGATTGTTAGACGAGGGTGGGCGACTCCGGAACACCACGCTTGCATCATGCGAGTATCGGTTCAAGTATCGGTTTCTCAGAGGTAAAAACATCAACAATTCATGCCTCAACATTTACCTCTCACTGATGCGATATCATCCAGGAGCTAGAAAACCCACCGTCTCCGCATTTCTGAGCCCTCCGCAAATACACACTGAATTCTTGTCAACACTTCATATCCATAGAGTGCAACGTCCATACGATAAAGTTTCGCATCTTGAAATGAGTGCACCTGCCTCTCCATATCAACAGTATGAGGGCGTGCCTTCAAATGAAGGCTACCACAGTCAACCATCCACCCGAATCCTTTTACTATGCGCGATTCCTATAGTGCTTCTGGCTGCTTGTATACTTGCGATCTGGTAAGTGGACTACGAAGTAATCTAGATGACAATTAAGGACACTAACTTTCAAAATCATAGCATATCGATGTTGATAGAGTATCGCAAGAGAGTCTCCCGATCTGAACAGCTTGTGCAGAGTCGAGAAGCAAGAAAACAAGCAGTTCTCAATCTGTTTTCCAATCCTATGACTTGGGAGCAAAGCATAAAGCTATATTGTGCGGAACATAGCATTGGAGAGGATCAACGTACGAGTCTGCTCCATGACGGAGATATATGGTATTTTTAAATTCTTGTCTATTTGAGAAGAGCCTCAGCTGATGAACTGTCCGAGTTAGTGGACTTTGTTTAGAAGCTCTTACGCCAGAGGAGAAAGTGCGAAGATTACAGCACTGTCATCATGTATTCCATCTGAACTGTTGTGACGAATGGATCACTCGAGAACTGCAAATGCATGACAGCAAGATGACAACCGGACCTCCACCTCCGGTTTACAGTGCAGAAGTCTCATGTTTTCTGAAATGCCCACTGTGTCGTGCAGTCTTGACCCATGAGTCCACATCTAGTACAGTTCTAGCTCCGGTACCTAGTGGCCATCTTCGGGGTGATGAAAATGTTTGACAAAAAGGGGGTTGCAGGGGAAAAGCTGGGTCACAAGATCTAGTTTGATGCTAAGATACGAAAACTAGTTTCACAGATGAGTCAAATACTAATATCATGTGGAAGTGATTGCTTGTTAAGTCTATAAACTAGTCTTGTGGCAAAGGTATCAGCCCGGATGAGACCGGATATAGGTCACGCCTCAAAACTCTAAACATCTTTGTCCCTGACAGTTATTCTGGTCTGACAATGGAGTGATTTTTGATGGATTCCAGGACAGAGTTGATACGATCGTTCCTATAAAGAGTTCGAGCCCGTCATCTAGTGAGAATTCAACGAAACGAAATGAAACGGACCTCCGAACCTTTCGACTATAACATTATTGAACAATCAACCATTTGATCATCTAATCATCCCGATGGCACGTACTTGGAACACCGAATCTGTCACCAAGACCACTGTTATCAGGGTCAGTAGAGGCGTTTATGTCACTCTTGCTTGGTATGCAAGTGTATGTACTCTCATGGTCGGGCAGATGGTTTTCAGGTTCTTCTACTTCTCTGAAGGCTGGTCAATGGCTAGTTTCGTGATTAGAAGCAGAGGCGCCTTTTTGTAATGCGGCTGCTAACGAGTTGCCTTCTTAGATTGTTCTTGGAATCACTGCGTGGTACCTCGCGCACTACGACGAGACTCGGTTCTATCCGCAGGCCCGTCTGATCTACACCATCATAATTGCCGGTATTGCATGTGCTACTGCACCACTCATTGCTTGCTTCGGATTAAACTTGAAATGGATGCCCCTCTTCAATATCTGCTTGGCCCTTGCATTCTTCGCTGCTTTTGGTAGCGTTATGGAATGGGATTGTGACGAGCATTGGGCCGACTGGCGGGCTCATATCGGCGAACCTCACACGGCGTACTGGAAGACTTTGGAGGCCTTCACCTTCATCAGTGGTTTCTTCTGGCTTGTCTCTTCTGTCCTAGCATACTGGGCACCATATGTCAAGGAGACCGAGCCCGAACGACAGAAACGTCTGAGCACAGGAACAGGAAGCGGAAGTGAAACGGTCTAGCTATCAGTTGAGTTGCACCGAAAAGCCTAATATTCCTGTCGATTGTTCACTGACCCAGAAGCTCTAATTGATTATTGACCTACACCACCGATGAATAATCTATTCGAAAAGTTAGCCATGTGGAGAGGACGTTGGATGGCAGGACCTTCCACCATTCGCGAGTTTATCTTGAGTATCTCGTATGTAGTCTCTTTGGATTATTGTCCTCTGAGTAATGTAATATTTAATCTCTGTGGCTTTCGCCAATTTCTGTGTTCAGTTGTAGTCATTACAGTGAATTACCATGAAAATGATTTAGTGGTGTCTGAGTGCGGCCGGGACAATTACAAAAGAATTCTAGAGATACCGACTGGATATAACCTCTAGGAGCGAGATTAATGGATAGTAGCGACACATCATACTATATCTTGAGCTACGGTAATCATCTTGAGGTCTTATCGAGGACCGAGCTTCGGACAGAGTTTTTGACTAGCCGACGAGGCCTGCAAATCTCCAAAAGAGCATGTTCGAGGGACTAACGTTATCCCACCGCCAAGCTATCGGGCCGGACATCTGCTGAAACCCCAAAATACGAGTTCGACAATCAGAATACGCATGGAACAAGTCACAGCTCGACAGGGACGCCACGCCTCCACTCCAATGGACGATCAGCTTGAAGAGTTTAGAGTCAACGAGATACTCAAGCGAAAGCGTAAAACCAGTAGGCAATAGGCCTACTATCCGTGCCGCCAGCGCAAAGTCAAATGTGATTATGGCAACCCTTGCCAGAGGTGTGTCGACCGAGATCACCCAGACCTCTGTCATTATCAGCCGGTGTCGATGCGACAAGGCCACGAGCCTTCATCCCCACAGACCCTCCTGCCTATGGACATCGATCGACCCAACGTGACAGAATGAATCAGGTTTGGTCAAAACTTGAGAGTGTGGGACCATGCTCACGGAGGCACAAGTGTAAGAGAAGCGACCCCAAGCGCATCAGCATATCACTCTAGTACTATGCTTGAAGGAGAGAACGTACATCTCGGGAACAACTCGATGCCCGCGATGGCCATCGCACTAGGTAGTGGAAGCAATAAGTAAGCTATAAAAGACATCGTCGGTAACAGCGTCTTACCTCTATTTAGGTTAGACAACGACACCGCCACATACCCATTTATCGATCTCTGGGGACTACCGGCTACTTCTACCATGAGGATCGAGGAGCCCTCTAAGCTGATTCCTAGCGATCTCGATTGCCGCTAGTATCTTCTACAGTACCGTGACATAGCTCACATAATCTACCCCAGATTCGTGGATATTGACCAATTCGAATCCGATCTAACCCAACTTCTCATTTAGCGGTCGAGTCTGGGCATCGAAGCTCGTGGCGTCTACGGTGATCAGACTAACGTGTACGGTATGTCTATGCACTGGCTTGGTCTTCTGTTTGCGTGCTTTGCAGCTAGGAGTCAATGTTCTGAACTTCCGCGAAAGCAACGGCAGCTGACGTCCCAGGTTTTTTGGTAAGTCGGATCTCACGCGGCTCTGCTTGAGTCGTGCGCTATCAATTTCTACGCTGATGAGTCGGCAGTATGTTGCTTATATGAGTACCTTCGTATCGTCAACTACCTTTCGCATTCGACAACGGTAGATATTCAGACTCTACTGGTCTTAGGCAATGTGATCGCTAATAATATAAACGCTGGTGTGGCATGGTACCTGCTTGGTCGGCACTCCTAAATCCAACGTTTAGTGAGCGACCCTAACCGACTACAGGATTAACGATTAGGCTGGCATAAACACTTAGTCTCCATCGATTCAAGCAGAAGATACACTCTAGTGAAGCCCTTTTGCGCGAAGAGGTCTGGCGAGCTAGAAAAATATCGAAGCCTAGATTATGTGGTGTCCGCTGACTCAGTCTTAGGTAGCGAGTTAGCTAGCAAGATAGCGTCCTTTCCATCACCTATAACCGAGCCTCCTCGAGCTCTGTAGCGTCTAGTGAAACTCGTTATTAGATGTAGAATCCCGAAGTTAGTAAAATATCGTATCTGGAATGTATGAAGAGGCTTTCTAGGGTCGGATTAGAGATTGTCCGAGAGCGGTCCTTTTCTCTAATCTTGCGGGATGAACTATCGCTTATCATTAAGCATCGAGATAAATTAGAGGACATAATGAAACACGCCGTCCATTACCCCCGAGAAGCTACCGAGTGCCGATCGATACAATCCTACGTCGAGTACTGGAATTTACGCCTTTATGTCTCATACATGACCTCTGAGCTATATCGTCCAACCCCCAAGAATCGAAAAGCGTAGTCAGAAACCATAAACGAGTTCCGTGAGACGTGCGTTGCGAGTTTGGCGGATACCATTGAGGCTTTCCTTGGTCTTGAAACACTGACTTCATTTGCGAAGACATCATAGGGCGCCATATAGAGGGCATTGAGCTCCGCTCTTTTACTCGGGATCTTAAGGCAACCACTGAAGATCCGGCGCGTGTGGATGTTACTTGAGAGATTTGTGACAGTGATGAAAGAGGTCAAGTCCGATGTCAGCCCTTCGGAGCTCCCAGGCCCTGTTGCGAGATCTATGTCGGCATTGGTCCGTTTGATGAACCTCCATGGCGGAGACCAAAGCCAATATCAACCCGACCTCCAGGCGGGAGAACACAACGACTTGGCAGGGCCATGGTCGATGTTCGATGCGTCACAGATTACAACATCTTCAGGGTCTGGAACTCCCGATGACACCTCGCCTTATGCCGTCAGGGACCGGATTCTTTAGGGCAGTGTTGGGACCTCCATGAGCCTGGTTGAAGATGGCGTCGAAAAAATTGTTTTGTCTCAACCTCCAACTTTGGATGGACCCCCTCTCCCGCTTGTTCGAATACTGAGTTAGCATCTGTACAATACTTTGCTTAAGTACAATAATGCACCTCGGACTTGGACAGACTTCCTGCGAGATTTCTCCGGCATTTAGCCTCGGGGCTTATTAATGTCGATCTGGCACACTGATGTTTGAAGCTATCTTGTGATCATACATGTGATGCCTCGATAAATCTATGTGAGCTAAGTAGGGATCGTGAGATTTGCGACTTTGGACTTAGTATTGGGAATTTTCAGGCTACCATTCTCAGTGAGGATCACTTGCTTGTCATCCGTACTCGATTACAATTATCCGCGCTGCCGCCTCTCGGGCTTTCATTGGGAAGCTGATCTAATGTGTCATGTTTTTTAAACTCTGGCCAAGCACCAAAACGCAACATAGTATTACATAGTTTTTGCACTTTTGTCTCACACCACCATCTGGGTCTTGACCGATCCCGCGCCCAAGTGCTGAACAAATTTATTCCTCCCGAAATCTCGCTTGCAGTGGACCTCCTCGAGGACTTTATACACTATAGTGTTAGAATTCTGACGTTTGATTGCCTCAACCATCAGGTATCGAGCACCGGACCTTGACACTGTCTGAGAGCGAAGATGGCTCGAGTGGTGGCGACCCACATGACGGTACCGGCTCAAGACGAGTCGCTCCGCGCTATTGCATCGGCTGTCACTGGAGCTGCATTTGCACCATCTGTTTGAGTAGCGTACAATCGTCACATTTGACCAGTCCTTCCAAGGTGTGCAATCTGGCACTTAGGCGACCGATCTCATCCGACAAATGTCGTCTTTCCACTTTAGATTGATGCACGTAATTTATAGCATCTGTCATCACATTAGACTTGCGAAACTTGGTCCGATAGACTTTTGAATAGAATGTGTGATGAGCGAGAGAATCAGTGAGCCGTGATGTGGACTCCACCGCGACAAGAGTTTGATGCAGCTGCATAATTTTCCGATTCAGATTGTCGCGATATCTTCGTTCGATCACGGAGTGGGCTTGCTTTGCTCGGGCACTGGCAGATTCCTCTTCACTAGAGGATGACTTTTGACAATCCTTGGGAGTCGTCTCCTCCTGTTCTATTTTATGTTTAATTCTAGGGCTAGATTTAGGCGAGGCCTTCCTTTTTGGCATCCTTCTAGCTTGTGGCCGACTGGTGCGGGAAAGTGCATCCTGAGTGAGACAAGGTGCGGTATTACAGTCTTCAATTTCCGGCAGCTTAATCGTCATCGGACAGATTGGCCCTGATCCATAAGGCCGTGAAACGTATTCATTTGCTGGGACATCCGCAGAAATAAATGGGATATCATTGACTTGATGGACATCAGGCTCAATAGTCGAGGCAACCAGTCCAGGATTCTCCAAGATGCTGAGTGAATCGCTAGTGAAATCTCCAGGCAAGAGATGATCAATGGGTGCTGAAAGGTAGTCGTCGTGTGGGCTGTTGAAATTTATGAACTGAGAATAATCTGGAGACGTCGGATCCTACTGGACAGTAGATATGCCAAAAGGGTCATAGGAAAGCATATCCGAGGGATCACAATTGATACCCAGAGGCTGCGCTAAACCACAATCGCTGTGGCTTAGTGTTGGCCACTAGGCCGCCGTTCAGCAAAAGTGCCCAAGAACATCAACCCAAAGAGCTACCTACCTCGCTGTCGTACATTGAACCCGGGTGCTGTGTGAACAATTGTGGCATCCCTCTAGCTTGCTCTTAGTAACTGGGCGAGCTAATGGCTCTGGTGGGTTGGCTTTAACTTTTAAACCTGTGGAACATTGAAAGAATGTCACAATAACTTTGTAGACCGATCGAATTGATATGTTTAATAAGGAAATCAATTGGTGCGTAAATGATTCCGTAGAACTCAGCACAGCACCTAGCAAAACGTGATCATCCCACCGCCGTGTCCCGGTGGGTGTTTCGTAAGTCGGAGTCTAAAGCAGGTAGGTATCTAGAGTAGGGTCGAGATCTAGAACTTTCACCTAACCTTTGACCCCCCCACGGACATCTCAGTAGAATCTGTGTCGTGCCAATCGTGCCAATAAGCAGCCCTGGAGACCAATGCGGCGCTCTTTCCAGCATCCTGAGCCCCCCGGTACCGAGTACTCGAAGGTGGTCTGAGGAGTAGTGGAGGGGAACACGTGGGTAAAGTCTTGAGGGCGAGCTCCTCCGGCTTGGCGATTTTAGCCCTCATCTGCTAGCCTCTGCGTAATCTCGCTGTTTCTCGGTGTTGCTCGGGCTACCTCGCACAAGAGACTGCGTCGCAGTCAAGCAAGGACCTTTGGGAGTGACTTATGTCGCTAAGCGATCATACGAGAGTTTTCGCGTCCGCCGATTCAAGACCGGGAGATGGACTACGTCTATAACTGAAAAGCCCTGAAAATGACTTCGTGGGTCATTGTTGATAGACAGGGATAAGGTGAATGGAGTTCTTGAAGGACCCTGAGACTTGAGGGCTCGGGAGACTCACTATATACCTAGGCTATGTGCCAGAGTGCGTAAGGAAGTGGGCTGTAACCCTCACGGGAGTGGCTATATACCCTACACTCTGAAAGTTCTACCTCAATCGATCATATTATTTGCGATAATGCGCGCTGCCAAACAGGCATCGAGTGATATTCGCAGGAGTGCTTACAAGAAAGAGTAACGACTAGAATTAGCACATTCGCTGTGGCCAATCCCAGATAGCTACTTACCCAGGCTTGAAAAGCCTTCTACCCCTTACCAGCGTGTTACGTGACATATCTTCCACCACGGCAGTCTCAATACGAGTTGCATGATGCACATAAGGCCTATTCAGCGAAAACCCCCCAGACCAATGGCGAATTTTGTAAGCCTGGTTTAAGGTCGGCAGGACCTAGGCGGCCTAAGGCGTTCTCCGAGGCACCAAGAAGCCCCATAGTCCATGAGAGATGAAATACAAGCCTTCTTGGTTCCCAGGTTGATTGCGCCTTTTGCGAGTTCTGACAGTACAGCTACTCCCCCCACCGCAAGCGCTTGGTCCATGTGTGAGCTCAGTTCTACGCAGCGCGGCCAAGCTCGGTAAGTGACACTGCGAAGCCGATCTACAGCTACACCTATTCTGTCAACAGTGCGTACCGAAGTGTATGCAGCCTTAAGGGGGTAGATAATGCTCCTTGATTGAAAACTGTCTCGCTTGAAGAGTTCGGTAAACGATGGCAACGATCAGCAGAATCAACCAAAATTTTGATGCTTGCTTTGTATCGATATCTGAAGGAGACGACTTTGCTAGCCTACAGGAGGGCTGGGGCTGACTGATCGGCCATCCCGTGGCTGGAAGCATAAAATCTAATGTGTAAGGAGGGGCGTGGTTTGCCACAGTGGCGCATCCTGACTGTGGAATTTACATTTACTGGGATATGCTCCGAGTCCGCAAAACTTACCAGCACGCTCGACGCACTGGATGAGTGCATCTCATATGCTAGCCACCAAAGGCGGCTTAGGTTTCTCGTCGCCATTTGGCAATAGGACACCGAGCTACCTCTGGCCTCTCGTCCATTTCCATCCATCTTCCTGGAGCCTGCACGTGCCTACCGAGATACTATTGAAGCATGCGTATCAAATCTGTCGATTCTTCCGAGGGAGAAAAATTTCATTTGGGAAAAGATTAAGCCCCAAGTAACGAACCGAAAGCTGTTATCGAGGAGACGAAGAGACCACAACCCATTCTTCAATGAGGTCAAGTAATTTGAGTAATGGACTCCTGACATCATTACTGCGGCATCTGATAGCTATCAACTTTCGTGTCAAATCCGCCATGTGCTAAGATATGCGTCATAGGCTGGGAGGGAAGCTTCACTTATCAGATCGGTGGTGGAGCCGAAGGAAGCAATCAAAAAGACTATTCAAACAAAAAGAGCGACCTGTTCCAAGGAGGAAGATTGCTATTTGCACGTTCCTCTGCTAGCTCATTCGACCCGATCTTTTACAGCCTAGGAGCTCTAAGATTTTATAAAGTAGCTTAGTATTCAATCCAATAAAATGAAATCCTCCGGCCAATAAAGAGTGGTTTTATTTTCAGGCCGCTAAGGGAATCAAGTCTCCTTCATTAGCAACGACATCACACATTATGACTAGTGATCTTGTGCGACTTCGAGATGTTGTTTTTGCGTCCAAGAAGGGGGATTCTTCTCCAGTTACACTACGCCAAGATGAAACACAGAGACTCGAAATAGATAGTGTATGAAGAGATTGAATGGAAGATCTCCGAGCAGCATCTCTGCCATGAACAGTGGGAGGCCAGTGTAAGACTAATTCTTGAACGAAGAGTTAGGAAGCTCATTGAGAAGTGCTGGAAGGAGATCAAATGAGCAAGCAACGAATTCACTTAGGCATACTCATGCCTCTGGAGAAAAAACTTAGATTTGTACTCATAATCCGTGAGCGGTTGATGGAGGTGGTCATCAGGTGACCGTGACTGTTCCAATGTAAGTAGTGCATCAATTTGGCTAAGTGCCTTGATCACAGCAGACCTTTCCACCATCACCTGATGTTTAAGCCCGTTGGCCAGTCCTGCATCATTCCGGTTAGAGTCGTTAGTCATAGATTTGCGAAGACCGTTCCACCATACGTCCTCATTTGCAGTCGAAGTATGTCCACTTGCAATCTCGTGATGATCGAGGCACTCTATGTGACGCGCCATCAAGGGTTCTGAAACCCAGTCAAGATACATATGCGTTGCGCTTCCTGGATGTCGCCTCAAACGCCTCGCCCTTCCATAGCAAACCGAAAACCACAACTCCATCCATTCATGATGAACGGCACAAAAGACTTCGTCCGTAACTTTGAACAGGTTAACCGAGGTGATGTCGCTTCAGTTGGGGGTAAGAACTCCTCCCTTGGGGAAATGATCAGTGCACTCAACGTCAAGGGCGTTAGTGTCCCACCGGGATTTGCGACTACATCAGAGGCTTACTGGGACTATGTCGACTTCAACAATATTAGGGAGAGAATGGCAAGGTTGATTCTCGACTGGGAGACCGGCAAATTGACTCTTCAAGAGACCGGCTCCGCGGTGCGAAACTTATTTCTCCGTGGTGACTTTCCGCGAAACTTGGCGGAGAGCATCGAGAGTGCCTACGAACAGCTTTGCGCGCGTTCGAAACAAAAGGATCTGTCGGTTGCTGTGCGTTCAAGCGCGACGGCCGAGGATCTGCCTGATGCTAGCTTCGCTGGGCAACAAGAGACCTTCTTGAATATCTCCGGAAAGGTTGCTCTCCTCGGCGCCTGTCGACGTTGCTATGCTTCGCTCTTCACCGATCGGGCCATTAGCTACCGCCAGAATGCAAACTTCGATCACATGAAGGTCGCGCTGTCAATTGGCGTGCAGCGTATGGTCCGCTCAGATCTAGCCGGCTCAGGCGTGATGTTCACAATCGACACGGAGAGCGGATTCGACAAAGTCATCCTCATTAACGCCGCATGGGGTTTGGGTGAGAATATCGTCCAAGGCACAGTCAATCCTGACGAGTATCAAATCTTCAAGCCCCTTCTGTCCGATCCCAAGCTGGTTCCCATCATCGAGAAGAAACTTGGCGAGAAGGATATCAAAATGGTTTATGGTAATGAGAACACGCCTATCCGGAACGTGCCTACCTCCAAGGCCGAGAAGCACAGTTTCGTGCTCAACGATGAGGAAATACTCAGCTTGGGGCGGTGGGCTTGTATCATCGAGAAGCACTACGGATGTCCAATGGATATTGAATGGGCCAAAGACGGCGTCACCGGCGAGATGTTCATCGTCCAAGCTCGTCCAGAGACCGTTCATGCACGTCGTGAAGCGGGTGTATTCAAGACATACAAGATTGTTCGAAAAGGTCAAATCATTACCACTGGTCACTCTATTGGCGAAGCCGCCGTCTGCGGCCGCCTTTGTCTGATCGAGACGGCCAAGGATATCCACAAATTTATCGACGGCTCCATTTTGGTCACAGAGTCAACCGATCCAGATTGGGTGCCCATCATGAAACGCGCTGCTGCAATTATCACGGACCACGGTGGCCGCACCTCCCACGCTGCCATCGTCAGTCGCGAGCTTGGCGTGCCTGCCGTCGTGGGTACGGGAAACGCCACTTATGTACTACATAGTGGACAAGACGTGACCGTCTCCTGTGCCGAAGGCGACACAGGTTTCGTCTACCAAGGTATATCGGAGATCACAACCACTGAAGTCGATGTTATGGGTCTTCCTCCAACACGTACAAAGATTATGCTCAATCTCGCAAATCCAGCTTCTGCGTATCGATGGTGGCGCCTGCCTGTAGACGGAATTGGCCTCGCACGCATGGAGTTCGTAGTTAGCAACGCGATTCAAATTCACCCAATGGCACTAGTTCACTTCGACCAAGTTCACGACCAAGCTGCCCGTGAAAAAATAATTCACTTTACGGCAGGTTACTTAACTAAACCCGAATACTTCGTCGACAAACTTGCGCGCGGATTGGCATGCCTTTGTGCTGCGGTCTATCCCAAGCCGGCAATCATCCGTATGTCCGATTTCAAAACCAATGAGTACGCCAACCTCATCGGCGGGGCGGCATTTGAACCAAAAGAAGAAAACCCCATGCTCGGATTCAGAGGCGCGTCTCGCTATTATTCGCCCCGATACAAAGAAGGTTTCGCTCTCGAATGCGCAGCGATAAAACGTATGCGGGAAACGATGGGCTTCACAAACGCGATAGTAATGATTCCATTCTGTCGAACAATTGCCGAGGCAGAGAAAGTCCTTTCAGTCATGGCTGATAACGGTCTGCGCAGAGGAGAAATGGGTCTACAAGTCTACGTTATGTGTGAAATCCCCAGTAACGTCATCCTGGCGCGGCAGTTCACCCATCATTTCGACGGATTCAGTATCGGGTCCAACGATCTCACCCAATTGACATTGGGTGTAGACCGCGACGCATCAGGCGAGCTTGCAGACCTGTTCGACGAACAAGACGAAGCTGTGAAATGGATGATTGCCACAGTGATTGACGTCGCTCGCAAGGAGGAGAAGGAGATTGGCTTATGTGGCGAGGCGCCAAGCAACCATCCGGAGTTTGCTAGGTTTTTGGTCAACACTGGGATCATTTCGATTAGTGTGAGTCCAGATAGCTTCTTGGAGGTGAAGAAGCATGTCATCGCTGCGGAAGGGGTAAAGAACTCTGGAAGAGATGGACATTGAAGGTAAGAAAGCGCAAAAGTCGAGCAAGTCGTGACGATTGCAGGGAATACTAGGTAGAGAACTGAAATGCCAAGCGTCAATTACTGAATTACTGGCATATGCCGAGACGCTAATTACCAAGTAACCTTAAAATTGTTAAGCTTTGAGTACTTTGCCTTTCTCGTCAAGTGGTTTGTACCTCATACGCAAGACCACTGTGCGAAGCTCCACGAACTACCCTTTCGGTGATCTTTTGGTGGCGTTCGCCCAAGCCCGCATAACAATGACTACTGGTGGCATGAGCCAAGGTTTTCGTATATCATGAGTGGATGATGAAATCAGATCGGCGATCGATCGGTCAGGTCTCGCAGCAGGGCTGAAGACCCCCGAATCTTTGCGAAATACCTCCGAGGAAGGGGGGGGGAACTCTTGGCAGGCGGGTCTATGCTTTCCACGGGCATCGATACACTTAGGTCGCTGTCGCACCTACGCAAACAGCTTGTCGCCTCGAGGCAAGAGAATAATACTGTATCGCTCTGTCTCGATAGAATCAATAGCGCGGAATGCATATCTACACGCGACTCGAGTTCACATGACAGATGCCTCATCACCCCATTTAATCAGAGTCGATACCGTCTTGTTACGATATCGCGAGCCTATCGTCAGTGTTATTGCCAACTACATGATCAATGTTCCCTTGAGACGAAATCTTTACCAATGTGAGCCACACGGATTACCTCCGTCGTCATGTACCCTTCTGCGGTGGACTTATCGTAGTGGGCTAGAATAAACCTCTGTACTAGCGACGTCTGCTCCCCCAGCAATTCCTATGCATTTCTAAGCACTGTTGACACATTCCTGGCTGTCGATCCATAATAAACGCGACTCAGTAGTTGCGTTCATCGTGGCCATAATCACAAAGCTGGTCAATATCCGTGGCGATATACAAGACGAGCCATGCTCGACTAGGCTAAAGTCTTTGAAACATTTCATGGTCACCCGCAGGAGATACGTCGGAGTTCTTGAGATCGGCGGCGCAAGTCTTGGCTAAGTCCCCATGCTAATTGAATATTCTCTTGAAAAGTATGGTTGCGTCTGAGGCCGTCTTCTTGGTCCTCTTCATCGTCTGGATCTTCGCCACGTGACATCGCTTCGATGTTTTCTTCGAGTGTATGTCGCCGATGCCAACCGGTTTCATCGCCGTTTTGAATCGGCGAAGGGACATTAAGCTCACTCAAGCCAGAGAGATTCTCAGTAGAATGTTTGTTGCTGACTGATGAGGCTCGCTTTGCTCGTTCTTGCGGTGACTTTTCGTGGTGATGAATGCACCTGAACCAAGACAATATTTTTGAGAGCATAATGGTAGTGGTGCAAAGCCTGAGTGTCGCTTCCCAAAGCTACGGGTTTCGTCAAACTCTTCTAAAGGCTCGATCTACCCCCTTCCATCTTTATTGCAGGTTTCTTAACCCCTCTCTTTCCATATTCGAGGAAGTGGCGAATACGATGTATATGGCGTGATTGATGCTGAGAGACTGAGTGCACCTATAAAGGGTCTCGCCTCGAACCATCACGTTACGAAGTGCAATACCGTTCCAACAGTCGCTCAACACCTACTGTTGGTCCACGGAGACATTGATCGTAATTCATGTCTTGGGCCCTTATGCGTCCTCTTCCTGCGTATTTATTACGTAGAACAGGCTATTCGATCTTAGAACTCTCGGTCTACTAAGTGGTCAATTAATTCAGTTAACTGGTCACTCGAACGTCAGGCTTGAATAAGTACCAGCCTTTTCCTTCACAGTCTCAGCCACTCAATATGATTCGGAGGTCGATCTCGTATGTGTTTAGTTCTTGACCAATCACCAGAGCGCCATTTTCCGCGGTAAGCTCTAGTAGCTCGGGTTTTGCAATGTATGGGAGATTCCAAAAGAGGCTCATGACAACTAGTGGCCCTAGACGCTAACTGCTTACTTTGTTCGCTGAGGCATGGTCGCGGAGTCCGTCAAGGTAATTCAAGATGCTAGGGAATCACTCCACACTGTCGTAGAGGGCAACTACAAAGGAAGTGCGGAGGAAGCCATGCTCAGCAGAAGGGAGATTCCAGCTCGCATTCGCGTAACGGAGGTTTGCTAGTACAATGACGTGAGCTTGACATGAATACGGAATGGCGTGATCTTAGCCTTATTCTTAATCATTGACTTTATAGTGCACAAATACCAAGTGACTCAGGTGATTCACCAGGTGTATCTTGTGGCGGGACCAAGGAGGTCGCATAACTATATTGTTATTTTCTCTGGTCCACAGTCGTTCAAAGTCTCGAACGCCAGAAACATCACAAATACTGATTGTGCTTGCTTAACCCTTCAATGCTGATGATGTCGTCCTACAATTCCGAGACCGAGTACTCACCGGATCCAGGACCTTTGCATGAAAGCTTTATTCCCAAAAAGGTCGTCCAGTTGCACCACATTCAACATCCACAAGACATGCCAGAAGAGAACGACGAAGAGCAAGATCTTTCAGAACAGCATTTTGCGCCGACTGAGGACGAGAATCATCTGTGCAAAGTACAAACTCCAAAGGATACAGGAGAGGCCAGAACGAGGCCACTCGAGAAAGCCCACCGTACGGAGGGCACAAGTCACCCACAGCCAATATCACAGGTTGTGACACTGCAAGATGAAGCAGACGTCGCCTTTGTTTTCTTCACAGAACCAATTCAGCAGACCGTGGAAATTACACTACCTAAGCGTTCAAGCTCGCCCTGGATTGGAGCCGAAGGAAGTAATCTGGAGCATTACGGCTCTCGAAGTTCCACGCCGTCGAATCTGCTGTGGAAAGCGCATCAAGACCAAAAACTTAATGATCATTCTGTTGGCTGGGATCGCGACCGGGATCTCGACTGAAGCATCCTGACGTTGAGCACATGTGACTCTGCGCTGTTGATAAATCCCCCTGCATCGATATCACTAGCACTGCTATAGTCAATGTGGGAGTAATAACTGCCTGCGTCGCAGGTGTATGTATACATAACTTCTTTGCTACGGTGCTGCATCACTATGATGACTGGCGGGAAAAGGCTTTCCTCTATTGGACGTTCTATGCTTATATCTGAATGCACTTTCCTTCTAATGATGGATCTGGGTCAAGAAGACCGCTGACTTGCACGCTGTAAGACCTCTAGTATCCTACGCAGCACAAATAAAGCCTGCGAGCTTGCACACATAGGGTTCCCTGTTCGTCTTAGACATAACTTTCCCCAACTTTGAGACGTCTCAGCTTGGACGACAAGTATTATGACTAACACGATACTGTGCGGGGCCCCTTTCTCAAACTCATTCGTCAAATGTGCATGGTCCTAGCTGCTTTGCACCCAGCTACGCTACGGTGCGGAGATGAGTTCCCTCTACTCGAACAAAACATCCCATGTCTCATGGTCTCCTCTCGTTCCACGACGTGTCAACGAGGTTTCAGAAGCGAATCGGAGATAAACGGATCTTGCTCCAGACCAAACTGAGGTGTGGAATCATCCCACAATCATATGAGGACGGTGGATACGGCGAGAGCTAGTCATTTCGAGAAAGAATCCACTGGACAAAGAATCCACTGGCACGCGTCCAGTCAAAGGCTGGCATGGACCATGTAGTATCATGAGACTTCACGCTCTATTTTAACATAATGATGTTGAGAATGTTATAAATCGAAAGATGCCAAACAAAGAGATGCAACTATCTCTCACATCAGAACTTCATGTGCACTTATCGAGTTCGGCCTGGTTCATTCCACATCTTCACCCGCTATTTAGTAAGAGCATCGAGTACACCCGTCACTAAAAGACCATTTTCGTCCAAGACCAATATGGCACTACTACCTCAATTTCCAATCTTTGCTCCAATGCGCCAGGAATTTAGCCCGTTCTTCACTTTGTTCAATAATACTTTCAACGAGCTCCAAAAGATGTCTGACTCGGCGGCACGTTCTTTCACACCCAGATTTAATGTCAAAGAAGACCAAGACAACTACACTCTCGAAGGAGAGTTGCCAGGCATCCACCAGAAGGACATCTCCATCACCTTCAACGATGAGCACACCTTGGTCGTCAAAGGCCGTACTGAACACTATATGGAAGAAGGCCATCGGCCCCAAGAACCAGCGGCCGCAGACGCGGATAAACCTGTAGATGCCGGCGATCAGAAGAATGGCGAAAAGGCTACTATAGTTGCAAACCCAGAGCAGAAGGAAACATACTGGATTTCTGAGCGGAGTGTGGGAGAATTCACCAGGACTTTCGCTTTTCCGGCTACGGTTGATCAAGAAAAAGTGAAAGCAAGCTTAAAGAATGGAGTTCTCAAGGTCGTTGTGCCCAAGGTCGTTGGGAAGACATTCACAAAGAAAGTAACTATTGAAGATGCTTGAAGGGTATTGTAGAACGTAGTGATTGAGCATGCAGTTCTTGAGGATGGCATCCTACAATACCATTAGGAGTGGAGCTCGGCCAAGGGGGGGAGTCCTAAATTCAAAATGCCGAACGACTGGACACAAGTCCTTCCCATACTTAAGCTTCTTACGCGTTGACTTCCCAAGGGATGCAGCCTTGATTCTAGCGTGTGGATGCCACGTCTTGGGCAACAATAAGAGCAGAAATCGCTAAACCTGCTATCACGGGCAGGAACCATACAAGTAGTGTGCGGCAGGTATGATTTCGTGAATCACACTGAAATATACGCATTCAATCACAAAGAGCCATATATTTACACATAATTGAATTAAGAGTAGACTGAAGTGATAGCCAAGATAGTGATGTCGATGCTTTCATTTTCGCCCCGTGAGAGAAATTTGGGCATACGCACGCTCGGTAGTCATAACGAGAAGACTGCGACAACCTAGGACGAGATGCAGGGGCCAAATGATAATGCCCGTCAATTATGCAGCATTAGCTGAATCGCCGCGACAACCCGTACTCGTATACCGGAGCCCTCGGCGAAACGGAAAGCGAGATAAACGAGGAGCGAGTCTTCTCCGCAATCGAGCTGTCCCCCCCTTGACTTTGCACTGCAGGCATCATGCCACTGCGGTCGGTCAAAGTTATCGTACGATTCTGTGCTGGACATAGGTCAAGGTCATACTAATTGGGAGCAGTCACAATACCTAGTATCGGAGGTTGCAGTCATCATGTGTTTCAGCAACGCGGATGATGGTTCATGGAGTCTCTGCCCAGCAAATCCCATCATCGCCGGGAAAAGGCTTTCATGTCTAGCTTGGGTGCCTCTGGTACCCTACTGGTCTGACCTCCTCGCCCCGATTGGCCAACTCGAACACGTTCTCGAGGCTTCTACCACTCCCACTCCATCGCGACCTCTCTGTAAACCAGGATCATGTGAGATACTCTCGCTACAATTCTACGAACGACGGTAGTGCGTACTCTTCTTGAACTCAATAGTTAAGGAGTCACAATGACTTAAGCACGAAGTGTCGCACTGTGTCGTATTTTTAGAGCAGTATCAATATAATCAAAACTTATGGGCAGAACTTATATCATTGATGACTTAACTTCAAATACACAATATGGATAGTGCCAAGACATCTGCTATCGCCCCAACAACACCACTTTCAGCCTCGGATAGGGGATTGCAACCACGGGATTTAGCTTACAAACTTGCCTACCTCTCGAGAACAAAGATTGAACAAGAAGCATGTAAAATTGAGCCTCAGCTTAATAAACTCATCGGCCATGCGACCCTACTTGACTTGACGAAAGACTTCATCACTGCAGAATGTGACTATGGGCAGGAAGCAGAGGCAGACGAACCGGAATTCTTAGTGGACGATTGGTACGACAAACAAGAGGCAAGACGTCAAGACTCTGAAGAATTTGAAAATTCTACTATTGGAGAATACCACTTTTCTCGGTCGTCGAGCGAGCATATATCGTCCGGGATTCAGTTCTCACGGAGTCATGAGACCACTGAGTATATGCTAGCAGCCCCAGGAAGCATTGTAGAAACCAAAGAGGTTGACCCTGATGATTGGGAAAGCGGGAGTGGGTCTAGCACAGAATCAGGATCCTGCGATCAGGACAGCGAAAATGGATGGAGTGACTCGACGTACGAGGAAGATCAGGAGGACGACGCTCATGGTATCGAGGAGTCGAGCTATCACATAGGCCTATGGGCCAAGTAACCTCGGACCCTGTTACCATTGCCATGCACAGTCAGTGCTTGTTGAAGAATTGCATGGCCATCACATTCTTGAAAGTGGACAGTCTGAGAAGAATTCGATGCATCCACATAGTGGATTGGCCAATTGTCCGCTTCGTCTCTTTAGAAGAGTTACAACAGTCCGTCGTGAGACCTTGCGGCAACTTTGGGATGCGAGCAGCGAATAGGCCTTGCATGAACTTACTTGAAAGGTTGGAACATTGTTACCGTTCAACAGGGGTACTCGAGCTCAGTCCTGGGTTGATGCGACTGCAGCAGGTGCGAAATACCTAGCAACGCGAAGGCGAGCAACATCAAGGTGTCTATACGCTTAACGCACGTCCCGGCCCACGACACAATAACTAGAGGCTACCAGTAGCTTTATTATCCTCCACAACCCTCCAATTCAGGGTGTCACTTCACTAGCGGGCAGAATTCTTTCTGAACAAGAGTTATCACTTAGTGTATAAATCGCTGGTACGGTCTCATAAGGGCTTTGCCTTTGCGGACTATTTATTCGATCAGCTCCCTGAAAGAGTCATCTTTATCTGGATGGCGAGACTTCCCTGACGCCTATGTCTATTGGAGTATAGTGATACTGACCACCCTCTTCGCACCCTGCCTTCTATGGACTGGCTGCCTGTAGCCGGGCTCCCAATCCCGAAGTTCTCAGCAGCTCTCGAGCATCGCATCCATCTCGCTCCCTAGGAGCACGTCCATGGGCTACTAGCGAGAAAGATAACTGGCTTCTGAATCACTGTGATATGAGCCGCGAAATATAGGAGACAGAGCTTTATCATAGTATTGTTATCTGGGAGAAGAAGTTTTGCAGGAAAAGAGCTAAAGAGTGTTCTGTTGAATTCCAACAATGCTCTAAATATCACGAGCTAGCAATGAGTTATAGTCCTATTGCGGTCAAATACATAAGTTGTTCACAGTCACGATTTCGATAACGCGCTGGCCTTGTCGATGTGCAACCCGGAACGATTCTGAGCTTTGCTGCAGGGGTCGCCAGATCATGTAATCCTAAGCATACTTTACAGTCACACCACAATTATAAGTAGCCACTGGCATATGAGTATTTCGAGCTAGAATTATTCGACGCACGAGGATAAAGCCACCAGACGAGAACTCAAAAATACCATTTCACCAGCATTTGAGTCAAACAACACCTCAGCTCTCCTATTAGTCGCTATAGACTTTTGTCCCCTTTCACTGCACTATCCGGTTGCGATCCAATGGACACAACTATTGACAAGGAAATGATAGGTCACTTAATCCATTCGGATTGTGCATCGCATCACTGCAAAGACAAAAAAAGAACACCATATGAAGGAGAATCGTCGAAGAGTACAACGACCAAGGTGCAAAATTTGGCGCCACCAGAGTTTTTGCATTGTGGGTTCTGGCCGATCGCACAGACGAGCGATGGTCAAGATGATGACCAGGACCCTTCTCCTACGAGACGCCCAAAGACGCGAGCATGGTCACCTGAAGACTTTTCAAATATGGTTGACTCTTGGGTAGCTGACTTTGATTACCTCAGTATTCCAACTCTTGTAGGCTTGGAGACTGATATAGCCAAGAAATGTTAGTCCTGAACCACGACGGACCAAATTGCAGGTTCTATGAAAGCTAAAATAGTCATTAGTTAAGCTACCATACTCTGTCTTAAGGCTCCTAGTCAGGAAAACCAAAGGTGAAGGAGTTGGTGGAGGCCCTGAGTCCTCTTCGCAGAGAGAAGCTCTGTTCAATCGGGAGATGGCTGCCGAAGCCCAGGCCAGGATCGAGATAGCCGACTTTGTTGATACCATGGTCAATGTTGGAGATTATGAGGAAGCATATGGATGGATCCTGCCACTAGAGGTTTACCGCCAAGTTCAGTGGTCGAAAGAAATGATCAAGGCATTCCCAAGGAAGTCTCAAGAGTTTGGGGAGCTTATCAGAGGCAAATTGAGTCAACAGAAATAAAATAACCAGGAGAAGTTCGGTGCCCCAGTAGCTTGCCAGCTGGCATGAAATCAGGCAGGACGAACTTTCAAATGTAATACAGGATACAGAATACCACCAGAACGACCTCCAGGTCTTGTAGGATCATAGTCAATCGTTCAATGAATGTATAGGAGGTGAGAGGTTGAGACTGCTGATGATCCAGTGGCTTCGAATAGTTGGCACTCATGTGACATCTTGTTTCGATAATATCATACCACCAACACACCACCACCACCACCATAAACAACGAAAGCTATAAGGTCATCATCTACGACAATCTGAGACAAGACACCATGCTTTCATTTTTTCAAGTAAATAATCTCAGCGAGCTTAACATTTACCAGGGAGGTAAACTCCTTTCCAACTCCATTAGTTTGAAGTTATCAGAATGTCCGGGAATTCATCTGCAACACGAATTGCAATCATCGGCACGGGGAATGTCGGCTCTGCCATCGTCTACGCCCTTCTTCATCGCTCCATGAACTCTGAGCTCCTTCTTGTGGACATCAACCCTTCCAAGCGAGATGCTCAGATATGTGATTTACGAGATGCTGCCTGTGCGGAAGGAAGCACCACCCAGATCCGCAGCGGGACATTACGTGATGCTGGTAGTTGTGATATCGTCATTATCGCTGCCGGCGTAAAGAAGTGGAGAGGTGGGTCTGTCTATCACTGGCTAGCGACGAAGACTGCTTTTGGGACATGTTGAGTAACGCAGAAAGAAAGGCGAAACCAAAGTTCAACGACTTGAACGAACGAATGCGATCCTACAGAACATTATTGGCGGGCTGAGACCATTCTTGCTTCCTTCAACCATCATCTTGGTCGTCTCAAATCCGGTTGACGTGCTTACAACATTGGCGTACAAACTAGCGGGATTACCAAGCTCACAGGTTATTGGCCTAGGCACATACTTGGACACTGTAAGGTTAAGAAGGATAATGGGAGAGGATTTGAGGGTACCGTTGCTTGAGCTAGCTTCATTATCGCTGAGGCTTGGGCTATAACACACTAACCATCGAGTACAGATATTTCCAGATTGTATCCAAGCAAATATGCTGGGCACCCAGGATGACGGTCCCGAGGCCGAAGTCCTCGCATGGTCCACAGCTGAGGTCTCTGGTGTTCCCATCGCCGAATCTTCACTTGCCATCACCGGGTCCGAGTGGACAGCAAGATTACACCAAGAGGGTTCCGATATGGCGCACCTCAAGGGCGCTCCTGTGTTCAACATCGCTTCTTCCGTAGCCTGCATCGTCTCGGCGATCATCTTTGATAACAAACCGCAAGCGGGATTCCCTGGTCCCAGGTTTCCATTGGGACCGATGCCGATCAGCCACTATCAAGAGTCGCTGAGGTGCAGCATCAGTCTGCCAGCGGTGCTGGGTAGAAGCGGTGTTACTAAAACCGTGGCCGTAGAGTTCGATGACAGTGAGCGGAAGAACATGGTGAAGGCAGGTTCTGTGGTCTCGGAGATAGTAGAGCGGCTGCTTGGGGATGGGACGGAGGGGGCGGATGAATAATGCGAGCAGAATGGTAAGAAGCAATGGTTAAGCATTTTGTGTATGTGGGATATCAGCAGGACATGAACGGCGAGGCATCATAGGTTGAAATCGCATGCGGGCAATCATATGTGCCAGATTTGTGTTGGGCTCGATCGATAGGACGGAAAACTTCGTTCCTCTTTGTATTCTCTCGAAGGGATAGAGAGGGAAAGATGGGTGAGGAAAAATTATGCAATTTCATCATAATGACCAATCTGACCTTCAGATCGGATATCTACTCTCTACAGACTAAGTAGAGGCCGAGGAGCCAGCAATAAAAATTAGTACCAAAGACTGCTAATCATATACCAAATTGTTTATAGCCCTTGAGCCTGATTCATGGCCGTAACTCGGAGTTCCTTCCCATCTACTCAAATGTTCGAGTAACGCCTGACCTGGCCCAAAATTCTACAAGACCCAAATTATGCAATTGAAAAGATCCAAGATGGGAAATTCTCAGAGTCAAAGCTGATTTGATTGGCCTTACTCGGTGTCATTCCACCTTATCTACTCACGCCACTCCGATGCATGCGGCAATCGCATGATTCTAAACGTTATCTGATTGGTTCTTGATTGACGACACAGTCCAAGCTCTTCCGTGTGCATGACTAGACTCACAGTGTATGATAGCACGGCTCTGCGGTAGATGAAGTCGGTTCTCTGATATATACTCGAGAAGCAATCGAAGTTCCCAAACCAAATGCATTACTCTGAGGCAACCTAGCTGCCCTACTTTGATTCTTGTCGACACAACAATTGCGTATCGCCGTGAAGTCCCACTGCCTATTCAGCATAGCCCTTCATCTTATGTCGTGAAACTCAGATCGAGGGTTACACGCGCGTGTGACCGCTGCAAAATCAAGAAAGCCAAAGTAGGCTTATTTACTGATTCATATGATGTCATTTGACTGATATCATTCATAGTGCAACGGCGATAAACCATGTGCGAAAATGCTTACAAAGTAGTACAGCCTGTACTTACAGGTTGAGGCAGTCAAAAGTCTCTCCACATACTTTGAAGGCGTAAGTACTTTCCTAGAACCCGCGTGGGATATTTGCTGAAATCATCGTCGGGTCTTTTAGCTACGCGGAACAGTTAGGTCGTCAGCACATTTCGCTGATGAATTGCATACATCCGTTGTATGGGCAACTGTGTGTAGAGGTCGCACATCGAGACCAGAAACGCGCAGCATATCTAAGGTCGAAATGCTCCCTAGACGAAATCTTTGCGTTCTTGGGACTCGACCCTTTCAACACCAACACACACGACCGTGAAGAAAGCTCGCCTGAAGCTCCAGTCCATCCTTCAGGCGACGAAGGTTTCTTTTCACCGACGACAATACCCGCCTTCAAAAAATCATGTCCACCCCAGACTCCCAACAGCCCCACCCCAGTCTTTGAAGCAGCGGTAGAGCTAAATTTTGACCCTTTCAAGTTGACAGAAGCCCTTTGGCGCAATGAGGACTGTTTCGATCTTGCCCCAGCAACAACTTATCTAATTCCAGATACCAACACGGAGCCTTCCATATTCTCAATGCCAGAGAATGGGACGATCTTGAACATTGGTCTAACCCCAGAGATAGCAAATTCGCCTTGGATGGGAATGGACTGTACCGACAATTTTTCGTGGGAAGATTGCGGCACTAAGTTATGACAGTGACAACCTGTCTGCCACACACAGTTAAATATCATTGTGGTGAGGATCTTTGTGTTAAAAAACTATTTTATGGTTAATTAGGGCATACCTAGTCCTTCCCGAAATTAATCTCAAAATTTTTGAGGTGTTAGCACTATCCTCCTAACCCATAAGTATCGCCATAAGCTTAAAGAACTCGTATATATATATAAGGGTTTCTTGTGAATACAAGGAGTTGGACACTCTAGGCGACGTTATTGAGCACTTACGGCGCGTTCACAAACTATAATTTATCGAACGCCCTAGCCGTCTTAGAGATCTAGATAGCCGTAGATATATTTAGCATTACTTTAATTACAATATAAAATTAAATAAAGGCTATAGAAGTTACGACGCTAGTAATACTATGTAGAATTATCTAACCGCTTACTATAACTCTTTCCTCGACGATATTCGGTATTATGGTTAATTGTTAGGAATACCCTAAGAGGCTTCCTAGTAATTATATAACTAATAGGTCCGAGAATACCTCGTACTTCGTGCGAGATTCTAGTCTTTTTGAGCGATCCTCAAGGGCTTACGGACCTATTGCCTAACATTAATCTAGAATAGAAATAATATCTACTTTATTATTATCTACCTATATTAACTAATATAAGTATATATAACCGGAAGAAAAATAATAGTACTATATTAGTATTGTAGCTCGTAGCCTAGCGTAACTTAATTTACTATAGGAGCCTAGGGAGCCTAGGGCTACTCAGCGCTTATTCTATATTCTATAAGAACCTAGGGCTACTTAGCGCTTATTCTATATTCTATAAGAACTTATAGCTACTATTATGTTATCTGTGTTTTGGACCGGGCAGCCTAGTAAGCCCTAGGCTACCGTGGGCTCGCAGCGCTAGGCTGCAATAGATGCTTATCATGAGCTTGCAGGGCAAACCTTAATTACTATATGTTAAGACTAAGCGATACCCTATTAACGCCTAGTCACGTGATTAGGCTTATATAAGCTAGGATCACGTGGTATCCATTAGGCAAGGCTATACTTAAGCCTTACGGAAGATTCTATAAAACGCCATTCTATTCTATAGGATTAGAAATTACTCAACTTGATTTCTAAGCATCCTAGGAGTTAACTCGTATTTACGAATACTCGGTAATTACTCTCGTACTTACGAGATATTATGACGGAGCCTACGCCTATATAAAACAGGCCTATACTCCTTTACTTAGATAGATCTTAAGTCATTCAATAAGATAGGAAGCGACTATATATTCTACTCCTTCTTTCTACGGTCTTTAGCTACTTCCATAATAGATCCTAAACCTTGTCCCCCGGACACTATAGGTTCGCTAGGCTCAGCCTAAGTACTATAGGCTCGCTAGGCTCGTACTAAGTACTATAGGCTTATACACTAACTTTACTATTTATAGAACTTTTCTATTTTATAATTATATAGACTATTCTTAATAATACTAAATAGTAGCCTTAGTATTAGTACTAGTAAATATATTATATAATATATAGTAAATTTTACTAAAACTTCGATATTTTAAATTATTAAGTTATTAGCGTAGTTAGTTAATTAATTAGAGTACTGGCGAGTTAGCCGACTTTAGCGTAAACCTTAAACCTTAATTTTTTAAAAATTAAAAATACGCTAAATTTACTAATATATCTATATATAAAATTACCTAATTAGGAAATATAATAGTAGCTATAAGTTCTCATAGAATATAGAATAAGCGCTGAGTATAAGGGTTTAGCTAGGAATTTAGAGTAATTCGTCTAACTACCGTATAACGAGGATTCTAAAGCTAAGGAGAGAATAGAAAAGAAAAGAGGAAAACTATCTACCGTACGAATAAAGGAAATACCTCCCACTCTCTCCTATAGTAGATTAATATAGTTTCCCAGGAGACAATCGATAGAGGGGAGTCACGTGGCTTCGGCTGTACAGTTGTACGGGCCAAAGGTGCACTACGAGTGATCGCTCTAGGGAGCACTCTAGAGCTTTGTACGGGTTTAACCCGTGACACTAAGTAGCCCTAGGCTCCCGTAGCTCCCGTAGTAAATTAAGGTACGCTAGGCTACGGGCTAAAATACTAATGTAAGCGTAATAACGTAACTAGGCGTTTATAGAGTACCGCTTAGTCTTAATAAAAAATTATTATTTAACGAGAATACTAGTTACTAGTAAGCTAACTAACTTATTACTATACTAATAGACTATTCTATATCGTAGTATTTAATTAAGAGAGTATATTTTAGGTATCCTGCTTCCCTAGGAAATGTCTATATTATAAGGTTAGTAGTGTATTATATAATTTCTATAGTATGAGTACGCACTAGTTAGGCTTTAGCGCTAATCTAAGGAGACTAACTTCTCCCTTTTCCCCCAGCTTCCGAGATAATCTAATTATCTACTCGACGCAGGTCTGAGGTGATGTAATTTTCGTGATTGTTCGCGCGCCTCCGATCCTTTTCTCAACCTTTGTCTACATCGCGTCTTCACTAATTTCACATCAGCCTCGAGTCTTGACGCTTGACACAACGCTGGCCAAGTCACGAGACCACATGAATCCGGCCATGGTATTTGCAAATGCCTGCTCATAATTTCTAGACCACGATGACTAGACCCGTTGACGTTGTTGTAACAATCAGTGTACTATCAATTTTTGATGCCAGATGGACTCTCCCTTGACCCAGCAATCACGGCCAGATTCGTTTGAGCCAAAAGTCGTTCAACTATACCTTCATCTGTTCAATGTCCTCGCAAATGAGGAGGTGGAAGATGCTGTTCCGTCCGAGGGCTTTTGGAGCGAATTCTTTCTGCTCAAGCCTGATAAGCAGAAACTGTATGATATCCTTGAGCCCATGACCGCCTTTGACCTTCTTCATATGCATGTACAGTCGACTCTATAATCTCGCACTGCCATGGTTCCACTGACGGCCTAACAGACACAAATGCAAGTATTTTTCAAACGCTCGATTGCTGAAGCTGGCTCTGCAATGTCCCCGAGGAATGAAAATGCACTCGAAGTACGTTATGCGCATGGCGCAACTATCTATTATTGAGCAGCCTAGCTGACTCATGAAGAACTTGACTGCTTTTCTTTGCGCCGTGTTCAACAAGAAATATCCGAACCCAAACACAGATGTGATTGAAGTGCTGGCCGGTCTCGATGCGATTGACAAGTTGATGTCAGACTTGGTGCATGGTTTGGAAGCCATTATTCGCCAAGGGACCAAGCAATCATTTAGAACGAAAGCACTTGATACGGTATTGTCTTTGGTTGCTGGTGGGTTTCATACCAGTCTGGTGTCCTACTTCATGCACAAAGATCTGTTTTCTGCCCTGATGAAGGTGAGTGCGATTTTTCCTTTCGATATTCAAACTAATTTCAATCCAGTACATCCACGACATCCACGATAACCACGATCATGGCAACGGCCTCAAGGCTCTCGTGGTTGTCGGAGTACTTTCAAGCTACCATAAGTTTGAATCCCAGAACGTTTATCAAAACCGATTGGAAGATTTCGTCAATGAAGATACGATTCGGCTCCTCGTCCAGCAATTTGCCTCAGTCTCAGTACATATCCGGGACCAGTATGTCGACGTCCAGGATGACCAAACTCCTCCCTGGAACCTCAACTCCACCCTAGCGTTGGTTGGACTCCGCGGCCTTTCTGCCGATGCAAAGAAGCCGCTGCCTCCATCAGAAGATGAGGCAAAGTCTTTGTTTGCTTCTTTGCCCAAGCATGATGCCTCGGCAGTCCTCTCCTTGTACTCTTTCGTTCAAGCCAATAAATTGTTTGCTGCAAATCTGTTAAATGCACCAAGCGACAAAGATGCAGCAACGCCGTTCTCCAATTTTCTCTCATCAACCTCGTACATTTCGCATCATGCGCACAGAGGTCAGCGCCAGGTCACGTATGCCGTCCTCAGCCTTTTATCATTACGCATCATGGTTGAGGACCTGTTGCTGGCGAAGAAGATCTGCTCAGCTGACAATAAGATGGCCATCCGGCTGTGCCGCCAACGACCGCCTTTCCTACCTCTAGTCACACAAGCCAGGGTGCCAGCCACCGCAATATTAGACATATGCACAGATGCTCTAAGCCACAACCTTCGAAAAAGACTCGATGTGCAGCTGTACAGTCTTGCGTTGAGTATCATCTTGCGAGTCGTCACGTACCTAGAGAGGTCCAAAATTCGTCTGCTGCACCACTGGTCGTATATTTGGGGGTCGCTTCTGTCGCTGATGCGATTTTTGACACAGTATGCCGCCGATCTGAAACACCTTCGAGGTATTCGGGAGAGCCTATGTGCTACTTTGGCAAGTCTGGCGGCCTTCTGCTTGTCAAAGGGCGATGGGTTTCTGCCGGACCCGGCCAGTTACGATGACCTCTTCTATAAGTTGATAGAGGCTGACGATATGTTGCAAAAGTTCAAGCAGGCATACTGTGATCAAGAGTCATCGTCTGATACCCTGCGTCGGTCAATGAAGGCTCTGATCAGCGTATCATCCCACTACCACGAACTCCTCAAGGCCCAACACGGCAAGAAGACGCACCAGTCACCCACAGCAATCCAGAAAGTAATCAAGGAAGGATACGACACATTGAACTTGGAAGCGGATGACGACTTTGGGCAATGGGAACGATGGCGAGAGAGCAACTGGAAACCAGAGCTGAAAAAGATGATTCGGGTTTCGGTGGAAGATGCGAGGTTGTTAGCTCTCAGCTGAATAATGCTTGGAATGCTATCAGTCAAGGCCCATTTTCTGTGTGTTTCTCTTTGCTACGACTCGAGACAGACTTGAGGGGCAGACTTGAGGGGCAGACGCCTTTGCGAACATGAGATGAAGATAGATGTTGCGTTGAGACTGGGAGGACGTCCACTGCTGTTTATCATAGGCTCTTCGAGCGCACGAGGATGACCACGTGCCGGAGGACCAAGCGACGAGACACTAGCGCCGGGCTCTTAAAAATGGAGTGAGACCATTGCGGCCCCCAGTCAATGTTGATTTATTTTCGGCCCCCGCTGAAGAACGCCACTAATTATTCATTCCAGGACCTCGTACGAGGCACCCGAGGCAGTCCGTACGGAGTCTGTACGATGGCATTGCAAGCACGGCCAACCCATTTCTCACTGCAGTCACCGAGCACTCACTACCACAACAAAACATGGCCACTTGTGCGAAGGCAAGGCCAGGAAGACCGAGCAGGGCGATATTGCGTCTTGTATGACCTTGGGATTTTATGTGGACCTAGGCCAGTCACATGCTTCACCGCGTTGCTCAGTAACTATAGTGGTAATTATAGGCTAGTGGTGCAAGGGATGAGTGCCTGTCCATACCCCGACTGAACGAGCCAGAGTGCTGTACAGTACGAGGACGGAATACAGCAGTAAGCTCATCGAGACAATCACTCGTACATGAGTACAAATTCGACCCATGCAGATCTCGTCAACACAACGCACACTCAGCGCCAAATTGTCGTACTGTAATACCTATCGTACAGTACGAGCTAGGTGATGGAGCAATCTAGCCCCGTCTTGGGCCCAGATCACAAGTCCGTCAACCACTCGCACGCACTGTACGGAGTATGCTCAGTATTGTTGAAGAGATCGGAGGCCGCAATGGTCCGGCACGCGAGGAGACGCACACACACGCGCCACGAGGCCACACGCACAAGCCTTGCCCCTGACTTGACCCGAATGGTGTGGAATTATCCTTGCGGGCAACACCAAGAATTGCGTGTATTCCAAGGTCACCGCCCAGGATCCTCAATTGCCCCGATGGCGGCATTCCACGACTCTGAAAGCGTTGATTTCCTACAAGAGCAGTTCGGGTGCTGTTCTCCCCGCGTGTGAGTTTTATAGAGATGCTGTGCTGCGTAGTTAGGGTGACCACTTGCAGTTGAAAGGACGCCAAATCGTGAAAATATGAAAACGAGCGGTCAACCCCCTCGTTCAAACCTATGAGTGGAACAAACGTGACAGCCGTGGGCGGTGAAGATACACAACTCGTCCGCGGTCGTGCCGCTGGGCATTAGTGCCGGGCTAAGGGTTCGTTAACCATGACTATCTTGGACTACTGGCACTACGCTCCCACCGTCGATCCCCAGCTCCCTATGCGGCGGTCTCACATGAGCCCCGCGGCCCTCCTAACTTAACTAGCCCCTAACTAAGGTCTCACGTGTTCGCATGTTGGGGTTCTGCCACACCCACATCAACACCAACTCCACTCGGGCCCTCTCTTGGGTTGTCGTCTTCTCGTGCCCCCTTTACTCGGTACAGCTCTCGTACTAACCCCCCGGTGCTTCCCCTCCAGGCCCGCGTCTCCTCCGAAAACCCCCCCAGCCCCCCTGGCTGCCAGCCAACAGACCGTTAAGGTTACTCATATCTACGAGTACGGTGCTTAGAGGGGCGATTCACTCTTGCCCACTATCCACTAGCCTGCGGCTGATAAGTTCTCATAAATAGAAATCCATAAATTGTGTCCTCACAACATTGGACTTTCCCCTCCGTACACAAAACCGTCTTTCTCCTACCCAGATCTTTTTTCTCCCCATCATCACTCCCCCAGTTCTCTCTACAGGTTTGCATAATCTCTCCGCCGTATTTCATCTCATCTGTTGCCTGATCTCTTGATATCCCTCCATCTCTCTCACACTTGACCACAACGATGTCTAAGCGAAATTCCACCAGACTTGCCAATGGCCCTGCAGCTTCCACGGAGGCTGTCCCCAGCTATCTCCTCACTGGAAAGGTTGCCATCGTGACCGGCTCAGGTACGTTTGTCTCCTACAACATCCTTCAGAGGTGAAGGGTGCTGCAAGAAAATGCCATCTCTTGTGTTGGGCCACCCCTGAACGCCACGGCTTCACCGCCTCGACCCAAGCCGAACATCTTTGCTCGGCAGCCACACTTCCAGCTTGCATTTGACTAATTCTGCTGTGCTGATAGGACGAGGAATGGGTCGTGAGACTGCCCTTGAACTCGCCCGTCGTGGTGCTGATGTTGTCGTCAACTATGCCAACTCCTCCAAAGCCGCCGATGAGCTTGTCGCCGAGATCAAGGGTCTCGGCCGGGACTCCATTGCCGTCCAGGGCAACGTGAGCGACGTCGATCAGATCATCAACCTCTTCGCCGAAGCCAAGAAGCACTTCGGAAAGATCGACATTGTCGTCTCAAACTCCGGTGTTGTCTCCTTCGGCCACTTGAAGGATGTCGAACCAGAGGAGTTTGACCGCGTCTTCAACATCAACACCCGAGGACAATTCTTTGTCGCAAGAGAAGCATATAAGAACCTCGAGGTTGGTGGTCGCATCATCCTGATGGGTTCCATCACTGGCCAGGCCAAGGGTGTTCCCAAGCACACAGTCTACTCCGGCAGCAAGGGTGCCATCGAGACCTTTGTCCGCTGCATGGCCATCGACTGCGGAGACAAGAAGATCACAGTCAACGCCGTTGCCCCTGGCGGTATCAAGACCGATATGTACCACGCCGTGTGCAAAGAGTACATCCCTAACGGCGCCAACTTGAACGACGAGCAGGTCGATGAGTATGCCGCTACCTGGTCCCCCATGAACCGTGTCGGTATGCCCATTGATGTCGCCCGTGTCACCGCCTTCTTGGCCTCCCAAGATGGTGAGTGGGTCAACGGCAAGGTCATCGGCATTGATGGCGCTGCTTGCATGTAAAGTGCTCGTGCTCACCTCACTTCCCTCATATATAATTTTTTTTTGGCGAAGCCCAATATGTTCAGGTTGGAAGATAAATCATGATCGGGCTGTTCCAGGGATTGGGTGAAACGAGAACAGTACTTGATGCCACGATAGAGCTGGACACTTTTGGAATTTTTGGGGGGGAATATTTATTGGGAGTGTTCGAGGATGGATATGACTGGACTGAGCGAGAAAAAAGCAGCCGCAAGAACGGGGGGGCCATCACTAGTTGAGTTATCTTTTTGCGGGAAAAGACATGAGATAAAAGCGAGCGTGTCGTGTCGGATGCTTTGTACCATTTGCATTCGGAGCGAAACAAACACTCACCACCGCATTTGTGGACCTGGTGTATCCCTTTTGCAAGAGCGAGATACATACATCCATCTGTCTACAGTACCTTTGCTTACTAGGACTTGTGCCAGCCAGTCTCTCTGGTTGAAGTTAGACCGATGAAATTCAGAATTATCGCATGCCTTAGGAAGGCCGAATTTGATTCCGGCCATTGAGCTAATCTAGTTACGGGTGTTGACTGGTAGTTCCTAATCCATCATAAGCAAATGCTGTGAGGAATCAAATCCGGATCAACTCCGGACCTAGTTAGTTGCACGAGACGCGATTGCGTCTTTGTATTGCCTCTGCATGTGAACTGGTTTCACGAATGAAAACTTCTAATTCGCCGCCCTAGCCAAGCGCACCAAAGTCTCGTCCAGGCCATACGGCTCGCCGTCCTCTCCGAAGACGACATCGTCTCGCAAATACACGAGAATGCCACGACTGCGGCGCTCCGCATCCTGCAGCCGGTACAGCATGCGCCCAAACGCGTCCGACCGGTGGCTCGAGTGCAGGAGCAGATTGTTCTCGCTGCACCACTCCTCTACCAGCATCTTAAACGACATCTCATCATCGGCATTCGTGGCTGCGGCGGCGTGAGGTGTGCTGTTCGTAGTGGATCTGAACGTCGCCGACGAGTATGACGGGGTGGTGGGTTTTGGTCGTTGGGAGCCAAGCAGAGGTTTCCACGTCGGCCAGTTCTCGCCGTCGACTTTCGTCTTGACCAGGGATCGAAACTCGGGGAGGCGTTCGAGATCAAGGTCTGCGGACGACAACAGTGTCCACCAATCGAACAGCCAGGTGTGCATGGCCGGTGCCCTTTTGGGTCTACCCCGTGACGATGGGCCTGACGAGGATGAGAGCGCGTGCGACTCAACCGCCTTGGGAAAACGCTTGACTCCTTCAATGAGGCGTGGGAGAACTAGCTCATGTAGGATCTTGTAGAGCAGCCACGGCGCGAGAAGAGGCGTCCAGGCTGCGATGAGCGTGTACGCGGCGTCTGGGTCGTAGAGATCCCATTCTTTGGACAAGGCAGCACGCATGCGAGGATACCAGTGCAAAAGCAGCAGGGATTCGAAGCACGTGGTGCGCTTGCGCTGTTTCGTTCCGGCAGATCTCGAGAGTTCCAGCAGTTCGGATATCGACTGTAGCGATGAGACGAGATGATTGGGTTCGCTGAGGGGCTCCCAGTCGGCCATCTCACGTCGAAAGGGTGCTTCGAGGCACGAGACACTCAGTTCTGTCAGCGACAGGTCTTGAATGTAACTCGAATACTTGGCCTGGATAGCTTGCAGCCGGGATATAGAAGAATTCCAGTCTCGGCTTTCCATCGAACCGTCGACCGTGATTTTCTCAAATGCAGAGATAATGTCATTATATCGCTGGATCTCTTCGTCGTGCAGGGCCACGGAAGCGCCGAGTTGCGTATCCTCCGTATCAAGATGGACTTCCTGCTCTTTGGTAGAGTCCCATGCGTCGGCGAAAGCTTGCAGTTGCAGTTTGATACGCCCTGTGACTTTCGCGCCCTCGAGTGCAGGAGATGGGGATGCTTCTCGGGTTCGTGTCGGGGTGGAGAAGCCTGACAAGGACGTCATTGTTCTGATCTCTGCGCCAGTTGCATCGACGATGATCTGTTTCATGGGATCGGGCACATGCAAGCCACGTGACTCAATCGCATTGACAGCATATTTGGCTTTCGGAGCCGCCTGGATTCTCGGTGTGCTAGGCCCTGGAGTCGAGGCCTTTGACGATTGCCCTTCTCTTCGCTCGGTCTTCCGCCTAGGTCGATCTGCGGTGCCGCTCCCCTCACCCAAGCCGGCTCGACTGGAAAGGACTTTGGCCTGAATCGGCGCAGTTATACCCTGGCCAGATTTTCCGAGACCTTGACCTGAGGAGTATCCCATCTTTGCCATCATGCGGGCAGCAAAGGAATTCTTTTGAATCTTTCCTCCTGCCCCAAAAGCAGATGGGCCTGTACCGCTGGGCTTCTCAGGCTGCCTTTGCGAAGACATCTCTGGTCGAGATGACGGGCTTTTCTCCACATCGACATCCTCATTGTACTCGCCTATATTGAAGGAGTTGCGGAAGCCACCCATACCAGTTCCTAGACCTGGAGCAGAGGAAGTCCCCGACCCTACTCCCATGCCCATGCCCAACCCCATGGTAGGTCTTTCGTCGTCAATATCATCCTCATCCTCGTCTTGTGCATCTTCTTGGCCGGTAGATTTGACGAACGCAGTGCCACGAGTTCGAAGTGTCTTCATAGTTCTCCTGCGTTTGTTGGGTGGCTCGTCCTCGGAGTCATCATCTCTGTAATTGCGTAGGTTGAAGGGCTGGTCATCATCGGAGGAGTCGCTCATTATGTGTTGAGACGGATCAGCCAGGATTGATGCTGTTGAGTGCGGGGACAAGTTCCCTGCTGCGAGTGCATGAAAAGGGCCGTCTCAGACACCAGAATGAGTAGAGAGGATAAAGACGGACTTGGTTGTAGTTGCCGACATGCAGACATTGAGGTTGTACCTCCGAGGATTTGGACGACCGGGACGCATATGCAAACACCGTCCCCACGCCCCAGGCAGCAAAAAGAAGTGGAGTGCAAGATCGACACGTATCACGTGATTATTGGCACGTGATAATCGGCTAAACTGCCCGATTAGTTGCGGTATAATATCAGCCCCCGTTTAATTAATCAAGTACATTATCGCTAGGTATTCCTGAGTGTTGCCCGGCCACCACCAAACAGGGTTAATTATGTGCTGCAGCCTCCGGGAGATATATCACATAAGGATCAAGAATGACACCCGCCCACTCCAAAGCTTGTCTAGACGTTGCCGAAATCCCTTCTCGTTCTAACGATATTATTCCAGATTTCACAGCCGCGCTTGCGATTGGCGATGTCCCACGGCTTGCGAGCTCTTGTCCGAAATATTTGAGGCCCATACATCCTTGAAGCCTTCTTCAAGTTCGCTATAGCATGATGATAGCCTCTCATTCGTTGTCTTAAACATGATTGGCAAACCTGTCTGCTCATATGTGAGGTTTTTCGTGACCATAGCCACAAGCCCCTTGCTCGCCAACAGGATCTGTGGCATGCCGTGTCCCGAGAACCCAGCAATGATATATTGCGATGGTGCTCCAGGAACTTCGCCGATGTGAGGCATTAGGTCGGACGTGTAGCCCATGACTATCGAGTTACAAGAATTAGTGCCAAGGACCTGCCTAGTAGCCAACACAATGAGTCTCGAAGACAGCATACTTACTTCCAGTCCAAACCCGATCTGGGATCGCACCGCTGTCCTCCCAGCCTCGGAAGTGCCTCTGCATGTATCCATGAAAATACCGCTCCGAAGCTCTCAGCGCATTCTCATCGTCCTTCACGGAGTCGTACCATGACTCCTTGTCGTGCAGGAATGTCTGCCGGGCACCACCCACAACGATGCTTCCATCTGGCCGTGGAATGAGGTAGTCATAGTTGGCTCCGCCAAACCGGAGACTGTACGTGTTTGCCAGATGCGGCGAGCTAGTGCCTTTCGGTGTTGTGATGTGACTACATACGCCACGTACGGGAACGATCTTGTTTACGTACTGTGGCAAGACCGACGCGGTGTAACCATTGGTGCAGAAAATGATCTTCCGGGCCTTGATGCTGCCTCGCTGTGTCGTCGCCGTCCAGTGCCCCTCGGCGTCTCGCCGAGGGGAAACCCTGATCACTGGAGTGTGCGAGTAAGCCTGCAGGGCTGCTCGCTCAAGCAGTTTGCTCAATAGCTGCAGCACCATCTTCCTGGGCGATAATTGTGCTGCCGTGAAGCTGAAACAGCATTGGGCCCCTTTCACTCCTGATATCTACGGGTTATCTGATCAGCCTCAGTCTATGTCTTGCAGATTGTTCAGGGGTTTTCACTCGTTCAGCGGTCTTTTTCGAGGTATACTCGACGTCCGCCATATCGACCTGTCCACGCTTCAGAAGCCGCTTGTATGCCGCAGCAGTCTCGGTCGCATGTTGAGGATCCATGTAGACATCCACTGCTCGTGTCAGATGGAAGTCGCAGTCCAATCCCTCCGTCTCGACCAACTGCTTGGTGGCATAGACCCCAGTGCTCTCGAACTTAGCCAGCTCGGCAGCTTGCAACGCCCCGTATATTCTTTCATACTTGGACACGTTATAGTACGTGTCCGGCTTGACATGGCCACCATTTCTACTTGTGGCGCCCGAGGCATGCTTCCGTGCGTCAAGAAGGACTACTGAAGGAGTGGTACGCTTGTCTTCTAGGATATGATAAGCTGTAGCAACGCCGGCAAAGCCTGAACCTACGATGAGTACATCGCAGGACTCTGGCAGTTTTGGTGTCGACTGGTATTCATCCAGTGGATGTGGCGGCTCTGTCCAAACACTGGGGACAGGATTATCCACGGGCAGGCGTGGGGACATGGCGTAGATCTGTGAGCTTTCCCTTTCAGAAAGGGTTGCTGAAACTTGTCTCAGTGTAGAGCGTCTCAAAAGCAACTCATAGTTATCCAAAGATGTGGGATCACCATATGTCCGGTCTCTGGCTTTTCCAGCTCGGATGGTTCTCTATGGCAAATCTGGTAGCTGCTTGAAGCACGGCTATGGCTTTGATTTAGCACGCTTGGGTAATGACTTGTCCTTTGTGTTTGGCCGGCCCGGCACTTGGCTCTTAGCTCCTGTTGTGGATCATGCAAATACAGCAAGGTAACATAGAGATGACCATGACGTCTTCTGGTCATCAGCGCAATCGCTGCTTATCATGTTACGGTTTGATTGCTATTTCAACATTCGCCAGAACTGTATGTCAACAAGAAGTGTCTGTCAAACATCGATATGGACCCAAGGCTTACTGTCCACCATGAGGTTTGGCCAATGGCACATTTTCGTCTATCTCCTGGACCCCAGGGGCCTCTATCCTACTCGTAACCTAGTTCACCGAAGACATGATCACTGCTTCGCTATTTCAGATGATAACGAAACATTGCTACTTTGCATCTGTGTGGAAACCATCAACCTCTCGAGGCCTGGATAATGCCTTCTGCCATCTCCGGCAGGGAATCCGCCATGACTTTCATCTCCTCGTCAAAAATCTCTAAGCATGCTTCCTTTTCGTAGACGGTGCAATAAGCGCCCGTGAATCCTGCCCTCACAGCTGCTGACACGTCCCACATGTGAGCAGCGGCAAACCACTTCTCATCTCCTTTCGCAAGCTGCTCTAGTACCGACTTGTACGCTGCTAGCGCTGGTTTCGCCACACCTTTCGTATCACAAGTGAGGAAATTCTCCAATGGCATCTCCACGTCTGCTCGCTCGAAGTAACCCCTCACCCTTTTGATGTCGCCTGTGGTGAAGCACCAGACGGTAAATCCGGCTTCTCTCAATTTCTGGAAGCATTCGGAACAACCAGAACGAAGCGGCAAACTCGAGTAGCCTCTGATACAGCGCTCGCGTTCGTCGTCCGTGGCAAAAGCCCGCGGATCCGAGATTCCGGCGAGCCAGAGCGAGCGATAAAACATGGACCGCAGAACGTCATTGTACTGCTTGTATCGCTCCGAGATGGACAGGAACGTGAACTCCAACTCTGCGGCTGTCTGCCACGTGAAGCCAAAGTGCTTCGGGGTAATGGTATGCTGGCGTAGCTTGTTTCCGATGGCAGCATCGATGCACTCGTAGAAAGCGTCAAAGGATACACAAGTACCGACCACGTCAAAAACGACGTGCTTGCTGCTTGTTTCCATGGTCCTTGATGGTATTCATGCGTTTGTTTGATTTTTGCTGTATTCTCTTTCCGATCTTGTTGCGTGACGACGTGCCTTGGCAGCCGATAGCGAGAACAATGTTGTGCTTGTTGTCTTACCACCACGTAGCAACGTATTTATTGGCTTTGTATTATGATCGTCGTAACGGCGTTACTGTTGCCCAGCTGCACGTGATGGCTGAAGTTCATATTTGGCCAAGTGTGGTGGACAAGCCGGCCCGGCAGCAATTTTGTATTCGAGTTCGCTTCCGCTACCTGCAACTCCTAACCAATAGACTGTCTACTGGTAGTGGGATGCTGACTAAACTCAATATGGGTAGGTGCCACCCAGACGAGATATCGAGATTACTACTATCACGTGGTCAATCTCTGAGTTCTTACAGAATCTCCACGCGAAGCGGAGTTCACAGAGCGGTGGCAAACCGGGCCGGTAAAGTAGTTCAGCGCCACTTCCACGACGATAATGTGAGCAGATCCGTTTGCGAACACCTTGTAAATTCCAGCTAGCAAAGCATCGGATAAATTGTTTACAGGATGAGGATGAGATTGATATGATAAGTACTCACTGGGTAGGGCATCAGGACGAGAGCTAGCACGGTGCAAAGCACCGCAAGCCAGTATCACAAACCACACGGTGACATGGCGCCAAGTCAGAACAAGATGCTTCCTGTTCAGAATGGATTGACATCGTTCTGGCTGACACAGCCTCATGAACTACACGACCATCGAACAACTCCATCCATTCCAGAGCAAAGTGATATTGTCATCATTGGAGCTGGGTACGCAGGTGCTGCAACTGCGTATCACCTCCTTAACGAGAGTATCGGTGTGGGCAATCTCAGCATCACCATTCTTGAGGCTCGAGGAGCTTGTTCAGGGGCAACCGGGCGCAATGGGGGACACCTGCGCCCAGACCTTTACGGTCATATCCCCAAGTATATTGCTCGGGCAGGTGTAAGAGCTGGAGCTGAAATCGCCGAGTTTGAGATTGAGAACATGTGGGCCATCAAAAAGACCATCGAAAACGAACGCATCAACTGTGATTTTACGATGGCGAGGTCTGTCGACGTCTGGTGCCAGGAGAAGGCTGCAAAAGATGCCAGGGCTGCCTACGATATGTTGGTGTCCCTTGGCCTCGACTACATGAAGGATGTTTTTTTCACCGACGTCCCTGAGCAAGCTGAGGCTGTAAGTGAACCCTGATCCCATGTGCCTTCGTCACGAGGAGCAACCAAACTCACTCTGCCTAGTACTCGGGCGTCAAAGGGGCTTTGGCCGCAGCGTCATATACGGCAGGCACCATGTGGCCCTATAAGTTTGTTCTCGGGCTTTTAGAACCTGTACTATCTACTGGGAAAGTGAATCTCCAGACCCATACGCCAGTACTTTCGGTGAAACCCGATGAGAAGCGTGGTTTTGTGGTTGAAACAGAGCGTGGTACAATTTATGCGAAGCAAGTTGTGCACGCCTCAAATGGCTATGTCTCGGGCCTCCTCCCCGAATACGAGCGCAACATTATCCCTTGCAAGGGTATCTGCTCGCACATCGAAATACCCGTGCAAAATCGCAGTAAAACACCTTTATTCACCAACTCATATAGCAACCGCACTGAAGACAACACTGGCTCTTATCTCATTCCCCGGCTTGACAGCAGCATCATTGTAGGTGGAGCAGCACAGGTGTTCCGCCCTTTCCGAGATCAATGGTACGGGAACGTGGATGACAGCGTCTTGATTGATGCTGCAAAAGGCTACTACGAAGACTACATGCAGCGAACATACCGCGGTTGGGAGAACACTGGTGCTCAGGTAGCTCATATCTGGACAGGGGTGATGGGATACTCATTCGATTCAAACCCCCATATTGGCTCTGTGCCTTCCAAACCTGGCCAGTTCATTCTCGCGGGATTTAATGGCCATGGGATGCCTGTGATATGGCTTGGAGCTAAAGGTCTGGCAAAGATGGTGCTTGCCGAACGTGTGGGAGAAAAGCTGCCATTCAGTGACACTGGGATACCCACACTGTTCCAAACTTCACAATTTCGTATAGACAGAGCCTGGAGCAACAAGGAAGAGGATGGTGATATCTTGGGTACTGGCCATATATTTCTACCGACACTCCCTATATTTGAGGAGCGTGGCTTCACAAGCAAATTGTAGCGTAGATTATCGCTCCATCGGGAGGTTCTGAACTAGTGCATCGTCAGTGCGTTCTTAATCTGTCCTTCCTCTATGGCCTACGCTGACAATCTCAAAAGGCCCATTCGGGACGTCGATTTAGAAGTGCCTAGATTTATGAGATGGACTGTTACAGATATTGGGGCGAGTTTCCACGAGTTTCGAAAGGTATGTCCCGATGTCCTGAGCTTTCTGTTGAGAAAAAGTAGAGATACCTGGAACTTGGTTCGATGATGTTGCTTTTGCCCAGGAACCAAATTAAATGAAGTTAGCCAAGTCGTGATATGTCTTTATTTCCCCATAATTGTCGTGTTTTTGTATTTGATCACCGACAGGACGGTGTTGGAGATTCAGAGCGAGAAGCACTTTGACTATCGTGCCAATAAATGAATAACTCTATATCTTTGTGGATATTTGGAAACTCCTTTCTCTGGTTAGCTGCTGCCTGCCATGTTGCCGAGCTCATCCTCTCTGCGAAGGGGCCATCTTTCCTTTGGGGATTAACTGTCGTCAAACACGCCCAAGCCCAAGGCTGTCTTGAGACATGGAGTCTCAACCGAAGCGTTGCGTCTGGGAAATCATACCGGGCCGACTATCTGGTACTGGCATCTTCCCAGACATATCTGCGGAGCAGGTTCCCATATATGGACTAACCGGGCCAGCTGCACCTTATCAGCATATTCCACACGTGGTGGGAGCTTGTATCCAGTGCACAGTCCTTTGCAATTCCTACCAAGGGGGAATGCGACTGTGAGAACAGACAAGGGGACGATGCGACCCGCTGGCCGGAAAGCTGGGGTAGTGTCTCTCGGCGTTAGTAGTACTCCGTATTTCTCAAGCGGAAGCAGGTTACCCGTTCACGTTGGTTCCGCCGCATTGTCTCAGTATTAGCTCCATTTCAATTGGGCGTAGCTAGATTCAACGCTATACGAGACCGGGCCGGCTTATCACCCTCCACATCTTTATCTCACCACCGCGACGAGGCTAGCGTGGACAGGCACATGGACGTCTCTTCATACTTCCAGGACCTTTCATTCTCCAAGATCACCCTAACATGATATGGAGGTAGATATATACGCTCCCGCAATCATCGAGAATAGCCATCTCAACATCGTCTCCCTCTTCGCCTCTTAGGACATCTTCGTTTCTCAGGTTACCATCCACCATCATGGCAACTGTGTCGGACTCCAAGGAAGGAAACCCAGGGGATGTCAAGCTTGTCGAAGCTGATACTAACCCTGCACCATCTGTGAGAATGCAATGGGGACAAGTGATAGAGATTGATGACGCTTATTTGCGCGCATCGCGGGCAACAAAGATATGGCGGAGCGTCTTGTTCCAGATGGTTCTCTTCGGCGCGTAAATACTATTGCCCCTGCGTCCTCCTTCCGCACAATCCGCAGTGTATGGCTCACAATGACACAGGCTCTCATTCGTTGGCCCTGCCATGTCAGATGCTATATCCAACCTTGGTGGTGGTGGTCTCTCTACACCATTTTTAGCCAATCTTGCGACCTCCCTGAACTACGCGGCTGGGTTTGTAGTGACTCTTTTTGGAGGGCCATTGATCAACAAGATAGGTATCAAATGGTCTTGTTTCCTTGCAGCATTGACCATGCCTCTTGCTGGCTCCGGGTATTATGTGAACGCACGATATGACGTCGATTGGTACCTCTTATTCTCCAGGGTATGTGCCGCTTAGTCTGAACCGTCAGCAGGGATGTTAAATTTCCACTAAGCCAATGCTGACCACGTTTCAGGTATTGGGAGGCCTTTTCAACGGCTTCCTTTATGTTGGGGAGACCACTGCAATGCTATCATATCCAGACCAAAACGATAGAGGTCTTTTTCTAGGTATGTTGGCAGCAAACCAAGAAATCAAGCCGAACTTATGTGTGCTCATTAGGCATCTGGTCCGCAATGAGAAATACTGGCAGCATCGTAGGAGGTGCGATTAACTTTTCAACAAACTATACAACCTCCTCCGCTGGTGGCATTGCCTGGTCTACATACCTTATCTTCGTCGGCTTTGGTAAGCTTCAAGCTCTCAATTTGCATTTCAACATGCTGACGGAATGATCCTACAGAATGTACAGGTGTAATTTGGGCTCTTATGCTCTCGCCCACCAGAAAAGTTCGACGCCGGGACGGCTCCACCGTTGCTATCTCTGAGGATATCACATGGGCACAGGAGTTCAAGGCGTTGTGGAAGCACCTCCAGCGCAAAAAGGTAAGCGGCTTCAAGTATGGGTTTGATCCAACATCTCAACTTCATTCACAGACTTGGCTGGTGTTTTTCCCAGCCTTCTACTCCTTCTTCTACGGCGGAACCATGGGAACCTTCCTCTCACTACATTTTAGCGTCCGCGCACGTGCATTGTCGTCTCTCATCACTCGTGAGTACCACGCTATGTACAGAAAAATCTTCAAGTCCACCATCTAACGTGACCCAGCAACCATAACTATTCCGATGGTCATTGGATATGGAAAACTCTTGGACCAATCTCGCTGGTCTCAGATCAGCCGTGCGTGGCTGGGATTCTCAATCTGGGTTATTCCTCAAGCTGCATGCTTTATCTGGCTGGGCATCGAATATCACAAGTTTGGTGCTGAGAAAGCTGCACTTGACTACGGCCTGTAAGATATGTACCTCGCACAGCTTGAATGTGAGAGGAAGCTAACAGTGGTTCCCCAGTGAAACAAATAGGTGGGCAGAAGCCTATCTTCCCTATCTGTTCGTCTTCAGCTCTGGATATCTATGCCAGCTCTCGCTATATTGGATTCTCGGAACATTTTCGATCGATGTCAGGTCATCCGCACGCACGGGTGGTATCTTCCGAGCCTTCGAGACCCTTGGTCAAACTGTTTCGTATTCTATCAACACCAACAAATCTGCAGACCCCCGACATGCCTTTTATATCAACTGTGCTTTGTTGGCCGTTACCATTCCATGCATGGTAGGTCTAATTCGCATGGTTCCAGAAGTTCCAGCCAATCATGACGTCGACATCGAGGGTCCTCGATCCCGCGAGACAGTAGTGGAAACGGAGGACAAGGTCAGGACAGTGTGAGCAGGCTAAGATCATGTGTTTGATAGCGAACGTATATATCCTTGGGTATCTTCCAGCCACTAAGCCGATGGCTACTATTTATGTGTTTACATATCTCCAAAGTGAGTGGGAAGAGGGAAGAAGTTCAAGAGTTGGAGGCCTATTCTGGCCAATACACTGAGCGTAGGCTTACGGGACAACCTGCTACATGGATCTTGGTGAAATTATGCCGAGCATAGACACCTTCCTCCCAAGCAACAAACCTAGGCACACGAGAGAAAACGGCAAGGCTGCAGTGTAATGACAAATCTCGCATGTATTAAAGCGGCGTACCGAGAAGTTTGCTGGGAAATACCTTTTTATCCCATGTTTATGTAGTTTCACTACAAAGCAATAGTGTGGAAAGAATAGATTCCGCTCTACGCAACACCCTCAACCTGAGGAGCTAGCGAGTACGATTTTCCGACTGAAAAAAAGCAGGGTCTACAGAGCTGGAGCAATTTGTAGAAATACGCCTGGAGGGAAAGGAGAATGCAAGGATTACTGAGGAATTGGAAACCTCAACAATATATAGGCAGGGGCACTTTCGCTTATTTGATTGTTGGAGAGTTTCGTGCGAGGAGACTAATTAGCAAAAGAGCGCCGATCTAATAGGACAAATAACTTTCTTCATTTAAGATGGCAATGGCTTCCGTAGCTGTGTTTCAGGGGGGCGTCGATGAAGGCCAGATACTATCCAGAGCTGGCACAATTGCTTCAGTATCCATCAGGCTGACCGTTGTCACTAGCCCATCAGGGTACCGGATCTGGAATATCATTCTGACTTCTGCATGCCCTCTCTATCTTACGGGTTCCTCCACAACAAGCCCAAGACCTTGATGACGTACATACCGGGTGACTGCAACATAGGAACAACCCGGAGTTATCGTTCAAGTGAGCGAGACTTCTAGAGCGAACTCGACCGGCTGGATGAGAAAAGACAATTGAGCGGGTAGACGGGAGGGGACTGATAAGGAGTCGAAAGAACCACATGACCAAAGGGTATCGGCGTATAGTCGAGACAATCCCAAGCTCGAAGTCTCCGTCAACAGTCCGGCCCGTCATTCGTGTACTTTACATCCAAGAATGAGGCATTTGAAAATCCCACGGGTGAGTACATACCTGTGTTACACCCACTCACCGCCGTCGTCTGCCCTTACTACTTCTCAACTGGGTGGCTGGAAAATACTCGGCCAACTATGGCAATTACAGTCTTGAAATTCGTAAATAATCCGGCCCGGCAGACGCCTAGGAATGACGACGTCGACAACCGCAACTAGTGTTACTGGCAGCCTCGTCGGAAGGTGCGAAGCGATCACAAGAAGGCGTCCGGTCCTGAAGCTTCGATGGATGGTTGATATAGGGTTGCCAGCTCAGGTTTCAGTAGAGACTTCGCCAACCCAGGAGGGTCGAACACATCGAGAATGCAGAAGACAGATCATAGCACTATGCAGATCTCAGCGACTCAGTATTGACTAAGCAGTCAAATGACCTGCCATTCACTGTGGGATGATCCCTTCCATCAAATCTTTGAAATGGAACATACTAGTTCTAAGCCTTGGCAAGCTGAACGATCCTTCTCTTCTTCACAAAAACGCGTTTGTGAATGGCAAGTGGATCGAGGCTAAGTCTGGTGAACGGTTTGAGGTCAAAGGTCCGCCACTCATAGCACAGAAAGAGCATAATGCAAATCATGTACTGAACAATGATGCAAACACTTGCTGAACTCAAGAACAGATCCTGGAACGGGGAAGGTCTATTCCACCTGCCCTGTGATTGCAGCAGCCGATGTGGACACATGCGTCGAGTCTTCGCAAGCTGCATTTGACAAATATTGCCATATCAACACCCGAGATCGCGCCAAAATGCTACTGGTATGGCACGACCTAATCACCGATGCACGAGAGGATATTGCCAAAATCGTCGCGTACGAGACAGGCAAACCTATGGCAGAAGCCCCGGGAGAGGTAGACTATGCTCTTAGGTTCACATAGTAGTTTGCCGGCGAGGCTGAGCGGATAAGGGGTACTACAGCGATACCCTCTATTTCGACTAGGAGGGTATTTGTGGTTAAACAGCCGATTGGCGTATGTGTTGCTCTCGTGCCTTGGAATTTTCGCGTGGCAATGATATTGTGGAAAATCGCTGCCGCACTGGCTGCTGGCTGCACCATGATTATTAAACCGTCGCCAGAGACGCCTTTGAGCGTACTAGCTCTTGCAGATCTCGCTGCTAGAGCTGTGTTTGGGGCTGGCGCTGTCAACGTTCTGACAACTAATTTAATATTAATTATTTTTTACTGACTTCACCATATATCAATATCCCTTTATATACAAATATGGCTAAAACACCTGAGGTAAGCGAAAGGTTGTTTAAACACCCACTTGCGAGGAAGGTCACATTTACCGGTAGTACGGCAGTGGGTCGACTCATCGCTAGGCATTGCCGTGATGGCTTGAGGAAGCTCACGCTGGAGCTTGGCGGCAATTGTCCTTTTATTGTTTTTAATGATGGAGACCTGGAGGGAGCATTGTCAGCTCTAATGATCTTGAAGTGGAGGGCCGCCGGGAAAGCGTGTACACACGCTAATAGAGTGTATGTACAAAGAGGTATCTTCAAGAAGTTCGAAGGTATGTTAGTCCATGCAGTGAAAATGATGCGAGTGGGGCACGATGACATACCTGGGACGACAATGGGCGCACTGACGACGGATTGCGCAATCGACAAGCTAGAGAGGCACGTTGCTGATGCGAAAAGCAAGGGCGCCGCTATTGTGACTGGCGGGAGGCGACCGGAAAATCTTCCAGGTAACTTCTTTGAGCCTACAATCATGTCTAACATGACAGCGGATATGCTCTCTTGCAATGAAGAGATCTTCGGGCCTTTACTTGGTCTGTCTGTATGTCTTCGATACTGAGGACGAAGTTGTTCGACTTGCCAACAAAACAAGCATGGGCCTGACATCATACTTCTTCACAAGCGACGTGGATAGGATGTGGAGGCTACTGGAGAACCTCGAGGCTGGCATGGTTGGCATGAATTCTGGTGACTTGCCTCGTGCCTAAGTCAGTCCTCGAACCTTTGCTGACTCGTTACTCCCAGGTAATTCTTCGTGTGCCGAATCTCCCTTTGGGGGGGTCAAGGAGTCGGGGTATGGTAAAGAAGCGGGAAAAGACGAGTCAATAGAGGAGTACCTGATCTCAAAGACGGGAACTCTGACACTGAAGCTGAATGCGAACCTTTAGGAGACAGTGGAAGGGTCAATGATTTAATCCGTATCGCACAGCGTAGTTCACGAGTCATTCTAATGGCGTGAAGTGCTAATTTCCCCAAAGCTAGAGACTAGCCAAATTGCTGACCGCCATCATTGAATCCGTTCGAGAAGGGAAATTGATAGTCGGGCACAGCTAGGAAACTCTCCATGAGTTGTCTTTCGGGGTGCGCGTATACATCTGATGTAGGGTTGATACTTTCGAGACCGAAGAAGGCAGAGCCGGCGGCCGACTGTAAGTGCCCCAACCCTGTGGGGTCGGCGTCAAGAAATTCCAATACTGCACCCGTCCCGGCAGTGCCACTCATTGACCGTCCCCGCCAGTCCGGCTGTCCCTCGTCTATGTGCAAGTTGATCTCTGACGATTCCACATGTCTGTCAAGGTTTGATGGCCTTGCCTGTACAGCATGACCCTGGCTCCCAGTCGCAATATTGGTCTTCCAGGTCGAGCTCCATTGTTTGAAGCTATCGTACCCTGTAGGAGGTCGTTCACCGACGGCATCTTGTGTGTGTATCTCAGCACCGAAAAAATGCAAGCGCTTGATGGCGTGTTCCAAGGTCTCGATCAGGAGGACCTCATACCTCGCAGAGTCACCGGTTGCCGACATTTGGCGAATGATTTCCAGGCCTTCTTCCAAAGAGTGATAATGCTCGTCTGTTTGGTTTTGAATGCAATAAGCGATGAGCACCAGCAAAGAGGCTCTGCAAGAACTGTATTCAATATACGACGACTTGGCAACTCCTATGCCGCTCTCACGGAGGGAACGACCAATTTCAATGACTTCGAGAGCTCCTTGGACGCAGTCGTCCACCAAGGACGACTTTCGCGAAGGACGAGCGTTGTTTCCAGAACTGGACTTATTACCTGGGGTATTACTAGGTTGTGGCGGTCCGATGCCACCATCAGAAGTTGCGCTAGGTGTAGTACCTGCCCCTGCGCGGCTGAAAAGAAATGGTCGACCGACAAACATTCGGACAAGGCAATACTCGAGCCGCAGGTGCAGTGATGGACGGGTAGCTGATCCCAGCGATAAACCATCCCACCACTTCTTCATCTCGCCTTTCAATTCTAGCACACGAGATAGTATGCCGGCTAGGTCGGATTTCTGGCACTTGCGGAGCAGTAAACTAGGATGCATAATGAGCGCGATACGCAGCAGCGGGGGAAGGATATCACTGACAGTTCATTCATAAAGCCTTCAAGGTATTTGGTCAATTTGATTGACACTAAGAGGTTTGGCGCATCGGGGTGGTTTTCCTGGCTGTGGAGGCTAATTTGATCAGAAGGCAAATCGGTGTCGATGCTTGAGGCTAGAATTGATGTCGGCCGGCCATGGAAAATTCCGATCTTTCTGTATGAAAGTCAGTGCAGAACCAAAGTAAGGCGGTAGTCTTGCCTTTCAGTACAGTACGCAGTCCACCAGACTCGGTTACGGGTTTCGATCGTACTCGGAGAAAAAGTGTAACTCGGCAGGCGCCGATGCATGCCGTTTTGAATTGCTAGTTTGACGGCTATATTCAGGTAGATGTAGGCTAATCCGGAAGCATCAATTGGCAGTGCATAGAGGCCGAAGAGCAAACAGGCCTGCACACTCTCTAGTGATGCAAGATGTATTACCTCGGGCAGCAGCTTCGTTGCCTGGCGGTAGAACATGGTACCAATCTCATTTTCCCATCCAGTATTTGGACTGGAGTCTTCATTGGTGTTAACAATCGACTCAAGATGTACGTATTGAGTTCCTACGGCGAACATGTTGAGCATTATCGCGAGACCACCAGCGTCCTTGGCGGTAAGTTCCAGAGGGTTCTCATAGACATGGTCCAGCCTTTCCGTTAGCCAAAGGCGTTCAACGTAAAAGTAATTGATAGCCGCATGCTTGAAGAAGACATGCATCAGGAATCCTGCGACCTGGCGAGGGGGAAAACTTGCACGGGCTTCAGTGATTTCGCTGGAATTTGCATGGAGCTCCTCGACACGCCAGTATTCCGGCACGTGATTGGGATCATTGGAGCCCTGTTAAAGGTCAAACACTGTCAAACTTGAAGTAAAATGGCGAGAAACATACAGTAGTATGCGACGACATCATCCAGTCTTTCACGTGTTGTTTGATTCGCATAGAAAAATTCCAATAAGAGAATTCGCCCGAGTAATCTCGGACGAAAGTCAGCAAGCTGCATCGCTCACTGAGTCTCCTACTTACGTGCAATGGTGTCATCTACTGCGTTGATAGTGCAGTTTTCATCTTCGATGTTGAGATCACCTTCCATATCAGAATGGGTGCGTTCAGCAGATCCGTGACTAGGAGCTTCTGCCTCCGTCAAAGATTCGGCTTTAGAACGGAGGCTGTCAATATCGAATTCGAGCTCTGGATTAGTATGCCGCAGTATCCGTCCCATGTAACTTAGGCGGACCCGTAGGTCTTCGACTTCAACATTAGGAACTGTGAGACTGGTTGATTCGGTCAGACTGGTCCAACCTCAACATGGGATTGTTTGGGAGGACGAACCCATGGCCTAGATTGTTGGGAGTCGATCGCCTTGCGGCCGATCGCTTGAACTCACATGGCCGCTGGAAATGAGCACATCGGTTACAAGGAGTTCCTCCTTCACACTTTTCTTTGACACGACGACATTCATCGCAACTGACCGCGTTTAGCAGGGCGGACGCCATTCAGCCCAAATATCAGGAAAGACTAACGCACGGACAGCCCGTTCTCTCTCTTCCCCCGCGAGTCTGCGCTTTTTGAGCCACCTGACAGACGACGCTGCGGCCGCAGAGGCCTGCTGTGAGCCGTGGTGAGGTGGAGGCTCGGCCGCATCAGACATGACCTGAATCTTGCCGAGGTAGAGTCCGAGCGAGGCTAACAGCTAAGTTCGTGGATGAAGACAGAGCCCGATAGAAGTTTGTAGGGAATACACTGTGAGCATACCAGGAAGCCTCGAGCGGATCACTGTTGAGTCTGTCGGAGCGTGAGAAGACGGAGAACAACGGTAAGGAGGTCGTTATCTTGGTAGCAGTCAAGCTAAATTTCTGGGCTTTGGGTAGTTGCCCACGTGACATCCCCGCCATTAGGAGATGCCAACACTTTTTCCTGCTTACTGGAATGCTGGAACGGTAAGCATTCAGTTAGTAATCTAAATAGGGCTTGGGTTATCAAGAGAGCAATAATCATGAAAGGATCGAGAGTATGAAAGCCGTTGTCGAAATTAAAGGGCCAACGCGTAGATTTGCCTAGGAACCTGCCCGGGCGCGAGGAATGTCCTGAGCCTATCATCAATGTGTGCCACAAGCTACCATGCATAGACATGTAGAAGAGGCTGAGAGACGGAACAAATCGTGACAAATATGTTGCACGTGATTTCGTTTTATCATCAGCAGTATCAAAGGCTTGCCCCAAAGCAGAACGTTCCAGGCTGGGATTGTAGAGAGCGAAAGTGCAAACGCTTCTGAGTGTTGGAGAAGGGCAGATCGGCAAGAGATGTTCATGAAAAATCGTCGACAAGTTGAGAAAGAAGGAATAGGAGAGCATATGGACACAAGCAGAACGCGGCGCCGTCGCCATCGGTGCTTATTCATGACAGTATCGTTTCGTGCAAGGGCGAGATAATTAGTCTCGCCTTCACCTGCTTTCGAGTCGCTCAAAATCTCACTTCGCAAGAAATAAGGGGGGTTCATCTCAAGTATACATATCAAGGCAAGGTACGGCTGTATGATGGCGGGACGTTGCCTTCATGCCCACGCTCGGCATGCGGAGCGAGGTCGGCAAAAAGCAATTTTTTGTGACAGGTACCAGAGTAGGGAGCACCCACATCTTTTGAATACATACCAATGTTAGTCCTATGCATATATGTGGAGGCATGTTCTTTGTCAAAGTCGATCCCCACTGAGCTCGGAAGGCCCCTTGTAACAATAGCACATTCGAATGTGACCAAGCTGCTGGACTTTCGCTAGGATCGTCTCCTGGTCTTGGGGTGTTACAGCCTGCGGGGCCATTTGATCAAGTCGATTAAAGCACCTGAAAGGCAGTGTTATAATTTTCGTCTGTCTCTTTCATCACCAGGTTGTTGTCTCTGGTGTGGTATTTTGGTAGATTAGGTGTTCCAGCCTCTTTGTCTTTGTCTCTCCCTTGCAGTCTGGTGCAGGTCTAGTTCACCTATCCTCTTGTGGTTGTCCACTCGCGGCAGATGTTGACGCTTGCTGGTATTGCTTGTGAGTGATGTGCCACAGGCCAGCGCAGGCCCTTTCATAGTCTAGGCCATGGGACTAGGGATGAGGTATCAGCTGAACACGTAGGATCAGCTCCGTTGTAATTGACGAGCCCAGGCATGTCCGTTTGGTTTCAGCAGCAGCATGTCCGGGCTGGTGCAGGAGGTAGGTTGGACGAGGTCGATTCAAGTCCTGCGCAAATGATTCGCCTGCGCAAGTGTTGACGCGTGATCTCATGATATGGTGGCAATTGAACGCAAGGCTGAAGGTCAGCCTCACACGTGATCTCGGAGCTCCGGGAGGATGTGGTTGCCGTGAAGGTGACGTAAAAGTTGGGGAAGATTGCAGCAGGGTGCGGTGGGAGCTCGCAAGAATCCTGGAACACAGCACCGCATGTAAATATCTATCTATCTGCTCGTCTGTTTCTCCTTGCTAACCCCACCTCCGGACCATTTGTCCTCCCTTCCTGTCACTCTTCTGTAACTATGGCGTCTATTATCAAGTCTGCCGCTCGCCCTTCCGGTCTCAGACTCGCTGCCGCCTCTCATCCGCTCAGATGCATTACTACCGCCGACCGAACTTTTATCAGACGAAAGGCTACTCTCCCCGACTTGTCCTGTATGTTCCTGTGGATATGCCCATACCGGGGCGCTCACTAACATACTGTGTAGATGACTATGGCGCGCTCGAACCAGCCATCTCTGGCAAGATCATGGAGCTCCACCACAGCAAGCACCACCAGACCTATGTCAACTCTTACAACGATGCAGCGGACAAGTTCGCCGCAGCCGAGGCAAGCGATGATGTCAAGGCCAAGATTGCCCTGCTTCCACTCGTCAACTTTCATGGCGGTGGTCACATCAATCACAGTTTATTTTGGGAGAATCTAGCACCCAAGAACAGTGGTGGCGGCGAGCCTCCCACTGGCGATCTGGCAAAGGCCATTGACGCCTCCTTTGGAGGCTTGGAAGAGCTCAAGAAGAAATTCAATGCTGCTCTGGCTGGTGTTCAAGGCAGTGGCTGGGCATGGTTGGTCAAAGATACTCAGACCGGTAACATTTCCATCAAGGCATACGCCAATCAAGATCCCGTCATTGGGCAGTTCAAACCGTTGCTAGGTATTGATGCCTGGGAACATGCTGTACCTGTATCTGAACCTCCTCCGATGAGACCCGCTAACCCCTGGACTTAGTACTACTTACAATACCAGAATCGCAAGGCCGAATATTTCAGCGCGGTTTGGGATGTCGTTAATTGGAAGGCTGCCGAGAAGAGGTTCTCTAGCTAAATGCTCGAGTCTGGAGACTTTATCTCACCAAGATGTATCAAAAAGCTTAGTACACGCGCACATGTGTCCTTCAGTCCTTACGCTACACATCTCCTGCGCCTTTGTGAGATCTCAGTCCATCTGCGAGATCCTTGACAAACTTTTGGTCGATGGCATTTTCAGGATAGCTCATGCCCGTAGGATACTTCTGCCAAACGAGCCAGTCCTCGGCCCTAGCATCTTCGGGATTTGGTGGGTCGAGTAGCCCAATGCCAATGTCAATCGTGTCTAGTCCGTGCTTTTGATAGAAGACCGTTGCGCCGCAAGTCCCACAAAAATACCGACTCACGTCTGCAGACGTCTTATAGTGTTTCAGCCTCGACCTGTCCGCGAGGTAGGCATTGAAACTTGGTGCTGGAGTATTGATCAACTCCTGGGGAACCCTGGCCCAGCCTGTGATCTCAAAGCCAGTCACCAACCGGCAGGATGTGCACGCGTCAAGGCCACTCTCAAACTTCCCCGTGGCTTGGTTGTACTGCTCATCAGGTCTGCTTATGTTTAAGGAGACGATATCACAGTGACAACGGAAATTCAGCTCATCGTCTCGCCCACGGTGTTCAGACTCACCTGACGATCTAATTGGCTGCTCTCCGTGTTCACCTGCAAGGATACCCTCAATATTGGCATCACTGACCATCGGAGAATCTCTCCCTCTCCAGTGTCGATCCATACCAGCCAATTTTCCTGCATTGATCCATCCGGCCGCACCCCCATCACCTTTAACATCCTCGACCCAGAGTTGGACCCTGTTGAGCTTGTATTCATGACCAGATATCTCACCTGGGAAGTCGAGACATCCGGTCGCAAGCTCGCATTCCCCGTCACCGGCAGAGTCAAAGTTGGCAATACTTGCTCCGCAGTTCTTGCAAAAGAATCTCAATATCGTGGAAGAAGATCGATACACTGCTAGACTATCAGAATTGTCTTGGTGGATCTCGCTCGGTATGGCGGTGGGTATGACTGCGAATGTTGCGAATAGTTGTCCCGTAGCATGACGGCAGGATCTGCAATGGCAGAGGCTTGATTTGAGCGGAAACATCTCCTTCGGGACTTTGAGATTGAAGGCAACATGCCCACAATGACAACGCACGTTCACTGGAATCTCGTGTGCCAGCGTGGAAGACATTCTCGCGCGTCCGTCTTTGGCCAGGAGGCTCCAGGAGCCCAGGTCGAAAGTCCCTCGTACACTTGGACAGATATAGCAATCACAAGCCGCGGCCCAGGCGAAATCCGATTCGAAGGCAAGACGGGGAAGTGCAGCGCATGTCTGAAGCAACGTGTTTCGTGGGCGCTGATCTTACGAGGTTGGCTACAATCTTACGAGGTGTCTCCCATGGATTCCACCCGTTTCATCACTGCGCCTCGCTAGTGCGTCACTGTTGAAGGCGGAAGGGCGTACAGAAGCGGGGCACGAGGCTGAAGCACAAAACATCGATTCTATGCGTGCGCTAGTCCCGGCAGCGGTATTGACCAAGGGGACCTCTGGGCGGCATGCATCCGGGCTGCTGCACGGGCATATGTATAATCGGCAATTCCCCCCTTTATCGGCCTTTGATGTCACATACCCTTGACTGGTCCACCTAGGCCGTGGTGTTCATGGACTGTGATCTCTAAAAACCTATCCTGGGCACCGTCGATAATTGATATCACTTGTTGGGCTCAGGTGGATATAGCATGGGACATTCTGGAATACTCTGCATTGCAGCGGGGTGTCTTATAGCTCCAGGTACTGTAATCTGTGCCTCGTGCCTTTGGGTGCGTTTTCAGCCACCGGGCACCCCTGGTCGTTCATCTCCTGCAATGACTAATCTCGCCTGTCCGTAGTGACGACTAGGAGTGACTGGGACCGACTGTGTACTGTACCGACGCCGTGTCCGGAATGTGGCCTGGTAAGCGCTAGACCATCAGGCGCCCCAGCCCTATGTGCTGTCTGTATACAAAAGGCCTCTACGCGGATTACTCGGTTCAGGCCTCGGGAAGACTAAATGCCACGTTCCATGCCACATTCCGGACAGGCCTGCTTCTCCCGACACCTTGGCTTGATACCGCTTCTCCTGGTGCACCCAACATAAACTGAGCGAGCTGCTGCGCCCACTCTCCTGTGAACATGACGAAAAAGAGTTTCAGCTCAATGCTTGACCATGACTGAAATGTTACCTCGATTCCAAATGTTTTCATGAACCGTCAATGACTCGAGACTGCTGGGGTTGCCTGCTTCCATCCAGGACCTTGTATTCCGTGCATGCACTGCCATGCTTTGCCGAATACCCGACAACCAGAATTCCTTTGAGCTCGGTCTCGTGTTCTTTGGCAGTACTGTGACTGACATGCTTCAAACTACTGGTTCTCTCGCGTCGTTGGCTTTTTCGCGTGTATCCACATGGCGAGCCCTACAAGGCATCGGTTTTGGCAATTGGTCAAAACAGCCAATGGACTACCAGTATACACCATGCAAGCTCATGACTGATCCCGCGAGCCCAGGTGAGTATATCTTCTTCGAAGTTCATTTCATTGTCTGCTGGTGTTCAATCTCGTCGCGCACATCTTCTCTCAAGCAGCCACTCGACAACTCTTTTCGTTCAATGGCTCTCTTACAACCTATGGACTTTTCGCAGGCCTCCCGCCCCTTCAAACCTCGCAAACCGCACACGAAGTCAAGAAATGGGTGCCAATACTGTAGACGCCGGAGAATCAAGGCAAGATAGCGCAAGCAGAAGGTCCGAGAAGAATCACTGTCCGCTAATTGCTCGTTACTTCTAGTGTGACGAAACTCAACCAGCATGCAATCGCTGCGTCAGCCGCAACCAACCATGTGAATATACGAAGCCAGAAAGCGACACGAGCAGGAGCAGAAGAGAGTCGAGGGGTTCCTCTCCGTCGCATCTTTCACACGCTACCACTGCCAGGAGCGCCAGGTCGACAAGTGATCCGATCGATAAATTATGCGAATCCCTGTCACCGTTCCAAGTCGACTCTGAATACAGCCCTCATAAAAGTAGTTCCGGCACACCGACGTCCCCGTCTTTGTCCCTGGATTGTGGAGTAGATCTTAACCTGGACCCAGAAGGCGTACAGAACCCTTTGATGACTTTGGATCAACCCAAATCGGCTGAAATCCCTGAAGTAGCCATCGTCAACGACCTCTATCTGCTCGACCACTATCTGCTGTACGGGGGCCAAGATTCCGCATTGATTCCACATCTCGCTTATGCCATGACTTCCGGGATCCCCAACTTGGCAGCCTATCACAGAGGCCTACTCTCGTCGTTACTCGCACTGGGAGCAGCATGCCACTGTGTCAATCTATTGACGGATTCTACTCCCACTTCCGAAGTCGACATCGTCCAGGCTGTTATCGACCTGATGCACACCGCCGACCGCTACCATCAGGAAGGCCTCGAAGCGCTTCGTCACGACATAATGGACCTCAACCACAAAAATCCTCACATCGCCCACCTCGAAGCGATCATGCTCTTTCCATACCCTCTAGCTAAACGCAGGATCGTCCGCCTATTGGATAGACTAAGCCGGCGTTCTTGCACCCTAACCGCTCCAATGATCCCCGCCGAATTCTCAGAAGACTCTCCCACGAATCTAGAATGGATGGTTTTCCTGCGTGGCATCACCACCCTCGGCCAGGTGTCCACCCGCCAAAGACAAGGCCTTGCAGACGATACAATGAATGAACTGTATCTAATTCAAAACAGCACGTTGGACAGAGCACTCTCCGCCGAGGTCCTTCGAATGGTCTCGCTCCACACCCAGCGCAACGTATCTGCTCCACCAGAATTTCGACCTCTCATAGGCACCAAACACCCACTGTACCCGGTCGTTTCCGCCACACGAGTCACAGCGATGCAAAAGCTCCAGACACGGATCGTCGTCCTGCAGCAACATACCCGCAGGCTGCAGCAAGACCTGTTTCCGTCGTTTGAAGCGACAAGTCGAATCTTCGACTATTCCGCCAGCTTGATAGCCTGCACACTAGCAAGTGACATGTTGCGAGGGATCACCGACACCGTCTTCGACGAGAACGCCGCTCAGTATCGCTCTGTCGAGCTAGACGAGCAAGAACTAAACACCTCCTGGCTGAAACTTTTCTCTGACCCCCCAGACTTCCACCCGGACTGGCCAATGCGCCGCGTCATCATCTTCTGGGCCAACTGTGTTCCTAAGCAGTACTTCGATCTTCTCATGAGCCCTATCCCGCGTGTTGACCAGGTCCACACGGAGCCGTCACAAGAGAAAGAACTCATCCTCGCCATCCACCTCCTGGCATGGGACATCTACGTCCATTGGCTTGCCTTTGCCATCCTGATTGAGGGTGAATGCTGGTACATCGGCGACCTGGGCACCTCTGACATCCGCAAGACCAGAGAAATGCTCAACCGGTACTCCTACAGCTGGGGCAGTGACGTTGTCGGCTTCTGCGAAACCGAGCAGGATTATTGGCCCACCGCAATGTGCTCGATAGCACAGCAGCTGCAACGGTACAGCTCCCCATCGCCCAAATCCCAAGTGTAAGATTTCTGCGTCTTTGTCAGCGAAACTGATTGGATCCATACGTGTCCATGTCATAGTAGAATTAGATACCGTATTAGCCTGACTTATACCCTGTCGCTTTTGAGCAGATGAAATAATATGTGGTTTTTCCTTTCCATGGCGCGTCCCTCCCTTCGCCTAATGCAACTAATGCACCTGATGCACGTTAGTCTAACAAAGCCAGGAGACCTTTACTCATGCATCCATGACTAGGGAATCGCAAAAGGACGTCCTATTGCATCACATCGATGGCCGAGGCCTACGTTAGTGTCACCTAAGGGGGGAGATTGGCGAAGATTCTGGAAGCAGTCGTGGCACCGAGGACAGGATGGATAGGATGGAAAGCAAGGCTGAAGTGGCTGAGGCTATTAAAGGCTAGGATCGCTGGTGTGGTGATTGGGAAGTCTCATTAGCCTGTCAATAGCAAGGAACCCTGCCGGGCGATTCTTTTGGAAGCAGGTCTCCACTCGCCTGAAACACCTGCCTCAATGTGGTCGACTGACTGTCTTAGAGGCGAATCACCCATTGCTCAATGACCAGTTAAGGTTGATTGGAATCAAAAACATGCTCGTAACGATGGAGCCAAGATGCAAAGATACGAAACAGAATGGAATAGCTCATGCAACAGAATGTGTTAACAGCTACGTTGATGTTTTAATGCCGATGATGCCGATCATCTTCTGCTTGCAACACGCTGAAAGATAATAATGTTGGTTTCTCTCTCGGAAGGGCATCGTTGATTTTGATATAGCAACGGGCAATTCTGTATTCGCAGGATTCGGGACATACCACGTCCCGTCAGGGTGTGCTGCTTGAATTCCTCGTAGGTTTTCGTGGGCAGCTCGGCCGCTCGCGTTCTTCTACCCAGGCCGCCACATCGACCTTCCCGTAAGGCACAATTCGGGGGGATTCCTGTGTGACCATTGTTTATATGGAAAATTAGCCAATTGCAAATGCTCATCAGTCCCGAGGTCAACCATTTCGTGGAAGAATAGACCTCAAGCGAGTACGTAGGTATGCCGAGGGGCAAGTAGTGGCAGGACTACGCCTCGGATTGAGGTTGCCAGTGTCGGCATAATGTTGATCAGGCTATGCCATCAGGGTGAAATTCGAAAACGCATACGCCTAGTAGACAACGTGGTGCACTCCATTGTCGGCTGCCTCCTGTCGAAAGTCCATGTGCCGCTGGAGTCGGAAGTTTATTGAGAGCGGTACGATTACCGAGACCGGGTCGTACTCGCGTAACGAGGCGCAAGGCCCGCAAGGATCCCATCTGACAAAAAAACGCTAAAGCTACGTTAGCAGGCAGGGGCCGTCGGTCTAGACAAGGCTCGCAATATTTTGACTTCTTGCAATGAGACCGTTGGCGAATGAGGGGAAACGTAGCTGTGAGACATTGATTCGATCGGAGCTGCTTGTGATACAAAGTTCGATCGCATGATCTAGGAGGAGTGTGGCCTTCAAGCAAGCATGTCGATGGTTCCGCACGTGGAGAAGATCAAGATCGGGAAGGCTCTTTGCAGTATTGACGGTGAAAGTCGGTTCCGCCAACAGAGGTTCCGAAGCCTCGTCGATTGATGCAGACTTGCTTCAGCTCGAACTCATACACGTGGAGAGAGAATCCTTTTGCGAAATGGCTTTCCCCTAGTCAGTTCGAATCTGTCACTTTGAGCCATGGATGATGGATGGCTTCGGTGGCCGATGGACGATCACGAGGGTCAGGCTTTAGAAGAAGCCGTACAAATTCCTCTTCTTCTGGGCTCAGAAAACTCGCAAGCGGGCCCGGCCAACGGTTAGGATAAAATCCTATAGATTGTTCGAGATCAATGTAATACTCCCTGTAAATGTGCGGTACGACATCGATGAACTGTTCTGGAAAGGGTCCAAAGCATTTCATTTGCCTCCTCAGGATATGGTCGTGAACGAGGTCGTCTTCTGGGCCCTTGGATTTGGGTGCGAAAAAATGATCGCCCGCCATGAAAAACAGCGTCTGTGAGTTTGGTTAGGTAAACTTGGACATAGTGAACTGCCAGCTCGGCCTTACTGTCGCGCCTAAAGCCCAGATGTCCACAGCCGTGGTCGATGGCACTCGCAGGATCATCTCAGGGGCCCTGTACACGGCAGTGCCACTGATAGGCTCTGTATTCCGCTTTGCAGAGTTATGCAGACTCGAGTCTCCAAGATCCGACAATTTGATCTCTGCGAAACGTTGACTTCCCTGCCCGCGATTGGCTAAGATATTGTCGGGTTTGACGTCTGTGAGAGAGATCAGCCTTTCGAAATCCGGTTGCGAGTCTTGACTAAATCACCATTGTGTATAAGTCCATGACTATGGAGTAGAGCCAGCCCCTTGAGGGTAGACCTTACGGCTTGCTTGATATCCCGCCTCTCGAGCTTCTGTTGGCAAGAGGCAGCATAAAGGCTAGTATCTAATCGTTCCAAGATCATTGAGGGCGGATCATCGCTTGTATCGACCAGTTGCCGGATGTAGGGGCTTCCACGGCAGAGGTAGAGGGCATGGATTTCATTCTTGAACTGGCTTAGGGGAGCCCGCTTGATCACGACGGGCTTTCGGTCCAGATCGCTGAGATCCATCAATAAGACTTTCAACGGAGCAGCCGTTGGATGCAGTCGCCAACACTTACAAGGCAGGCCACACGTCGTGGTTATTGGCTCGGAACTGGCCACAGATGGAGTAGATGGACTTTTGGCCTCTCAATCGAAAGCCGCAGCCTAACTGGGGAAGTGTACTTTTCCGAAGGTGCTGCATGTCATTGGATGTGCCATCGAACAAGCTTCAGAGAGGGAGAATGGCAGATTTCTCAAGTTGGGGCGTGTTTTGGTCAGTTGCGCTGCGCTGCACAGGTTATGCCCGTGATATCCATCTGAGGTGAGCAATCAACCTGGGGTGGGAGCCCAGACGAAATGCCAAAGTTGAGACGATGCGTCCCAAACGACAGCAGCAAGGACCCAGAAGGGCGGCGCTGGATAGGCGGTGATGAAGACAAGACCACTCCGTATGGTGCTTGTGCGTTGCCTAACGCGTCGCGTCGGAGCCACGTTCTTACTTATGTACTTGTCTGAGTTGCGTGGAAGAGTCACGCGTCCCGGGCGGGGTCTGAGCGTTAATAACAGCAAGAGCGACACTGCATCCTGCAGCAAGCGCGACTGACTGACTGACCGACCGACTGGCTGCAAGGCTCTGCACTCCTGCAGCTGCAAATGACTGAGTCCTTTCAGCTGCCATCAAAAGTTCGTAAGCTGTAGGGTACGTTGATTCACAGTCATGGTCACACCGCCTTGGATGCCTGTTCAAGTGCGCTTGGTCTGCTGACAACAATGCCAACTCATCAGGCGTCATAGGGCAGCTAAACTAACTACAAAAAATCCCCGCCCTCATGCCCGTAGCCACCTGAGTTATTTCTCCGTCCGCAGCATTACTTGGTCCCGAGTCATCACCTGGGCTGTAGTTGGGTGGTTGGTACCGAGCATTCAGGCAACGCCCAAATAATGTTTCTGATCAGGGGCTGATGTCGTGTGGTGGCTTTGGGCACCTGCTCGAACTGGCTCCGCTACCCAAATTGACTGACCTGTCGAGTCAGGTACGCAGTTCGGAGTACCAATAGAGGCGTGTAAGGAGGGTGGCGCCTAAGTTAGGTAAAGGCCGTTGGGGGGGCTCGGGTGCCTCGGTGCCTAGAGTACTGCCCTATTAGTAAGGGACCAGAAGGCAGCCTTGGCTTGGTCACTACCCCAGTCTCCCTCCACCTGGCACCAACTCAATTGTCGAGGGGTCTGCCTTTGGCAGGGCTTCGCTTCACTTCAGACTTCCAGCACAAACAAGACGCCATCTCGATCGATTGGCGAGAGCAGGTTCAACTCATGATCCCCTTGAAACTTTCGAAGCGAGCGCGCTGTCGGTGACGAGGTCTCTTCTCATGGCAAGCGACAGTGTTTGACCACCAACAGGTGACAGGGAAAAGCCCGAGAAGACGCAACTTGATCACATCACGACCCACTGGCTTGTGGCCTACGAGTCAGGCTTCTCGCGGTGATCCCTAATCAATGGCATTTCGGCACCAGTGCATCGATTAAGGCGCCGTATCCGCCAGCCAAGCGAGAGGAGGTTCTTTCATCCTCATGATGAACCATACTCGTGGGCATAGGATCGCGAGGTGTTCGACGCACCCCATCGAGAGTGAGTGTGCCAGGAGCCTAGCGGATCGAATCTGGACGACGTGAAACCCAACCTCAAACTCGCTTCAACTTGTTACGATTGGTGATTCAGAAACCAGGGTTGGTCGGCCAATCACTCGGTTGAACCCCACTACGCCCCTGGCCTCATGGAACATGCTGCAACACTTTGGCGAGGCTGTCCCCCACCCTTCGTCTCAGCCTTGCCACGCCTTGTCTGAGAGCACATCTGTTCTTGCTCCCTTGACCTGGCCATTGGGCCGTGGTTGCATCGCGCATTCAACATCTCAAAATTGTCTGTCGAATCCAGCCACAATGCTGCTTTGTTCCTGCTCACCCTTCATTTGGGGGCTTCATGGGTGCCCATCTTGACAAGGGAACAGGGGGATTCTCAACATGGTAAGCCATCAACATCTGTCCGGTTCGTCGCCATACAAAATGAAGCCTGTTTCTGTCAATTCCAAGCTGGTCTTCCTCCATTCTGTACCGTCTTCATCTTGCCGTCTTCTTTTTTCAATCACTTTAGCTTTTGTTCAATTCGTCTACTGCTGGTCAGTCATTCACAACATCAAAATGGTTGGCAACATGACACCCAAATCGCTTCTTTTCTTTCTCGTACTAAACTGTGAGTATTTCCACCAACTCATGGGTATTTGAGCCAATTTCTGACTCACATGCTTCCTAGTGGCCCTTCTCGTCTTCGGCCAAGGCACTCAATTCATCACCGGAGCATGCACGAGTGACGCTGATTGTGCTTCTGGCTGCTGTGGCTTCAATTCAGGCAAATGCGCCGGCCCTGTTGTCGCTCAGGAGCGGGACGGAGGCTGTGGCTTTGGCGACGGGACCCCCAATGATCGAGCTGCTCAAGCTTTCCGTAACGGCCAGGCCACCACTCCCGCAACCACTGCTCCACCCGCCAACGGGAATACCAACACCGGAAACACAGGCAATACGGGGAACACTGGAAGTACTGGCACAGGCACTCAATTCATCACCGGAGCTTGCACCAGTGATGCGGACTGTGCATCGGGCTGCTGTGGTTTCAATAGTGGCAAGTGTGCTGGTCCTGTTGTTGCCCAAGAACGTGATGGAGGTTGCGGATTTGGTGATGGAACACCCAATGATAGAGCTGCCCAAGCCTTCCGTAACGGCCAAGCAACTACACCTGCTACAGCTGCTCCACCGGCGAGCAATGGAGGGAATACCGGCAACACCGGTAGCACTGGCAGCACTGGCAACACCAGTGGATCAAACAATATCGATCAGAGTGCCCCGGGCGCTCAGAACGTTGGCCTAGGCAATGCATCACAGTTCATTACAGGCCAGTGTCTCAGCGACGCTGACTGCGCCTCGGGCTGTTGTGGGTTTAACAGCGGAAAGTGCGCCGGTGCAGTTATTGCGCAAACTCGTGATGGTGGTTGCGGATTTGGTAACTCAACACCTAATGACAACGCCGCCCAAGCTCTTAGAGGAGCAAAGAAGCGAGACGTCGAGTTCACAGCATAAACTCGTCTCACAGCCTGGGCGGTGAGTGAGTGGCATTTTGTATTGCACAAAGGTGTAAATAACGATATTCGGCATGACAGGTTGCATTTGCGGGACTTTGATACCTGCTCACTATTTGAGTATTGCATTCTCGGGGATTGGAAAACCAGGAGACTTTTCTGAAGTGAGATTTATAGCAAGTGATCATCAAAGATCACAAATTTAAGACCTCATTTCCTGATCGCATAGACGCATGTATTACCAAAAGAACTTCCCAAGATCGCTGCGGATAATGGCTCAGAGGGGCATGAGAAGTTTGAGGGTTGAAACCCTGGTCAAACAAAAACGAGCAAAGCCATCATGGGACGCAGGTCACCGTGTATGGGCCGGCCCGACTCAATCGTGCAAATGGCTCGCTTGAATACCACGGACGACGATACACCGTCAGGTCCACAGGGATTTGGCGCAAGGACATGGCTAAAGGTGAGAGATTTCAAGCTTTCCAATTGTGAGCTGCCCAGAAAATATTCTTTTGGAGAGGGGGGAGGGTATGCCTTTTTGAAGGGGTATAGATCCAGCTCGACCGGACATTGAAGATTTCCATTTTTGAGGGGATCAATGCAGCCTTGAACTCTTCGCTTTAATGTGAAGGAGTCCCAAGTTAAGTGCGCTACGAGTCGACCTGCTCCGGAGAGCTAGCGCGAAGATTTCTTTGTGCCCAAAATATTATACTGTTGATCTCCTTGTCGTCTTCATGGACCAGTATTCGACTCGCTATTTCGCTTACCAACAAACTGCCGAATTGATCAGCCCACCAGACCTTATGCCCAAGTTTATCCATCAGGACCCCCCAGAACATCAGGATAAGGAGTGAGGCATTGTCTTCGTCCTTCAGAGCCTTGATATACTCCTCTCCAGCTATGTTGAGGAAGCCTAGAACGTACCCCAGCGAGAAGTCATCGACGCATTTCTCAAACAACTCCCCGAGCACTGCGAGAGCCTTTTTGCATGCTCCCCAATGCGCAATTTGCCTCATCCTTCGCTCATCTGACTCGTGGACGGTCGAGACTATCTTTCTATCGTTGAAGTCGCTTAATTGGGTCAGTGCTTCTCTCACTCGCTCGTCAATCGTGGTTCGCGGGAGGTCCTCGAAGAGTTTCAAGTTTCGAATGTAGGGGTTTGATAGTAGATAGTCTTCGTTGATATCCGCGATCGGAACACACCCGCGCAGCAATTCGAAATGAACAATCGCATTCTGCACCATGTCCGGAGTCTTGCTAGTGGCCGACTTGGGGGTAAACTGTGCTGACGCCAGGGCGAGTATCATCAGCATCAGCGACAAGCAAAGAGCTGCTTCATAGCTTTCCGGATTGATGAGTGGGAGGTGTGATCGGAAAGTTCCAAGTGCTAGTGCATGGTATTCAACAGCCGAGTTCACGTATTGCTCGTAGGTAGACTGTGGCGCTGATCTTGCACAGTCGAATGCTGCAAGAGCCAATAGCCCATTCAACAAGAAGTCGTATCGAACGGATAATGTTGGCACCAATTGCTCCCATACCTCTTCATCACCAGCACCAGGCGTACTGCAGCTTTTGTGCGTCAAAGTTGACCACCGGTGCATTAGTTGAAGTTCTAGTAAGCGACGGTCCGCCGGAAACTGAAGTTCATTGATTTTTGCCGCAGTGTGCGAGATCTCTTCTCGAACTTCGGCTATCGCTGAGGTCTTTGCACCGGATCCCGGGGTTGCATATTCACAGGCGGTCCCACGAAGCTTGCACCGGTCACAAGGCGGACCGCCTTCGTCGCATTTGATATGTCGACTTTTGCAGTTTAGGCAACCTCGGCGCGATTTCGCATGAGAACGGCGTGGTGGCATATTAGACTTCCAAGATATCCGAGTCCTACTACAATGATAGACGAATCGTAGAAGCGCGAAAAGCTGGTCCACTATGTGCACTCTGTGAAAGACTGAAGATCGAGCATGGGGAAGCTCGAGAAGCGTACTGAGTGCTCGTAAGCAACTTGGAACCAGACCATCTCCGGCCGATACGAACACGAGTACGGAGTACGGTTACGAGACCGCTGCCGGGTTGGATTAATTGGGGCTTTTCTAAGCGATAACTATTAGTCAACAGGCAGCTTGGCCTCTCCGCAGAATGGAAATTGAGGACGACGACGGTTCCTTGAGATCCTATCTTCATACTCGGCGTACAAAGTCTCAACTCCTACTCTGGGTGAGTGATACTCGTTTATGTGCATGTGGGTCTTTGCTCGCTGCTAGAATGGCACGCTCGATGTCCTCCGTATGTATACATGACATAACCGACTCCACGCCCGGCCCCAGTTCAAGGGGCATGTCCGTGAATCAGTGGAGGCCTCGATGGTATCATAATCACACAGAGAGGGGCTTTCCCTCTTCGCATTTAAAGACGGCCAAGATCCTAACCTTTTGCAGAATTGAGAAACTGGTATCTTCCATCGAAAGTCGAGTGCAAGATGTCCTCTAAAGCATCATTCAGGCACATCACCAGGATCAATTGCTGCGCCATCTCCACCTCGACGCGCCAGAACCAAACATTGAAACTTGCTGACGGCAGGATCCTAGGATTTGCGGAGTATGGCGACCCAGAAGGCACGCCTCTGCTTTTCTTCCATGGCTATCCATCGTCCCGCCTCGAATGCGGCCCAGCAGATGAGCTTCTCCGACGCCTAGGTATACGCGGATTAGCGCTTGATCGACCAGGATTTGGCCTGTCCAGCCCACAACCTGGCTGCCGTATCATAGACTGGCCTGCAGATGTACGGGAGTTCGCAAAGGCTAAACAGCTAATTCGATTCTCAGTATTGGGTGGCTCCGGAGGTGGACCTTTCGCCCTAGCTTGCGCACATATGCTACCACATAGCATGCTCACTGGAGTTGGTCTTTTCGCCTCAGCCCCGCCTTGGGTAGCAGGGCCACACTACATGTCTCTAGGTCGGCGGATGACAAGGTTAGCTGCTGTGCATTGGCCAACTGGACTGCGAGCACTTTTGAATGCAACTGTTGGCGGCTTACAATGGCTGGTAAACACTGAACCAGTGGCGAAGTGGATTGATGGCTGGTTAGAGGCCCAGGACCAGAAAAAGGAGAGGCGTGACGCTCAGAATAGCGAAAAAGCCGTGGAGGAGATGGTCCTAAAGAGAAGTACGGCGGAACGAAGGGAAGCGCTGGTGCACCTGCTGATCGGAGAGCCGTTCGCCCAGGGTGCCGAAGCCGCCGTCCACGAGGCTGAGCTCTTATCATCAGATTGGGGATTCCGTTTCGAAGACGTTCAATATGATCCGATTCGAATCTGGCATGGGAGAGAGGATAAGAACGCACCTATTGTGATGATACGTTACATGGCAGACCGATTGCCGCATTCTAAACTCCAGCAGTTCCATGGGGACACCCACTATACCATGTTCAAGCATCTGGAAGAAGCGTTATCAGACCTTGTACCACCTTCCGAGCAGCGGTCTGAGATTAGCGAAGGAAGTGGAGAGATTGTCTGAGGTTCATTCGGACGAGTAAGCGACATCCGAATTCTGTGTTTATGAGGGGACGATCAAGCTCGGGGCCTGAATTTGTGATGGAAATTGCTTAACGAACTTTGCCAGTGATATTGTTTGCGGACATCTGAGTGCGTGTTGGTTGACACGAAGCTTGCAGCTGCTGCCGCGTCCCAATGAACACTCCACGTGTCATCGTCGTCGTTATCACATATTGATGGGTTTGTGGCTAGCTAGCATGACACAAAGGCCACGCACGGCAGAGGCTGAGCGTAAAGGGCAAGCTTGGACAGTCGATCGAGGTCTGGATTTGTCTGTAATGCCCTGCATGAACAGGCGAAAGCATTCCAGCTCCGTGCCGATTCGTGAGCCAAGCCTCAAGTTGTCAGCATCTGTCAGCTGTCAAAACACGATGCTAAAGCATTCACGCCTGTAATCTTACGAAACTCTCAGAGCCCCTGGGCAGATCAATACTCTCTCCACGAGGAACGCAACCAGTAATGAATGCAACTTTCCAGCTTTGCATTTGGTGTTGAGGAAAGTAGAAGTCTGGCAGACGATTTCTCAATCTATGCCTCGTTGAGCGCTGAGTGGCTATTCGACCTCTGGGGACGAGCCAGGGGCCTCAAAACATCCCACTTGTCGGCTAAAGCCTTAACGAGCACAATTGTCATTCAGACTTGGTTGAGCACCAAAAAAAATTCCGAGCTGCTCCCAGATTTGCAGTTCTAAACTAGTGACAATACTACAGCAGCAAATTTTCTTTGGAACGCTGAATTACGAGAAGTATCAAATCAAGTGAGGACCCGTCGATGGAGCTGTTCTTACTCCGCGAATGGATCCATTATTAGCCGTTCCTCGACCATTCGTCTTGCCGTTGGGTATAAGGCTCGGGCGGCATTGCTCTGCCTGGCAAGCACATATTCAGGAGTCAATTCAGTGAAGCCATTCAGCTTCAGGTCCTTGTGCGCACGTTGTAGACCGAAGACGTGGAGGACATAAGTTGCAGAATAGTTAATGTGCCACTTTGGCCAACGCTGCGGTTCATCGAAGCGGTCGAAGAGGCCTTCCCACGAGTCACTGAGATCCTGGATGGGGCTTTCAGGGTGGATATCGTAGAATCGATTGTACGAAAGAGTGGTAAAGTCTCCTGGGGTGAATGCATCTTGCTCCATGATCAAAACCTCGCCGGGTTGTGGCACTGTTCTCGGAGCAAGATATGTGAGAAGAGTATTGCTGTGGTGTGTCCAGGTGCCGTCATAGGCCAGACTCATTTTCTCAGACCATGTTTCCATCAAGATTGAATCTTTCGTGGCCATATAGGTCCCAGTTTGGATTCTGCTACTTGGCTCTCTTCCAACAATAGCCTTAAACCCAGAGTATCTCAACGGCTTGATGTCACGGAGGGGATGGGCATCCCAATCAAGGTAAACGCCGCCGTACCTCCGCATCATCTGCAGCCTCAAAAAATCAGACTTGTGCTCGATTCCGGTGATTGTCCTGTTCCTACCGGGCACCATGGCTGGCGCGGTGACGTGGTTGATCTCGACGTTCGGCCGATTGGCGATAAGGAGATTCCACTGATCCCGAGGGGTCTCCGCCGCTGGTTCAGGTAGGAACCCGCCCTCTGGAATATCGGTGTGAATGTAAATCTTGTCGGGGTTCCAGTAGATCGAGGCAGCATACAGCGACAGGAAATGCTTGAATTCTAAGCGCGTATTGTCCTTTTTAGGGTTGAGAAGCCAGACATAATGGACGATGTTCGGGATAGGCTCGAATTCGGCATCGACCCGAGTACCTGCCGCAGTTTCAGGACTGGAAGCAACTGCCGAAGCTGCTGTTGTTGTAGCAGCTAGAAGATTCGAAGTCGAAATCTGATAGCCTGAGAACTGGGTGGCGATATAGAGAAGGGCAACCACAACAACCCCAATACCGACGATTTTATGAGAGGCTCTCGGTCGTATCCGAAGGATCATTGGGGAGAGCTTATCGGAGTCCATGACTGATACAAACTGGTATGTTTAGGGTGAAGCGTGCAAGATATCCTTCCGAAATGGAGGGCAGGTGGTTTGGGAGGAGCGTGACACAGCGGTAGAGAAATGTACACACTTGATCGGCTGACAACCGATTTTATTACCACAGCGCATCATCACAGCAGGTTGCGGTCCAACAAGGGTGACCGACCCATCCATACCCCTGAAATCGAGAAAATACGAGTTCATCAAAGCTTTGACGGGTGGCAGGAGCTTGACAGGAGAACTGTGACACGCCACGGTTGAAATCAGATGGCGCTTGAGCTTACGCCTGTGCCGTGTTATGTTCTCGAACAGTTTGGAGACATCAGATTTTGCATACGCATGAATGTCGATCCATAGTTCTCGCATATCGCTCACCTCAAGTTTGACTTGCAGAAGCGAAGACCGCGACACACTGTGGGTAGATGCTCCCGCCCCGCGTCTCGCGATCGAAGGAGGGAGGATCTTGGAGTTGCTGCGTCCAGCATTGCATCGAAGTCTTAGCGGTGATGGATTCGTGTCTCCCAACCTAAACTCGAAGGAATCATGGTATTTCGAGTTTCCTATGATGAAATCATCGGGTGGACCAGGCTTGAGCAGGCTGTCTCCCAAGTCTCCGATCTCTGGTACCTCACAGATCTCCTTAGGTCGGCAACTAAAACAGCCATCCCCAATGCCAAGTCCAAACAGACCGAGGCCTGGCCGATGGCTCGAATGTACTCCGTATTACTTGGTGCCACCCCACTCCTCTGAACTTCAGGTCGGGTACTAGGGATACAAGCTCGTGGAGGGCCATTGGTTCATCCTCTGACACATTGAGATGGACAGCACAGACAATATTACCTGCCATCTTTTCCAACCCAAGCCCCCTGCAGCATGGCCAACTTAGTCGTGGATGGAATTTTATCGATCCAGCCTCGCATGCAAAAGTATCCCACAATGCGTAAATACCGGCTTCAGGGGCCGCTGAAAGGCCACAACCAATTTTAAATGACACGCTTGACAGCAGCCTGGCAACGCAGCCCGACATCCATCAGGTTCTCTCCCCTGATGCTTGTGGTTCCGAACAACACGAGACCGATGGTCTGAGCATCGTAGAAGAAAACACCATGGATGCTCTATATGTATCCTGGGTGACGGCCTCTTCGAAAGCAGGATCACTGCTATCCTTGGCGACCAGATTGCCTGAAAGTCGCCAGAGAGCCTATAGCAGTGATAATGGAGAAGCAAGGCTACACTGCTGTCCCGACGGACTCTGAAGATGATGCAGTAACACCTATGTCTCCCCCAAAACGGGGAGCTGTCCACATCACCTTTCTGCTCCTCTTGTAAGTAGCAGAAGACATTGTCAGAGTGCAGGTTGCGAGTGAAGACATCCTCAGGCTAATATGTACCACCCCAGGTGTTGGGTATGTTTGAGCTCGGGCTTGATCATGTTCAATAAATACATAATTGGCTCACTGGACTTTCGTAAGCACCCTGAACTTACACCTCTCACCAGAGACGCCTATCAAGGCGTCTGTATGACTGAAATCTTGCTAACAGAAGGCTTCCCATAGCATACCGTATGTTACGTGCTTAACGCTGCTGTGTCCAACGGCCCCGTCCCGAGAGCGGAGCCGAACACGAACTGATATCAGTCTTCTCTAGCCACGACGCTTGTATTCTGGCACTGTGTATGCACAATGGCAGCTACGCAGATCATCGCGCGTTTAACAGCTACAATCGATACCGGAAAACAGTTCGGCACTAGTTCCAAGAAGTTCTTCACCGTCATCGTGCCGATTGGCCTCATGTTCACCGGCAGCTTGATCTTCAATAATCTGCCTTACCTTACGCTCAATGTGGCCTTTATTCAGATGATCAAGGTAACCATTCAACTATCGTGGCTGGGTCTATGGAAAATTATACTAATCTTTGCTCCGTGTCCTAGTCACTCGGCCCTGCAACGATAGTCTTTGCACTTTACACACTTCGCCTAGCGACTCCATCTTCCAAGGAGTGTGTCGCCATCAGTTTGATAATTGGGGGCTTCCTACTGTGCATCTTGGGCGAAATCAGATTTTCACTGAAGGGAACGACGTATCAAGTGTTGGGGCTTTTGTTTGAGGCATACCGCGGCGGGTTGACGCAGAAGTGCTTTACCCAGGAGGAGCGGTTAGACCCGCTTGCCTTTCTCTACTATTTTGCCCCAGTATCGACACTCGCGGTTGGAACAGTTGCGGCGGCGACTGAGTGGCAGGGCGATACCTGGGGCCAGACTGGCGAGGTTTGGAGCCATATCCGTGCAGTACACCCAACCATCTTCATCGCAAACGGTGCTATGGCATTTTCCCTCAATATTGTGATCACAGCTCTGGTAAGCGTGTTTCCCATTGTTGTATCGCCCACCGGTTCGGTTCCAATCCATCGAAAACTGACACATATTCTTCTCCCCAACTTTAGCTCAAACGGACCGGTGCGTTGACGATACCATTGCTCGGCCTAGTACGAACTGTTCTGGTCATGGTAGGCTCTGTGTTAGTTTGGAGCACCGTTGTCACACCTCTGCAGATGTTAGGTTTCTTCGTCACCGTCAATGGTCTGGTCTGGTACTATGTACTGAAGGGTCGCAAGAGTTAGACAGAACCATTTTTCGACGGCATTCTGGTCTTCGAGGATGTCAACAGTCTCTTCGCAACCCTGGATATTGCAGCAAGCTGCATCACACAATTCACAGGCTCCACAAGCCAACTTCTGTGTGAATTTCAATGACCGGCAATTCGCTATCCGGCTCGGAATGAGCTTCTGTTGCTGCACAACAGCGCAGCGTCGCCTTTATGGTCGAAATGTCCAACTTACAAATCATCCAGAACCTAGCATTGTTGAACGAATAAGGCGTCGCGCTACCCAGCAAACCCGTCTGCTGTGCCGTCAGTCAAATGAGAAACCCTCTTCGAAAATGCGGTACTCTCTTTTGAGCAAGGGACTCCAGCAAAGGGCGCAAAGGGCGGCCTAGATCATGTTGGGGGATTAATCCAATTAGATGCTAAGGGCTGAGAGGTATCTGACCTTGGACGTGCGGCCTCGACTACTCTTGGAATTCTCAATGCCATTCGCTGCAACAAGACTACCGGGCAAACAGATAAACCCAGTCATGCAGTGACTAACTCGGAAGAGCTTGTTCAGAGGTGGAGACAATGCAATAGGCATTTTCGATCGTTGATGTCATAATAATTGAGCAATGAATAGAACATGGAAAGTGAGACTCTTGCGTAAGAGGCACACCGTCAAGTATCCAACGGCGATATTACTAGTAACTAATTCCGAGCCCAGTCGCTCGTAAATTTTGATAACTTGGCAGGGTCCGTTTGACGACAAGGGGCCCCTTGCAGGTTAGCCTCGCGAGCTCACGATCAAGAGTTTAACAGTTTAGTTCACGGATTGAATTGGCTGATCTGCCACCACGAGTAATAATTGTCAGCAATTGACTGTGAAAGTAATCGAACTGCTCCATATGCGCATAAACTTTGGATTACTCCGATTTGTTATCATAAAAGCACATGAAGCGGCATTTGTTTACCGCTGAGATCCCCAACCCGAGCCAATCATGAGTGCGTTCAGTGGACTTCAAGTTCAATGTGACTGCCTTCGGACCTCGAAAACGAAGATGAGGCAGAGGTGGTACGAGCAGTGCCATTCCGACTGATTGAATCGAGTAAGTCTCTACCCTGGGTCGGATAGATTGATGTGCCGAATGTCTTGTAGGGCGACGAATGAACCACCGATGAGACTTGGAACGAATCTATCAAATGAGGACCGAGGGCGCCGCTTCTGTCCTCTTGTCCCAGATCTGATGTTCAATGCCGCACCGAGATCGTTCGCTTCAATCTCATTACTATTCCCTTTCCATCATCTGCTATTCCGTCTGCCAATTCTCACCTACTAGGCACAAGGTCTTGTAGACATGAGATCGCAACAATGGGTCCTTCGGGGTATGGATGGGATCGAGAGCCTTTTTCTCGAAGAATTCGACGTTCCAGACCCTGGAGACTACGAGATTCAGATCAGGCTGCACGCTGCATCGCTCAACTTCAGAGATTTGAAGGTCGCAAATGTAAGGAAACACCGACCATTATTTACCGTTGAGAAGTCTCAGACTGAGGCGTTGGCTGCAGGGAAAATATATATTGAAGGCCAGAGAAGGGGTTGTGCAAGGGTAAGGATGAGGACCAATTGGGCAAGCCCGGAGCTTTTCTGATGTTGAAGTCTTTTTCAGATCTGACGGTTCCGGCGAAGTCATTCAGACCGGGCCAAAAGTGACACGCTTTGCGGTCGGACAGAGAGTTTCACCTATCTTCCATGGGACTCATCTCTACGGCACCATGAATCTCCAGAACGCGCCATCTCAACTCGGAACGTTCCACGATGGGGCTCTCCGGCAGTATGCCATCTTCAATGAACAGGCCTGCGTGGCAATCCCCGATAATCTATCCTACAGAGAAGCAGCCACCCTTCCGTGCGCTGCATTGACCGCGTGGAATGCCCTGTACGGCGGATCTAGAATCTTAAAGCCCGGAGAGACAGTCTTGACTCAAGGAACCGGTGGAGTAAGTATTTTTGCTCTGCAATTTGCAAAACTCGGCGGAGCTCAAGTCATTGCGACGACAAGTACTGCTGCCAAGGCCGCCAGGCTAAAGGGACTAGGCGCGGACCATGTGATAAACTACAATGAAGATGCTATGTGGGGACAGACAGCCAGAAATTTGTCGTATCGCGGCCTGGGCGTCGATGTTATTGTTGAGATAGGCGGCGGGGGAACCCTACGTCAGTCGAAGCTGGCTGCTGCCATCGGAGCAGAGCTGGCGATGGTTGGTGCTCGTGCTGATGCTAAAGAAGGCCAGATGTCTCCAGAGAGCTATGAAGAGGAGATGATTAACCGTCGAAGGATTTTGGTCGGAAGCCGGCACTTACAGGAGGAGATGAATAGGCTGATTCAGCTATCTGGACTCAAGCCTGTCACTGACGAGAAAGTGTTTTCCTTCGCTGAAGTCAAAGAAGCATACCGCTACTTGCAAGAAGCAAGGCATTTCGGGAAGGTGGTTGTGAATATAATTTAGCCGGGTCAAAGCATAGTCCGCATATCAACCCCGAATGGTATTTCAGCCAGCAGTAATTAAGACTTGGAGAAGATCGTGCTAGATAGACCCTTGGAGCGTCGAGATGCGCTTCTGGTCCTGCGAGACGTATGAATATTTACATTGGCGTTTTTTCCAAGTCTTCGTTTATCTTTGTTATGAATCGAGGGCAAGCAAAATCACATCTTCACCGTCATATGCATTAGTTTGCTTACATATCAATGCAATAAGTGCTACAGCTTGGCACAAGACTTGTGGCCTTTCGTGGAGTCGTGCAAACTGGTCAGCATGCCGTCATCTATTTGCACATCGACGGACCTCGCTCGAATTTTATTTGTACCCGCACGGCTCGCAAAGCGTCGTGGTCATTCAATGCCACGTTGGGCTCAGCAGGAAGTCCACCTACTCTCCTTTGAGCTTATCCTGAGTCACAGAAAAGGCATCTTCCAACAGCTGGTTCTCCTCCTTTACATGGTTGGCCTTGAGCCCAGTGGCTACAGAGGCACTAGGATCTCTGCCAGCATACATGACGTGGCGTCTATTGTGATGTTCTGTCTGGTTTAATAACGTCTCAATGCGAGGTTGTACAAAACTCCAGGCCCCAGCATTGAGAGGTTCTTCTTGACACCAGACAATTGTCTTTGCATTCTTGTAGATGTCCAGGTTTTCTTTCAGTTGAGCCCACGGGAATGGGTTGAGTTGTTCGATACGGGTGATGGCGGTTTTGTTGTGGCCTTTCTCGCCACGGAACTTGTGGAGAGCAGTGTATACTTGACCAGTACACAATACTACGCGGTCGATCTCTTCTGGCCCAGCAATGGATTTACCGTGCTCTGGATCGGGGATGATCCACTTGAAGTGAGAATCTCCAGTAAAATCTTCAATGCTGGAGCGAGCAAGGGGATGGCGCAGAAGCGATTTGGAGAAGAATACGATGAGAGCTAAAGCTTGTTAGCAAAAGATCATAGGATGGGAAGAGGAACTTACGTTTTCTGAACTGTCTGTTCATCTGGCGTCTCAGGATGTGGAAGTAATTTGAAGGTTCGGTCATATAGGCCACCTGCATATTGCAATCTTGATGCTGGCGTTCTAATTTGTCGGCTGAAGGGAAGATGCGAGGCTCTTCGTTGCAAAGTTGCAGGTAACGCTCCACACGGCCTGAAGAATGTTCCGGTCCTTGGCCATCGTAGCCATGGGGGAGTGAACATACGAGGCCAGATCGTTGCAGCCACTTTACTTCACCTGAAGCGATGAATTGATCAATGATACATTGTGCGTTATTTGCGAAGTCGCCAAATTGTGCTTCCCACATGACGAGGGCATTTGGGGAGGATAGGGAATAGCCATACTCGAAGCCGAGGCACCCAAATTCGCTCAATGATGAATTGGAGATGGAGAAGGCTCCTTGTTCTTTTGTCAAGTTATTGAGGGGAGTCCAAGTTTTCTCGGTCTCTTGGTCATGAAGCACGGCATGTCTCTGCGAGAACGTGCCGCGTTCCACATCTTGACCCGACACGCGAACATGGTGACCCTCAAGACAAAGAGATCCAAAAGCGAGTGCTTCAGCGGTGGACCAATCAATGTTCTTGCCTTCGTCAACTGCCTTTTTCCTGCCAGCCAGAATACGTTTGAGGTTCCGGTGAATAGTGAATCCATCTGGGGCTTCGGCGATCTTGGTGCCGACCTCTTTCAAGATTTCCGTAGGCACACCGGTGGGAGGGTGGGGTAGGACCTCGGTGGCAAGCTCCTTGGGCGATTTGAAACCGTTCCAGGCAGACGTAAGCCACTCCTTTCCGGTGGGTTGATAGTCCTTGCTGCGTTCGAAGCTGTCGTTGAGCATTCCCCATACCCATTTTTTGTGTTCATCGATGTCCTCTTTGGTGAATGTGCCTTCGTCAAGTAGTTTCTGGACATACTTGTCAAGTTGTGGGACTTGAGACTCAATGCGCTTGTACATGAGAGGTTGAGTAAAAGACGGTTGGTCGGTCTCATTGTGGCCTTGTTTCCGATAACAGACGATGTCAACAACACAGTCCTTCTTGAAATCAGCTCGCCAATCGGCCGCTAGTTGGCAGACAAAGTTTACGGCCTCGACATCATCACCGTTGACGTGGAAGACGGGAGCGTCGATGGCTTTGGCAATGTCGGAGCAATAGGGTGTGGACCGGGCGAATCGAGGATCGGTGGTGAACCCGATCTGGTTGTTGACGATGATGTGGATAGTGCCGCCGGTAGAATAGGCTGGGAGGGCATGGAAGCCCATAGTCTCATATACAACGCCCTGTGCGGCGAATGCAGCATCACCATGCAGCAAGACACCCATGGCAGTTTTATGTGTAGTTTCATCGTCGTTGTAATGCTGAATAGCGCGGGTTTTGCCCAAGACGACTGGATCTTCAGCTTCTAAGTGGGAAGGGTTGGCAACTAGTGAAAGCTGAACGCGCTTTCCCGACGGAGTCGGTCGCTCGAAATTCATGCCAAGATGGTATTTGACGTCTCCGGAACCCTCATCCGCGGCCTCGGAGGTACCCGAGAACTCACTGAAGATGGACTCATTTGGTTTGCGAACGACGTTGCTCAAGACGTTGAGTCTTCCTCGATGAGGCATGCCGATGATGATGTCTTTGATGCCATAGTCGACGCTTCGGTCAATCATGGCTTTCATGCCGGGTACGAGTGTCTCACAGCCCTCCAGGCCAAAGCGCTTGTCATTAGGGTATTTTGTGGCAAGGAAGGTCTCAAAGCTCGAACTCCAGATCAGTCTATCAAGGATGCGGCGCTTGTCATCGGTAGAATATTTGAAGGGAGTGGGTACTTCCACGCGGTTCCTGATCCAGTCGCACTGCTCGCGGTCTGGGATGTGGATGTATTCGACACCATAGCTCCCGCAATACAGTCTCTCACAAGCTGCGATGATGTCTCGGAGAGTCATCTTTTGCCGATCTTCTGTCGCGAATCTCGGTAAGATACCGGGGCCGAGAGAAAATTCTTGGTCGAGATCTTTCTCGGTGAAACCATAGTGGTCGAGTTCCAGCTCTTTTGGTCTACGAAGCCCGAATGCTTCAGCCTCGCCTCTAATGCCTAAGGGATCCGTCTTCGCTTTGTGATGACCGGTAGATTGGTATGCTCGAACGAGTAACTGAACTTTTAAATGGTTGGTAACATCTGGATCTCCAGCGGTGACAGTGGCCGGGGACATGGTGGCAGCACCGTCGGCTTGGGAGATGAGGCCTGGAGGAGGCTGGAAGGCCCGGGAGGTGGGCATTGTGCCATCCTCCATATTGCGGAAGTAGGCTTGCCAGGAAACATGAACGGAGGTCGGATCGTGCTTCCACGAGAGGTACATCTCGTCGATGTAGTTGGCGGTGTTGCCTTGTAGGAAGGAATCATTGGGGTCCTAGCAGTCAATCAGCTTTAGGGAGCTTGATTCCAAAATCATGGGACTTACCACGCCCTTGTTGGAATCCTCCGCTGCAATGGCATAGTTTCTGCGCTGCGCTGAGCCAGTGGTCATGACGGACAGAGGCTTTTTCCCAGCCACCAATGCATTCTGCCGGGCAGCACTGATACGCTGTAGATGGCAAGAGGTAGAAAGGCATCTGGCCGATCTGGCCGCTCTCATCGGCAGCTTGCCAGCGGCGCAGCGATACATGTTTGGTTGGGTTTAAGGTCAAGTCGAGCTAAAGATATAGCGAATGATCCATAGGAAATGCAAAGGAGAATACAGACAGCCCACGCGAACCACCGTGGAGGGGAAGAGAGAGGTTTGCAGGGGAAGCAACGCGAAATTGAAGGATCAGGTCAGAGAGAACCTCGAGTGGTAAGAGAAATAGAGATGGACCTACAGCTGTGTGTCCAGCTTCACTGGAATCGAAATCGATGCTGGACCGAGTACGGAGCAGCAGAAGCCGCGACTCGCAAGGGGTGGGCAGGGTGGCCGGGTGGCAGGGCAGGTGCAAGGACAAGGAGCACGTCACATGCAAAGTCACATGTCAACCCGAGTTGGCACTTGGGTGAGGCATTTGTCGGGCCTAGGACGGGAGTGGTTTAGTTGGACAAAGACAGAACCAGTGGCAGTGGCGCGGCTGCAGTCGTAGTTGCAGTGCGGAGAAGGAGCGCGGCAAACACGCTCAGGGCCTGGCGAGGAGTTCACTTCCAACCAACCAACTGGCCTCGTTCGTTTCTGCCGTCGTTTCAAATAACCCCATCCACCAATATCTACCAACAGGGTCTCGGGACGGAGTACTCGTCCTGTAACTGGCATAGAAGGAGGTGTTCACCCAGTTAGGGGCACAATGTCGGTTACATATTCAAATTCTATAGGGGGTATCATTTCAATCAGCTCGAGGGGCTTGCTTTTTGGTGCCGTGCTTGTGCTTTAGATCCTGCTCTTCAAATCCTGTCTCCTGCTAGATACTCACGGTCGATGAGCTCATCCCCCCCCTCCTCGTCTGTGCGTCTCCTCTCAAGCACCCATCTTCCATCAATATCTCGCTGATAGCTAACGCTGTCCGCTCCACTGCTGGTCCGGCTGTGGTGTCCTTTTCGTCGGTCACTGGTGGCAGCTGGCGACGACGGCATCTCTTCTCGAGAAGTGTACGAGTTTGGCGCCGTTGACTTCTTCCGGGGGGTATTCTGCGTCAAAGTGGGTCGATCTGCTTCCTCTTCCTCCTCCTCAGACTCCGGAATACCTGCAGCGGGTGAGTGTTGGCCATGCATCGTTGACGACATTCTCGCTGAATTGAAGTCAGAGTGCGAAAACGCGTGATGTGATACATGCGCCAGAGGGGAAGTCACAGCATGTGAGCCTCCAGCACTGTTGAGACTTGATGAGCTGCCGCCGAAGGCTCTTCCCCGTAACCTCATCAACGCAGTAAAAGTCATGTCATCATCGTATCCCGGGGAGTCAAGCTCAAGCAGTTGAGCAATCCCGGGACTGGGTATAGATTGTGCTGATACTGGGATCCCTCCTGGCATCTGCAAGGATACCACGGAGTTCCGTGTGCTCCATTCACTGCGCTCCGTGATCGGTGTTAGACTGGGCTCCTGAAAGTTCGCTTTGCCGCTGTGGCTTCTTTTGACTCCGTGGGATCCTCGCTCTGCAAAGTATCCACCATTGATGAGCTCAGAATTGCCCTTTGCATGCGAGTGTGCGTAGAACCCGAATTCTTGTCCGTAGAATCCATCTTCGTCGTTCTCCAGCGCTTCTGCATTGGCCTCTGCGATCATAGGGTCATCCTCAAGGTCATCCTCAAAGGGGAACCCATCGTCCTCAGCAATGGCCGAATGGTAATTAAACCCAAAACGACTATCGTCCGAGATGATCCCGTGGTGACTATTTCCGTAGGACGGACAGGTGTCATCGGACGTTTGGCTAAAGCTGACTTTTCGATCGAATCGGCCATTCGCCGCTGCTTGATTCGCCGCAAAGGCAAGCGCATCATGATAAGCCGCAAGATTCGTCTCCGTAAGCCCTGCAACCGAGCCGTGCCCAAAGCTAGATTGGCTCACCTGGCGCGGCTTGGCAAAGCCTTCGGATTCAGAATCGCCCCGGTAACGCTTCTGCTCGTCAGGAAAGCCTTGTGTGGAATTACTCTCTTGATTCGTGGGCCGAGTCTGCCCATCCAGCGCACCGCTCGCTTTAACAGCCTCGAATCTGCGAGCATTCTCTGCAGGGATGTCACGGATCTTGCCCGTTCCATCATCATCAAAGATCTGCTCGTCAAACACAGTGTCGGTTGGGGGAACATCGAGATCTCCAAATTCGCCATCGTCAAAGTAGAGGTCATCGTCGTCGAACACCTGCGCATGTGGCCGAGAGACTTGTTGCGAACGCCGCCTCCCACGAACCACCTCGCCCGCACTAATGCCCAGGCCTCCAATCATGGAGAGCTTGTTAATATCAAGCTCTTCATCCTTGTGATCGTCATTAGGATGCACGCTGTGCGAAAAGTCTCTCGAATCTGCGATTCCTATGGCAAATCCCTCATGATCTCGAGGTGTGGGTTGTGAGCCGTTATTGGGGCTGGTGGGACTGAAGGTCATAGATTGCGGTGTGAAGTGGAAGCCTTGCAATGACTGTCGGTGCAAGGTCGTAGTCTTGATTACAGGTACCTCTGGCAATGGTGCGCTTGGGGGTGGATACTTGGGTGCAAGTGCATTAAAGCGAGTGTCAGAGATGTTAGTATCAGGTCCGCTGTCATCAACCGGCGCATACTTCGGGACCAGGGTGTTGCTGGTGGCATGATTGGAACCAAAACCGTCATCCTCCAGCGTGTATTTGGGCGCAAGGGGATCGCCTGGGTGAATGCCAGACTCGAAACCATCATCATCCACCGGGCCATATTTTGCCACCAGGGCATTACTTAGGACGACATCAGAGTCAAAACCATCATCTTCGCCATATAGATCAGCATTGAAGCTCGGGATTTCCTCCTCCAGTCCATCGTCTGCATCGAAATCATAATTGGCATACTCATCGTCCTCTTCTTCAATATCTTTGCCCGTGGATTTCTGAAGTGCTGCGTGTTGTTTGTGCTTTTCTTCCAACAACTTCTCCTGCGCCGATGATCCCGATCCGCCGATTTGAAAGCTAAAACGAGAAGACGTGCTTGTCATGTGTTTAGGAAGCGCTGCTGGAGGTGGCGGGTCGAACTTTGGTGAAGGTGTCCGTTTGGGAGGAGGCGTCGGAGGCGGTGGTGATGGTTCCGCTTGAGGTATGGAAGGGAATTTCTCCTTATCTTGGGGCGAGTATTTCAAACCTAAATCCGACTGCGGCAGCGCCATCGGCAGCTTTTTGGCGAAGGGTGGAACGTTGGCTGGATCTTGAACTTCGTGGGCAATGTTAAAGGCAGATATATTATGCAGATAGCCAGTCCGATCAGGCTGCAAAGCTGGACGATCATCTTGGAAATGCTCTTTGAACATGGGACTATGGGTGTGAGTTGGGGTACTAGTCAACGGGGCGAGTCTGCCACTGGGGAGGTCGTTTGGGCGACCGGGATCTGAGCCGGCCCCGGAGCGTAGAGCTGGTGAATCGATCAAGCCAATGTCGTTCTGGGAATACTGTCTTCGAGATCGCGGCGCGGAGAAATCATGGACCACCTTACCCCGAATGCTAGGGTCGAAGTTGTCAGGCATGGCCGGAACCGAGAGAGTCTTGATAGTCAGATTGACGTCCTCGAGCTTCTGATTCTGAGACGAACGCCGACGTGCCAGCAAACTCATAGGATTCAAGAGATTCAATCTGCTTTTCTTTCCAGTGGTGTTCTTGAGGTGGGTTGGATCATCACTAGTGCGATCAGACAGTTGGGTGGAGAAGCTATAGTTTCGCAAGTTCGGAGATGATGCATTGTCTGCGGGCTTTGCTAGAAGCTCAAAAGAACGTCCTTCTCGATAATCGCCAAACGAAGATTGGGAGGTCACGGGAGAGGGCCTGGACGAGACTTCTGGGGGATTCGGAGCAAGCCTTGAGTTGGAAATGGTATGCTTTGCTTCAACAACATCGCTTGTGGCAGGACGGGTATCATCACTGGAGAGTCGGTATCTCGGCCTTCCACCATCTTCCAATGCTCTTGGATAGGACTGCTGCTCGATCACAGGCGGCCGTGCACCGGGAGAGCCAACGGACTGGGAATGATAGCCATCGGAATAAGCCGAGGCGAGGTGGAGGTTGATGGTCGGGCTGTCTGAATCATCGGTGGCAGAAGCGCCTTCACCAGGGCTAAGGACATCGCTGTGCCTGTTCGGTCGGTCTCGGTCTTGGAATCGTCTTGCGAAGGAAGGAGAGGTGGGTGAGATCTGATCGGATCTTCGTCGGTGACGATGCAGCGGTATCCTATTGTTACTCATTCTGCGAGTAGAGCGATACGCTCACCGAGCAGTAGCCCCCAGTCTGCGTTGCATACCAAGATGCTATGAGGCTATGTAAAGCGCATGGCTACAGACAAGCCGTTGCAGATACGTCCGCGGGCTGATCGGGGTCGATTGCAAGGTGCGGGAGGTGTTGAAGAATAGCCGCGATGGAAAAGAGGTCGCTGTCGTTAATGGCGATGATATGTCGGTACCAGGGAACGGAGGGGCTATCGGGATGAGATCTGGATATGGACACGGGGAATGTTTGTTGTTGATGGATTGAGACAAGTTGAGTATCACAGGGTGGTCCTGTCGAGTTGTCGGGATCACAAGTCAGGCCCACGTTTTGGATCAGGATCAGGATCAGGACGAGGACGAGAACGTGGAGCAGATGGCAGATGTGGACGAATGATGGATGAGAATCACATTCATCCAATGAATGGGGTGAAAGTGGAAGGGGACGCGCACTGTTATCCGAGCCACAGGACGCCATGCCCGAACGGGCCCGAGGGCCCGGCGGCTCGAGATTAGGTAAGGTACGGAGGTCAAGCTGCCTGGGTGGCGCCTACTTTCAGGTCTACCTAGACAGCTCAGTCCCCAGTGGTTAGGCCCTTAGGCACTTGAACTTCTCGAGTTACGTACGACTCACGCGTAGCTGGTCCAAGCCGATATACAGAGGACGGTGAACCATGAATGGCTGTTCCCGAGCAACGATTGCGCCGCATTGGATACAGTCCTCAATAGTTCGCGCGTCTATACACTTTAGGTCCGTAGTTCGTACAATAATATGTAGTATGTGCTAACTAGGTATCTCGAAATCTACACCTCCTTCTCGCCATCACCATCACCTATAGAATAATATCTGGAAGCAAGCCTTTGCTTCCACAGATCGACTGTTCCAGTTCTGCGTCACTGACTCACTCTGGGCTCCAGGGTCGAGGGCGTTAGGGCCCCGGCGGAAGGTTCTTCCGCTTCCCACGTCCACCTGGTCGCCCCGGAAAGCCTCGTTGAGCTATCGGTCCAAGCCCTACCAAGCTGGCCCAAGCATTGAAAATTCCCATCCCCTCATTCGCCTGAATTGACATCGTTCAAGGAGAGTGGCACCTTCATCCCGTGATGGTGCTGACAGTATGTTGAGGGGGTGGAGGTACCGCTCAGCAACGCCATGTTCAGACTGGGGCGACGGACAGTTCTTAAGCTCTACGGGGGTACGAAAGCTGTACCTAAGAATGAATTGCTGACCGCTTCAGTCCTATTTTCACCGCTTCGTGCGACTGCTCATACCTCAATGCCCCTCACTGCCACCCTCACGCACTCTCGCCCTCTCGCCTATGCGCACGTAGCCCCCCTCTCGTAGAGGTTTCTGATAGGCATTGCCTCGGAATAAACCGTGTGACTGCCACTGCGGCTTGTCCTCCAATTTCAGATATAACCTTCTAGCCTTCGGGGATTCGACCATATTGTGACGTTGGTATTCTCCCTCCCCCCTCAGACCCTATTGTCTTCCACGATGAACTGCCCTTCGCGCCCAGATAACATCGAGGGTCATCCGGACTGGAATCAGAACCCTCGTGACTTGTCCTCGGATCTGACCACCAGGGCCGATCTCAATGGCATTGTGAATCTCAGAGAACAACGAGAAAACGAATCAAGTCTTAGCAACGACCAGCAAGAACAAACCAATGTTAACCCTACTGATAAGGCCGAGTCACCTGTGGCCGGTCTCGAATCCCCGCCCAATGTCAAGGTTGATCCCATGAAGCAGGAGAATCCTACCGCAACCACGGAAGGTCTTGCAACATCTGCCTTTCAACCACATTCTGCACGATCGCCTATGAAGTCGCGCGGACCAGTCTTTGTTCTCAACAAGGTCATCACCACCCTCCGAAAGTATCTCAAGTTTGTCGGGCCCGGCTTCCTCATTGCCGTTGCGTACATTGATCCCGGAAACTACGCCACCGATGTCGAAGCTGGTGCAGCCACCCAATTTCGGCATCTTTTCATTATCTTGATGTCCAATCTCTTTGCTATCTTCTTGCAGTCTCTATGCATCAAGTTGGGGAGCGTCACCGGCTTGAACCTCGCAGAAAACTGCAGGAAATACCTTCCCAGGTGGCTCACCATCACTCTATATCTCTTTGCCGAGTCTGCCATCATCGCCACTGACATTGCCGAGGTGAGCTGAGCTGAGCTGAGCTGGGCTGAACCGAGCCGGTCCTTTTCTGTCATGATATTGATACTCATCTCTTCTAGGTCATCGGTTCTGCAATTGCTTTGAATCTCCTGTTCAAGATCCCTCTGGTAGCAGGATGTGCGATCACACTCGTCGACGTTCTCGTCCTGTTGCTGTTCTACAGACCCGACGGGTCGATGGTCCGCTTACGTCTGTTCGAGTACTTCGTCATGACTCTAGTTCTGGGCGTCATGGTATGCTTCTGCATCCAATTGACTTTCATTGAAGACACTACAGTAGGAGAGGTTTTCAAGGGGTACCTTCCGTCATCTGCGATCGTTGAAGGAAATGGTATCTACCTCTCATGCGGCATCATCGGTGCTACAGTCATGCCTCATTCCATCTTCCTTGGCTCTGGAGTAGTCCAGCCACGATTGAAGCAATTCGATCGACAGAACGGCCACGTTTCTCTGGCCGAGGACTCTGAGGACGAAGAGGAGAAATACGTACCCTCAATTTATGCCATCAAGGCGTGCCTCAAATACTCTGTCGTGGAACTAGCCACGTCGCTCTTCACTTTTGCCCTGTTCATCAACTCTGCAATTCTCATTGTGTCAGGCGCATCCCTCTATCCCAAGACAGAAGCTACAGATGCTGATCTTTTCGGTATTTACGACCTCCTCAATCAGAATCTCTCCAAGGTCGCCGGTACCCTGTTTGCTATCGCCCTCCTCCTGTCTGGTACGTCCGCCGGGATAGTCTGCACCATGGCTGGGCAGATGGTATCAGAAGGCATGCTCCACTGGACTTTGAAGCCTTGGTTGCGAAGGTTGATCACAAGAGCCATCAGCATCATCCCTAGTATCATCATTGCCGCAGCCATCGGCAGAGAAGGTTTGAACCAAGCCTTAACAGCAAGTCAAGTCTGCTTGAGCGTTATCCTGCCCTTTGTTACCGCTCCGTTGATTTGGTTCACCTGTCGAAGCCACATCATGACCGTTCGAACTTTTCAGGGTGAACAAAGTGGACAAAATGTTAACATGCGGAATAACTGGCTGACTTCTGCTCTCGCCATCACCATTTGGCTTGTGCTAGTGGTGATGAATGTGGCGCTGTTGGTTCTTGTTGGCCTTGGAAAGGCCTAGAGGGGCCCATAATGGTTGTCAAGGAACAGAGGAACAAATTCCAATTGGAGGATGGATGCGATGAAACCTCGGGATAGAAGCATCGATTAGATGTTGGGGGGATGGGGGTTGGAGGAAGCAGAACCCTGGCAAAGGACAGAGATTTCAAGTGGTAGGAAGATTGGTGGACTCGAGCGTTGGTAAATTGATCAAACAGGGTAGACTGGCATATATATGGATCGGTAGAAAAGTCGCGCGATTAGGCGTCAACAGGAGAAGCGTCCATATCCGCTGTTGTCGGCCTTTTCATTTTCTGCAGAGCTTCCTCGCTCAGCTTTCCTGCCTCCTCCTTTGTGGCGTCCGGTAGTTGAGCTAGGTTTCCGATTTTGCTGAAAAACCAAGCGCGAAACTGTCAAGCACGGATGTCAGTTCCATGGGACGAAATGGACAGAAATATGCTCTTAGGCAAGCTTACCCCATCGAATGGCGTTCCCTGGCCGTGTGCCGGCTCACAGATGAAGATGAAATAGATCAGCGTGAATGTAATCAGGGTTTGCTGGAGAATCTTGATGCTCTTATTCCATGTTGGCCTGGCCCATTTCAAGGCCGCTCGACGGCGGTAGACCTTCTCGAAGTGAAATTGCTGTTTCGAATCCAAATCACGGAAGTCAGGTGGCCATTTCTTGCGCGCGCGGTACGGGTTTGTTGCGATATGAATGGGTGCGGGCTTGTAAACGGCTTTTGGCTGCCATCCGAACAGCATTTTCACCCACGTCGTAAATGTCAACTTGACACCCGGAATCTCCATCGGGGGGGTGCGTGCGCGTGGATGCGCATAGAGAGGGCTTTCGCCTGGAAGAGAGTGGCTCCGTAGCAAAGGGGAGCGAGGAGCGGACGGTGAGGCTTCGTTCTTGTTATTCTGGGAGGGGAATTGGCGGGTGAAGTTGGAGGGCGCATATGATGGGGGTGAGGAGGTATCAGAAGCATAACGAATCGTCCTGGGTGACTGAGACTGCCAGGGTCGACGACAGCGAGGGAGCGCCGCTTGCATCGCTTTCGCCAGCGAAGCCATCATCGACGGATATATTGCAACCCGGTGGAAATGAGGACCCCATATGGAATATGGAAGCGATAGAACCTACCAAATGTTCGATGATGTGAACTGAGCTTCGGATTATTATCTTTCCGTCCCACCACGCTCGGGACCTAGACACGTGCAGCTCCATCACATGACTGTGACGGGCCTTGCCATCTCGTACCTCGTTCCTCGTATTCCAGAAACCCTACTAATTTTAATCTCAGAGATGAGGTCATGCGTTTGCAGCATTCCCATTCGCACATGCCTCGGCCTGAGTGTTGTTTTGAGGCTGCGAACACGTGGGAATAACTGCACCGACGTGCCCGACACATCTTTCCCTGCGATCATAAATCAGATTGGTCCTGTTCTTCTTCTTCCTCCTTCTCACCGTCATTCATAGTTGAAAACAGTAAAGGCCACCGAAGGGTTTTTTCAACTGTGTGTACTACTTTCATCCAGACGTCCTTTCCCAACAAGCCAAGTCAAAATGGCACAAGGTCAGCTGCTGTATCCAATCGTCTCAACTTTGTAATTCTAAGCTGACATGTGCAAAAGCTCCCAATAAAGCCCAGGAGCGTCTTTCTCAGGTTTCCAGCCAACTCGCAGGCTCCGACCCGCGGCAGTCAGTCCTGGCTAAGTCCTCAGATGATGTTGTTGTCACCTGCGCCCTCCGTACCCCCTTCACCAAAGGGGGCAAAGGTCTTCTGAAAGACACTGCCGCTGCCGACTTGCTGGCTCTTACCTTGAAGAACCTCATTTCCAAATCCAAAATCGACCCATCTCTTGTTGAAGATATCGCTACTGGTTGCGTCCTGGCCCCTGGGGGTGGTGCTACGGAGTACCGTGCTGCGGCACTTGTCGCTGGCTTCCCAGAGTCTACAGCGGTCAAGTCTCTCAATCGCCAATGCTCTTCAGGCTTACAAGCTGTCGTGGACATTGCGCATGCTATCAAAGCTGGTCAGATCGAGATTGGTATTGGCTCTGGTGTTGAAAGCATGTCCAGCCAATATGGACCCGGCGCAGTTACCGAGTTCTCTGATCTACTGGAGAACCATCTCCAAGCGTCGAATTGCAAAGTCCCTATGGGTGTTTTATCCGAACAAATGGCCAAGGACAGAAAGATTACCCGGATCGATCAAGACACATTTGCCGCATCCTCATATCAGAAGGCACTGAAGGCGCAAGAAGCAGGTCTATATGACGAAGAGATCGCCCCGATCACCGTGAGATACACAGACCCAAAAACTGAAGAAGAAAAGACTGTGACGGTGAGTCAGGATGATGGCGTTCGACCCGGTATCACAACGGAGTCTCTCTCGAAAATCCGTGCAGCTTTTGCCAAAGATGGAACCATTCACGCTGGCAACGCTAGCCAAGTCTCCGACGGTGCCGCTGCCGTGCTCCTGATGAAGCGAAGTACCGCGGAGCGTCTAGGGCAGCCAATTCTGGGCAAATTCGTCGCAAGCTCCGTTGTGGGAGTGCCTCCTTTGCTCATGGGCATTGGTCCCTGGAAAGCGATTCCTGTGGCATTGCAGAAAGCTGGCTCTGGGTTGTCCCCTGAACATGTCGACATCTTCGAGATAAATGAAGCATTTGCCAGCCAGGCAGTTTGGTGTGTCAAGGAGCTTGGTATACCTTTTGAGAAAGTGAACCCCAAGGGCGGTGCTATCGCCTTTGGCCATCCCCTCGGTTGCACCGGTGCGCGCCAAGTTAGCACCCTGTTCACCGAACTGAAACGTACAGGGAAGAAAGTTGGGGTTACTAGTATGTGTGTTGGGACAGGAATGTGAGTCTCGGGCCATCATCTGCACTTTTGTTCTCTCCTGGCGCGCCTTTACTAATCTGAAATCTTGATAGGGGCATGGCTGCTGTTTGGGTGGCTGAGTGAGGATGTCAATATCGACTTCCAGCTGAAGCGGTGGTGGGTTATTTGCACTCTGAACCATTGTACGGAAAAGAGGAACATGCAAGGACAGACTGTGGCGGAGATGCTCCTGAAGGGCATGCAGCGGTATAGGAGCTCTGACATATCCATAGTTCGACTTGAAAAGCATCATGCCCTGATGTTTGCCTACTGCTAAGATTCTGGACTGCCGCCCCGCCTTTGATACATAAGTATTCGAAGAAAATTCAAACCAAACTGCAGCAATGCTGTAAAAGCTCTGACACCCGACTTGCGCCCAATCTAGGCTCCGATATCTGCTATTGACATTCATATATTCTATAGACATCATGTAACGGCCGCAGTAACATGTGTCTGCAGGCCAGGGACCCAAGGCCATGACCGTCGTGCCTAGGTTTTGGAGAACGGCGGTCTTTGCCATGTACGCGGATCCACAGGGGAGCCAAACCGCGATGGCTGCAGTCAGATGCCGGTTCGCATCAACATTAGCAACGACAGATTGTCTTCTAAGTTATGGTCGATTCCCATGAAGGCGCAGATGCTCATGCTCCCTTTACAACGGCAATCTGGGCCCCGTTCTAATTGATTTCGCGCCGAGCAAAGTGGAGCGTCCAAACCCATTTTTCGACGGGCGTATCCGCGTACCCAGGCGACAAAGCGGACCCTGAAACGGTACACATGTGCCTAGAGCAAAGGGGCTTTGGAGATCCCTGCATACGCCATCAACCGGGTACGCTGTGAACAAATATCTGTCAACGCTAAGACGTATACAGCGACCCTGAACGCTACCCGTAAACACCGAGCGTGGATACGGAACAACGGCCCTGATACGAATACTTTTCTTTGTAGGGGAACGTGCTGAACGAAAGCTCTTTCTGCAGACAAGCAATCGTGGCTATGCTGAAGGTGGTAACAATGCATAAATACATGGTAGCTTCCTCGACATCAGGTAAATATTTGCTTGAAAAGACGTCACATCGCTGGCTTTTGATTTACACCAGATTGTGGCCCTTCAACCTTCATAGGAACTAATAGTGGTCTTCTCTCCACAATGGGACTTTTCAAATCTACCGGCCTTGACCAGGAGTGTTCCAAAGCCGCTCAAATTCTCAAGTCTTTCATCGGTTGGTGCTCCCTTTCATCCCTGTCGACCCCCTTTGCGGGTCCACGGAAACTGACCGTGGCGAAGACAAAGGCAAAATACCATCAGATGTTGTCGCAAACGCAAAAGGCCTGGCCATTTTCAGTGGCTTTCGCGCCGGCATGTACTTTGCCGGCGCAGGGGGCTCAGGCATCGTTATTGCTCGTCTCCCTAGTGGAAGTTGGTCCCTTCCTTCTGCTTTCTCAGTCCGATCCGGTGCCTTTGGCCTCGTGTACGGGGTGGATGTGTACGACTGCGTGTGCGTGCTCAACACAGAAGCCGCGGTTGACAGCTATGCAACCCCGGAAATGAACCTTGGTGGTGGAGTAGCTCTGGCAGCCGGACCCCTAGGCGGTACCGCAAATGCGAAGGAAGTCAAACCAGTGTGGACCTATACAAAATCCCGAGGTCTCTACGGAGGAGTCACCGTGGACGGCACCGTCATCAAAGAGAAACAAGGCATGAACACAGAGGTCTATGGACCAAATGTCACCGCGGGCCAGATTCTCAAAGGTCAAATCAAAGCTCGCGATGGGGAGAGTGCAGGGCGAAGGCAGCTGATGGAGATCCTCGCACTGCTTGAAGGGAAGAAGGTTGACGCGAAGATTCTGCAAGAGATCAGTGCTGAGCCTACTCCTGGGGATCTTGAGCAGTAACAAATGGCGTGGACGGAACCCTCCTAATCGACATGTTGGTCAACATCACGGCGTTGAAATATTGGTTTAGACTGTACAGTAACGAAAGGGGAGCCAGGTTATTTGCACGATAAATCTATGGGTCAAATGACGTGTGCGTTCGGAGGCGCACAGCCGCAAAGTCTTGGCAGCTGTTACCGCGCGGGTTGGGATCATGTGACCCTGCCTTGGACTTGGCAAGTTCTACGGGAGATATTAGGGAGAGAATTCTGGAATTTAATATCATCTACAGCAACTACACACCTAATATTGTCCATTTCAGCGCTTTATCAACATGGCTAAGAAGCACGCCAAAAGAGCGCTGCAAGGCCCGCCGAATAATGGGCAAAATAAGAAAACGAAGATTTCCTTGATCACAACCCCACCACCAGATGGCCCCTTACCGCCAAAGACTCTTTATGATGTCGAGTTAACACAAGACGATCTCGAAGTTAGTATCGACACCCTCAATACGCTTGCAGAGACCCCTAGCGTCATTAAATCAAAAGATTGCAAGGGTTTACGCACTGCAGTATTTAACTTTCGTAATGCGTGTACAACTGGACTAAATGCGACTGGTCGGTTCTTGATTCTTGATGTACCTGGCGAGGCTAACTTTTCGGTTTGAGTTGACTCGAGTTTAATATCCCGCATTGGCGGAGCATTGGCAGACAAAGATTACCTTGAAGCTCGAATCCTTTTGGCAGAGATGCGTATACGATGCCAAGCTCCAAAATTAGGCGCTTTATGTCGATGGGTAAGGGACCTGGACGTTGTGAGTGGATTGCATGACCGGACCCATGAGATAGGTGCAAAGGGAAGCACAGAAAGAACACAGCTGCTCGAGGTTCTTGATGCCGTTTTGCGAGCTACGGGCCCAGTGGACTATACAATCGAAGAACATGTCGCTATGGACGGACCCATTGTTCTGAGAAAGGATTGGAATTTGAGAGGCACGAAACCAAGAGAGCAAACATATGCCTCCGTGCTGGATCGCAGTATCTTTCCTACACCCTGCGATATCACGTCTCGATTCCGAATCATTGACACCACTCCCGGCCCTCAGCGAAAGCCCCCAAACCTCCACCCTGCAATTCTGTACGCCTCCGAGAACGATGCCATATCTCTCTCAACCAAAGCACCTAGAACCACACATCACAAACACTCGAACGTCCCAAATTTGCATCTATTAAAAGATGTACTGACGTCTGAAGAATGCAGACACATCATCGGTGCGGCCGAGGTGATGGGCTTCACACCTGATGCACCAATTCGTGCACTGGGAGAGCAGAGTAGTGTTTTAGCCCACAATTTCTACTGGATCGTCGACACTTTATTTTGTGCTGGACTGTGGAAGAGGGTTCAATCCTTCGTTCCAGCAGTATTTCATGGAAAACATGTGCGAGGCTTGAACAGACGCTTTAGGGTCTACAGATATGTTCCTGGTGCCGAATACCGTGCTCATATAGACGGGGCCTGGCCTCCATCATCGATCGATCCATCTACCGATAAGTACATCTACGACGCTTCCCCTCCGCACTCCAAGCAGTCCTCACTTTTCACATTCCTGATCTATCTGAACGACGAATTTGAGGGTGGCGAGACAACCTTTTTCTTACCAAGTGCACGAGAAGGGTGTATGAACGCGTATCCCATAAAACCGGTTCAGGGGACTGTGGTTCTGTTTCCCCATGGTGAAACCGAAGGCAGTCTTCTTCACGAAGGCACAGGGGTACAGCAAGGCTCGGCCCCGTCCGCAAAGTACGTGATTCGTACAGACGTACTGTACGACTTTGCCCCAAATTCTCGATAATGACAGACAAGAGAAGAACGGGAAATTCGCATGAGTCAACATAACAAGACTGTTAGTTCGTATTTGTGACCGTTATTTTACCTCTTACGCCACCATTACTTTCGATGAATTTGGGTTTTTGTCGAACCCTACGGACAACCTAATTAGGAATGCAGTCGGGGTCTAATTATAGCGGAATTATCCCCGGAACTTGCACGTCATCTGCCGAATTCACTTGCCGAAGACCAGCGCTGTCGTTTTGCATCCACTAAACATGGTCGAGTACTAGGTAGTGCCATCATGCCAGGTCGTCACGGACGGCAAACCGGGTGCCACCCCAGAAACAGCGGCTCTTCAGCCAGACCCCATGCGGGGAACTTGGCATCCTGCATGGAAAAACGTGTAGAAGATTGGATAATTCTTGGTATCAGCTGCCGAACCCCCGGACCCTGTCCAGAGAGAAACACGCGGTCTGTTTGTCAAACGGTAGATGCCGGCCACAGATCTATGTACATAGTCATGACAGTGCCTCGCTTATCCAGTCCTCATTTTCTCCTTCTACACTCATCTCCCACTTCTTTCCAGTGCATTCTTCCCTCTTTACGGTGCTGTCCTGCCGAAAATGGAGCTACACCACGATGACAAGGTATGTTAGGCGGTTGCCCTGATCGAGCCCCAGAACATCTTAGTGACTTATCATTCCCTCTATGCAGGAGCGCCATGAGCTCGAGGAGGAGCTCCATGTCGAACTACTTCCTGGTACTGAAATTATGGCCGATATTGGGTCGCACCATTTCATCAAGAGTACCGGGAAAGCACACAGAGTCCTGGTGCCACAGCCGTCTGATAGCGCCCACGATCCTTTGAATTGGTCGTTGGGTTGGAAGATCTCGGCCATCGTCTCAGCCAGTTTCGTTACCTTCATGCAAGGCTTTGGTCCTTTGTCTCTGGCTCCTATGTTTGGCGACTATATCGAAGCATTTGATTGTTCGCTGGCGGACGCTGTCCAGTTTACCGGTGTTGCCATTCTTGTTCTCGGTTTCAGCAACTTCATCTGGTACGTGTTGCACTGTCTGCAGGTTTTCTCTTGGCTCATGCATTGTACACAGGGTTCCTCTCAGCACTTCCTTCGGTCGCCGTCCGGTTTACCTCTTTTCTCAGCTCGTCTGCCTCGGTTCCTCCATATGGCGAGCTCGAGCTCAAACATACGGCAGTTTCATGGGTGCTTGTGTGTAAGTCATAGCGGCCATGGGCAAACCAAACCCGAACTGACCGCTTGGCAGTCTGAACGGCATCGGGGCTGGTCCTGCAGAAACAATACAACCTGCTGTTATTGCTGACATCTTCTTCCTGCACGATCGGGGAAAGTGGAATACTTTATACTGGGTGGTGTACATGGGATCCCTAATGATTGCACCCATCATCTCTGGTGCCATGTCACTCCACGTTGGCTGGCGCAATTTCTGGTGGCTCAACACTGCATTGCTCGGCCTCTCAATCGTCATGGTGGTCTTCATGTTTCCAGAGACCAAATGGAATAGACAATTCTCTCCTGAAGTTCCTTCCCATCCCTCCCCTGAGGATCAAAAGCCCAACGCCGAGAACAATGAAGAGCTGAAGACCAGCTCGGCAAGGAACCCCCACTCGGACTCCATTGCCACCGCTCCGAATCCTCTCACAGAGACCGAGACCGCAACTCGTGATCCATGGCTGGGACGGGGTAAGCCCAGCAAGGCACAATGGGGCCTATATACTCCAAATCCTAATCCAATCAAGAGCGTCCTCCTTGATCTGTGGATTCCATGGAAGCTATTTGCATTCCCCATTGTCGAATTCGCTAGTTTTGTCGTCAGTTGGAGCTGCTCATCGTTCTTGACACTGAACTTGACTCAGACCCAGGCTTTTGCCGCTCCACCGTATAACTGGAGCAATCAAACAATTGGTTTCACCAATTTTGCCATTTTGGCCGGCGCAATGATCGGCCTGTTCACTGCGGGCCCATTCTCGGATTGGATAGCTTCCAAACTTACGGTGAAAAATCGGGGTATTCGCGAGCCTGAAATGAGACTCGTCGCCATGATTCCTTATATTGTGATCATGTACCTCGGAAATATCATTGTTAGCGTCGGGTACGAGAAACAATGGCCCTGGGAAGCAATTGTTATTATCGGGTATACCTGCGCAGGCATCCAGGTGGCGGCTATTCCAGGCATTGTATCCACCTATGCCGTTGATAGCTACAAGCCAGTTGCGGGCAGCTTATTTGTCGCCATAACTGTTAACAAGAATGTTTGGGGTTATGGCTTCAGCAAGTTCATCACCGATTGGATCATCGAGGACGGCTATATCCCACCGATCATGACAAATGCATCACTTATTCTCTTGTGGTGTTTGTTTGGTATCCTCTTCTACTACAAAGGCAAGACTTTCAGGAGATGGTCAAAGAACAGCTCTGTGCACAGCATGTGAAGAGAGGCCTAAACCTGATTGCTCGGATGGACTTGTAGCGATATCTCAGAAATTTCAAAACCTTGGCATGGTGAACTTACTGAGGGCGTCTGTTACCTTCCAGTCTATCCTGGCTAGAAAATCTAATAACTGCTCAAGCTGGGACCTTACACGATCCTTGAATGTATCATTTTCGACGTTCTGGATAAGTCCCAGAAGAATACTCGCAATTTGCCAGGTATATTCAAGCTGTGATACTTTGAATGAACATCTCAACTCACTCCTGCCTCTCCTTGCACTTTGTAACATACATAGGGTACAATCTGGAGCTGACTAAAGAAATCCTGAATCATTTTCATCTTTCGCATTGCCTGTGATAGTGGTTTTCCAGCCAATCCTGGTACTTCAAACATGCCATTCTCGATATATATCTCTGCAAAGACAATCAGCTCAAGGCAATAAAACACGGTCATGATAATGCTCTTCTGCACCCAGAAGCATTACCTTTGGTGAGCCGCTGTCGCGGTATCGTCCGTATCAATAGTTAATCCCAGGCGCTACAGTTATGCCGGGAGCTTGTGAGATAGGGTACTGAAATAAATATTTGCATGTGATATGAGCATGATCTCTGCATCTTTATTTCTGTAGAGCATCCTAGGCGCTTTTGGCGGCCCAAGAGAGTCTTGATCTCAATAGTCCTCCTTGCTCCAGCTGCTCAAACTGGTGTCTTAAGATGAAAACTTGTAATACGCAGCTCAAGGTTACCTTGCACGCTGCTATTAGCTTCAACTCGAAGCGGCTCGTCATCGTCACAGTTCTCGAGTAACGTAAGGTTGTCTTCAACGGGAGCTCACTTATGACCTAAAGCCAGCTCTCTAAAGAGGCAGCCGCCTTGCCTAGTGAGTAAATTGACTAGAAGTTCATGCGTAACTATTGAGACTCTACATTTGATTCATGGCGAACAGCAGTCTCGTTATAGACGTAATCCTAGTGCCAGCCATGCGCCCTCTCTCCTGCCTGTTGAATTCTGCAACGCGCCAGACTGCCATATACGGATATTTAATGAGTTGACCCTGGTTGTTCAAGATTCCGCGCATGATATATCCGCATGCCTGTTGGAAAGTATATCTCTTCTCGACAGGCTGGGATTATTTTCTGTAAGGTAAATCGAGGCAGCAGTACGTAGTGCGCCTACGTGCGGGTGCTGGGAAACGTGTACTGGGAAAATAGGTCGTTACAATCGTTTTACAAAATTGAAAATAGTTGGTGCCGCTGCTGAGTCTCCCACAAAGAGAATGGTCTCCACACTGGTCAGTCATCATGCATGAACATCGCTTGAACTATATGCAATGCTCACTTCCGCAACAAGAAATTCCGTTGGGCTTCCAGCAGAATTGCCTGGAACGGCGTACGGCTCGTAACCTCGCAATCTTGAGAGCCGCTGTCGATACAATCATGTGGCTTCCTTAAAAATGCGGCAACTGAAGCACTTATCTGCGTCGCGCGTCTGCAGATCATTACTGCAACGTGAGAAGCTTTGTGATATGGGATGTCGACAAAAGGTAGGACGGTGCCGATGAGCGCGAGCAAGCCATCATGTTGGCGCCAAAGTGACTATCGACGGAACAGGCAGACAACCTCGTAATAACGATCAATGAGTCAGTGCCACAGCCTCTGGAATGCTTTGGAATCATGGAAAACAGGCTCCAGGAGGTCATCTTGCCTAGTAATTGTCTATATAAACCAGAACGGTGACCATAGAATAGAAGACAGAAATCTCAACAATGCTGACTTGCCTGTATCGATTGGCCCGTACAGTTGTACAGTCCAAATCCTCCAACACATCAAGTATATTATCTTGGACCGAGGCCACAGCCATTTACCCTTTGCTACACTGAGGATTACAACACCTTGTGCAGCACCAGAGGGGAGGATTCCGCGGGTTGCAGCGACTCAGATCGCGATTCTAGTGGCTGAAAATGACCAGATGGGTAACGCTGAAGAATGTTCTATTGTGGGGGTTAACTCTACTCTCTCTACTGCCCTTCTACTGGGCACTCTGCTGTACATACACGGGGGGGTACTGAACCGAGTACTCCTTCATCAATCGAAGTTGATGCCTAGAAACTCTATCTGTGCGCATCAGTCTTAATGCTGTTGTCATGGATGTTGGAGGGAGACGCATAGACCAGAAGTTCCACTCCTCCTTCGGGTCAACCGTCTGGAGGTTATTTAACAGTGGATTCCCACCAGTTCATTTACAAGGAACTCTATTCCGAGCGTCGTCAAATTTCGGAGTCATTAATCATCTATTCTGGCAGTAGTTTCAGCCAGATTCCAACAAAACGCAACACTGCGGCCCTGAGAGGTCTATGTTTTTTCTGGCATCTCCGTTGACCATGCCAAGTCTTCCTTCGAACCCTGGAGTACCTTCTGGGCTATTCATAACTTGGTTCTTTGTTACTAAATACTGTCACCACCTTGACGCTCAGACCTTATGCTGCTTAGATGCAGCAGAATCACATTAACTTAAGGAATGCTCTCCGTCGGGAGCAGCAAAATGAGGAGCGCCTAGCCACGGTGCGCAGGCCCTGCTGTTTACTGCTACTCCCGGGAGAAGCACTTTAATTCAATAACGTCGGGAGATCTTGCAGGAATTAACCATTCGCCTGTCGAAGCACAACTCTATTTACAACTCACGAAGAATAAGCATAGACGAATACTGATCATCGGAAAGTCGATGCGATGTGGCCGCACCATTCGCCGAGTTGCAACATTAGTAAAGCCGGTGATTTGCGTATAGGGCTCTGTCATGCTGTCGCGGCATGTTTGATAGAAGTTACGCCTTTTTCAGACGCACCTCCTGTCATGCGCGGCAATTTTCCCAGTCTTGTAGATACGTGAATGGAGGTATATCTTCTCCCAGCTGCGTGTTTTTACCCCAGGCCTCCCATACATTAATTCACTCATTCAACTAACTCCAGTCATTCTTTTGAATCATGCTGTCCGCGAAGTCATGGATCTGCTGGTCACTCAGCATGGCCATCGCTTCGTCAGCGCTGGGTCCTTGCACTGACCACGATAATGCCGTGCTCGGCTTTACTAACCCTAACTGCCACCCCTATCCTCGTTACTTCACAATATGAACGAGTATCTATCTGCGAAGGGTTACTGCTTGCCACCGGAATAGATGCTCAACCGCATCTAATTTCAACACCTATGCATACGTGTCAACTGTCATTCCCTGCAGCTACGAACCTTCATTGGTGTCAACGGTAAAGAAGACTGACTTTCGGTCCTAGTATCTCGGCGATCCAACTCTGACGAACCGAAGACTATCCACTAAAGTGACTATTGCTCATACATCCACGACCTCGACTCTTACTCAAACAGACTACACAACAATATCGAAGGAGTGGAGAGCTAAGTACGAAGACCTAGGACCGCTCGCCATTCCAGAGCATCTAGACAGCGGTCTTTACACCGACTGCGATAGTTCAGAGGGGTCCACTCAGCTTCTCGACGTGGTGGAGTGTGACAACAAATCCCTTGAATCACTTCGGTGCAAACATGGCATGCAGAAATGGCTTCTCCGAGCCACACAGGTTCCTTCAAAGGTTGTTGCGCACTGTTCGACGGTAAGAGCTGTATCAACAGCTGGTACCTATACATTTGGATCCCCTGAAAATTGTTCACCTTACACATTTCACCCTGCGGCACGCATGGTAACTGTGCCTATTGGCAGTGACCGTCCCACTGTAATCACGCGCATAATCTAATCAAAAACTCTGTGCTCCTGGAACAGTATTGGACCGCATTCGTGACAAAATCATGTAGAGGGTCAACGAGGTTTGACTTGGGGATCGACGTTACTAATAAGTGTATAGCTTATCAGTCTTGACGCGCCCAATTCGGCTTATCCACAAACTGATCCGCCAGTAACTTCTGACGGAGATATCGGACGCTATGCTGCACTTCCATTCATGGTCCACCTTATGTTTCGTGATGGCCTAGGTCACGGTATCTGGTGATCTTATGCAAACGACATCATCTATGTTGAGTATAGTTGTACCTCGTACGCAGATAACACGAAATATTTTCATTGCCAGATTGAATTTCCCGTTGCTACACCTAACCTAGTAAAGCTTCTTTACTATCAAACGAATACCGATGTCCCAAATGCCGTGGGTGTTCAGAGTGACCCTAGAGTTCTACTGTATGGAGTCTTTGTTGGCCATGCTTCAATGCTAGAGCGGCCGAAGCAACAGCTGCAAAGTGATTGTTCCATAACCATCTCACTGTTTCCTCCGTACCCTCAAGTCCGATGTGTTTGTCCCCTGTTGTTCCAGCATTTCGCTCCGCATCGCTGCTTTGATTATACCACTCAGTCCAGCCTGTTAGGATGATCAATATGTCAGCCGTGAGAAGCTCAACTCCTTGTGAAGCGGCAATTTTCTCGATATCTATTACTGATATACATGTTCTCTCAACCGCTGGATGTTTGATGCCCTGCTTCAAAGCCCATGAGTGGTAGTCAATGAGCACACCACAGCCCACAATGCCCCCCTTTAAACTCCAGTCTCGTCTAAAAGTCAGTAAATGATAGGTCTAGGTAGGGCCCAGCTCACAGTGTATAGAGTTATCATTACACGCTGGGTCTTGAATCGATTCATGGGCTAGGTTGTTATAATGCAGCCTTGTCTCTTGATGGGCCTAATGTCCTGCTGTTTATCAGAATATGCTCGAACTCAAACAACGAAGAACCGTACTCAACCCGTCCCACTGGCTGCCACTCTGGGAGTTGATGGTGATTTCGTCATCATAAGCGTAGTAGCCGAGATTGCTTAGGCTCTTAATTGTATGTCGAAGAGGACTTCGGGCTACCGCAGGGAGTTGAGCATGCTGAAGCTGATAGCTGTGATTCAAATTAAGATCCTATTCGTGCGAAGAGCTATAATAAGAGATGAGGACTTACTTCAGACAAACAGCCTCGCCACGAACGATCTCATCTTTTGCTCTCAGAATAGTTTCTGGCCTAAGAAAGTTCAAAGTCCCAACTTGATCTCGTCTCCCATCTTTGTTAAAAAGGCCCCAAGCATATTATTTGGGTATTCTAGGCACTTCTGGAATACCTTTCCATGCTTGTAAATCACTGCCACGCATAACGAGGTCAGTACCGCCAGTAAGAACAGGGCAACCAAAAAAGATTTCGAATCGCAGCAATGTAATGCGTATATTTCTTTCAGGACTTGGTCGCGATCCTACATGCCCCGAAATCCAAAGTCAAGCGCAATCAGATCATAAGCTAGGGATAATAACAGAAGAAAGCAAATAAACAAGAGCAAAATATTGTCTAAAGAGTAGCGTGCTTGCGGAGAGGCAAACCCACTTCGACAGACCTTCGGCGTTGCTGGCTCACAAACCACATACGCCGAACGATCGGCGATTTATCTTGTGTTACGGACTTCAACATCTCGGACGACAAACAAAAATGGCGGCTCATTCTAAGTAATGGGGTTCTTAATTATCGTCGGCTTAAGTATAGTGCGACTTTAGTACAGCGACCGGATCTCGAGCTGACACTATCGCGGCTGGACTTCCTAGAAGCACTAATCAATTATAGTCTTATGATCTATAAAACTAACTAGAATACCCTAACGAAAGGAACTCGTAGTTCTAGTCTAGAGAGCAACTCCTAATGGTGTACGGCGCCGAGCGTATATTTGATGATATCTTGGAAAAAGCGAGGCATCTTGTCCTCAACGCATGGAAATTTTCTATATTGTTTAAAAGGGTATAACAAGAACTTTCATAGTACCTTAGCCCTGATATCTGTAATTTATCGCCTCCCCACGTTGATCAGAGCACCGAAGGGATGGATCGTGCTGGAGATAGTCTTCTTCGACTAGAAGGAGATCTATAATAGACTGAGATGAACATCTTAGCTTAGCTTGGAATGACGATGTCGATTGAGATATCCAATCGTTAGCTCATGGAAAAGTATAGGCAAATATAATAGAGGAGCCTAGCTAGATTAACAAGTTAACCACGCAACTACTACATTCCCCGTGTGGAATAGGAAAATACACCTTAGATCCACCAGACTCTTGGTTTGTGGATTGGGCTGACTCCTGAGGATACTACTATCTAATTTAATATTGCGGCTACGTTCCACTTTCGCTCTTCCTGTTCGAAAGGTCAATTACAACGATTAGAACTGGCATTGATTGATTAATCTCCTCCAACTGTAAGGCTAGTAGGGCATTCCGGGCATGTCGTAATGCTCTAGAGTCCGCGTATTATTAATATCGCCGAGCAATATGACTAGAATTGCAGCTCCCAAGGACAGTGCCTTGGTGCCCATGAGAATCGCCGCGGAGTATTGTACCTCATGCTAAGTTAGCGCCCTCGCTCGGCGAAAAGGATTTTCAATTCGTCTCGATCTCCCAATGAAGCAAATGCCCACGATGGCGATATTCTAGTGCTGCTATTAATGTGTAGGCGACCAATGTAGAATAAGTACTAGCTATTTATCTCTTGGTGTCTGGACCGCCAAAGGGTGTTCGAAGTGATAGCTATATCTAATTAGGGCTCCAAGTGTCGAGCTCATTTACTGGGAGCGACATTTGGCATCATCGAATAATATCAAATCTTCGGAACGTGATCGAAGATGAAATCTTACCCCTCTCAGACGCCTTCTAATGGTGAGTCCAAAGCAATAAAGTAAAATATTGTAAGTTCGAGCAGTTGATTAGTTTGAGTAGGATCAAGTTTCACTGAAGTTATCCATAGCGACACATATCCATTCATTGACTCTAAAACAAGGTCCAATCTCACAAATTGGGCAGTCTTTATTACTGGAGGCAATCGCGGCGTTGGCAAAGCAATCACTTTATCATTTGCACGAGCCGGTGCAAAGTTCATCGGGTTAGGGTGCAATGACGGCTTTGGCAACACTAAGAATGAGATACAAAGCATTGCGAAGAATGCAAACCGTATTGCACCTGAGGTGCACTGTCTACTGCTCGATGTGACCGATCGTGGATCGGTTTCAGCTGCAGCAGCTCAAATTTAGGTTTTGACCCCGGCACTGGACATATTGATCAACAGTGCTGGTTTTATGACTCCAGCACTTCCTGTGACGGAAGCCGACGAGACTATATGGTGGAAGACATTCGAGTTGAACCTCAAGGGCATATTTCTAATGTCTAAGTATTTCACCCACTTCTTACGGCGTCTTTGGGCGGCCTGAAAACAGTGGTAAACATTAATTCCTACGCGGCACATAACCTTCGCGTTAATACAAGCGCCTATGGGACTTCGAGATGGTCAGTATTAAAGTTCATGGAATTTCTATTGGTTGAAGAATCAAATAATGGTCTTCTTGGGTATTCGATACACCCTGGAGGCACTATGTCTCAGCTTGCCAAAGCTATGCCAAGTGAGGCCCACGCTGGTAAGCAGGGCTTCTCCTTACAAGCTGTGTCTGCCTTGGGAAGAACTGACATAGGCCAGCACTTACTGATAAGCCAGAATTGGTGGGGGACACGATCACATTTCTTACGCAGGAGAGAAGGGAGTGGCTAGCTGGCAGATTTTTGAGCTCCAACTGGGACATGGAGGAGTTTTTGGAGAGGGAGGCAGAAATTGTAGAAGGAGACAAGCTGAAAGTACGTCTTGTTCTGTGAAATATTATTATGATACCAAGCGGTGACGACTCAGTTATTCTAGAAATCTGGGCCAGACGATGAAGGCGGCTGTCTTGGACGCGAATGAGATGGCATAACCTTTTCTTACTCTCTAATAAGTCCTTGGTGGGATGTATTGTAGCACTAATGCAAACATTTCCTAGTGGTAAGGGTATAGCTAAAATCAGTGGTTTATAACGTGGGGAATTTCTGATAGATTGTTTACGGAAGTAGCCATTTTATTTCCAGGAAAGCAATGCTTAAGGAGCACTAATTTCGGGGCTTTCTTCATCGGTAATAGAATAATCTAAAACTGTGTTTGACTTGTCAGCCCCCTATTCATTTGGCCTAGTGCGCCATCGAAAATCTGCGCCGGAATATGGTTCTCCACGCTCAAGCGGAGTTGTGGGTGAAATGTGGAGTGAGAAGGATTTCGGCGATATGAACCTTTCGAAGAGCCCTAAACTTGCCCTCTTCCAGCTTCTTAAATTCATTTCAACCGTTCTACAACCCTCGACTTCTGTGCGTGCGAAAGGTTCAAGGGTTTATACACTGAAGTTTAGTAGCGGCTCACATGAGATATAATCAAGCATGACTCAAGAATCATTTCATGCAGCTCAGTACTTATGTTTCTCCTCCTTGATCAGAGTCTGCGATATCAGCTAACGGCAGCTGAAACGGTGCTTTGTTGTCACCCTTGGAAGCTTGATATATGCCTATGCCTCATCCATAATAGGAACAACTCTGGCACAGCCCTCCTTCATACAGTATTTCGAAATGGACAATCTAAGTGGAGCAGTCAATGGCGTCTTCCAAGCTGGTGGTCTAATCGGAGCTTTGGCTTCTGTTTCCATTGTTGATACATATGGGAGGCGAACGGGACTATGTCTAGCTTCAGTATTAGCCGTAATTGGAGGGGCCCTACAAGCTGGTGCTACTCATATAGCAATGTACATTACGATGCGCCTGATCTCGGGGATTGGGGTGGGTGAGTCGAAGGGCTTATTCTTGAGGATCGAAGCTAACTACAGTGTTCTCTTTTTATTAGGAGCTCTTATCACGCTCGTGCCGTTGTACTTGGCCGAGGTAGCGGCAGCGCAGATCCGAGGGCGCGTTGTTGGTACGACTGGAATTATGATCGGCGTTGGCTATGCAGTAGCCAGCTGGATAGGATTTGGCTTTTACTTCGTCGATGCATCTAACACGCAATGGCGCATCCCAATGGCAATACAGTTTATCCCTCCTCTTTTACTAGCTGTGGCAGTTTGGTGGCTTCCAGAGTCTCCTCGATGGCGTATGTACAATACTCTTACTATGTGAGTTACAAGACTGACTAGAAATGGAAAAACTAGTCTTACTCAAGGATCGGCTGGGTGAAGCTCACTTGATGTTCAAGATGGCACACTCCGCATCACATGAATTGGAAGTAGACGCCGCCGTCAACCAAGAATTCCAGCTCCTCCGCTCGCAGATACTTCAAGAGAAGCGCAACGCTGTAGGTTTTAAGGATCTATTCCTTGATCCCACTCTGCGCAAGCGGACTCTGCTCGACTTTCTCACCCTGTTTGGCGGGCAAGCCGCAGGAACTCAGGTTATCAACAATTACGGGCCATCATTATGTGCTGGTCTTGGATACAACACAACAAATACCTTTCTCATGCAATGCGGCTGGATTACCACCGTCATATTCGGAAATATCATCAACACTGTGTTGTTGGACAAGTTTGGTCGAAAACAGCTTCTCATTGTAGGGTTCCTGGGTTGTGTGGCCCTTCTAATAGGGGAATGTGTTTCTGTATCCCAGTATCAGAGCACTCAGTCTCACTCTGCCGCTGTGGCAGCCGTTTTCTTCCTTTATCTGGTAGTGGCGGTGTGAGTATTAGAACACAACCCGCTGAGGATGTCAACTGAGTCTGACATACATAGATATTCATCTACGCTCGATGCAACAGTTTATGTGTATCCTTCGAAATTTTCCCGACGCCCGTTCGAGCTAAAGGAATGGCTGTCTCGGTGGCCGGTCTTTTTCCTTGCATCGATTCTTATATTGTCGGCTGCCCCCACCGCGTTCGAACAAATCAAGTGGAAATACTTCCTCGTATTTGTGGATGCTAGCTCTGCTATGGTGCTTGTGGTGATCCTTCTATTTCCAGAGGTAAGGTTCCCTCCATTGGATTTTCAAGACGATTCAAAATATTGATCTGCTGTCCTAAAAGACTAAACAAAAGACCCTTGGAGAGATATCTGCCATATTCGGAGATTATAGTCCAGATCCTCAGGACGCAGATAAGGGACAGCCTTCGGTGATCCAAGCCGAAGACTCTACGACCACTCACCAAGAAGAAGTACTGAAGGTCTAACAATTGTGAAGAGGTACCGCATGCTTGTCTCACGTTCTCAAAGGCGACGCTCGGGAAAATTGAACGAGAGTAGGTACCCGACCGGTTCAGGACATGAAAGCCAAGTTGGCAAAACACATGTGTCAGATCTTCGGGATCGAATATGCTTGTGGGCCAGTGAGGAGTCGGTGTGAAAATTTGGTACATGCAAATTAAGGGGCGATGGGGGAAGTTGGGCATCGTTGGAGAGAAAGCGACCCAATTCGATTACAACCTTTGTGGACTTTCAAAATCATTTTCAACATCTTCCAGACCCGTAAGAAGACCGCGAGACGCGGAACTCAATGAGTCTCCATTTATGGAAGCCGCACTTTCACTTAGATCTTTTACAGGTGAGCTTACATGACTCGCGGAAGTGAGATGCAGTAGCAAGTTGCTGGCGATTTCTTTCTTTGGAGACCGTTCAAATGGCTTGAATTAATGCTGAAACCATATTGCTGTAAATTATAGATGTGCGAACTGGCGCCAAAGTTCTGGGACTATGCGGGTTCTTTGGTGAGTTGATGAACTCCAAGGCTCGGTCTGCGTTTTCGAGCCCTGCGTTGGCCCAGAGATTAGCTATGACAGTAATAATGATCATAATTCCGGTCTCGGCTGGGCCGGTCCAAATAGGCCCACTAATTCATGATCTGACTGATTTAGTAAAGGGATATTTTATTAAGAGGCGAAGATAAGTTAACTACGTCTTGCTGCAGAAATGGTTAGTTACTAGAGTGTAAATTAATCTCGATATGAAGATCCCTATTGTAGTCGGAAGCGGGCTCATTCGGATCTATGTTGTGAAAACTCTCTTGGTCCACAGTTGAGCATAGTGCTACTCAAAATCACTGCCCTATGCTGATTGTGTCGAATGGTTTTACAGACACGATATCATTGTGACAGTTCGCTCAAATGCCAAGGGAAATTTTGTGGTCGAGACCTTCCAATCTCTTGGAACTCTTTCTTTTGTCATTATCGAATATAACATTCCCGAAAGCGTTCAACGAGGCTGGACATCCTCGCCAAGTTTTAAGGCAGTAATTAATTCAGCATCACCATTTTACACAAATACCATCGATCCATGGTGGGATCTGCTTGACCCTGATCACAGGAACAACCAGTGGTCTCTATACCGCCAAGTCATATGCGCCGTAAGTCTGTCGTAGTGGTTACTTCATCTATAGGCGCCATGATCAATTTCTCGTCGTCTCAAACAATATGATGCTAGACCATGGATCCTGACCACTTATGGAGACGTCATCGAGAATTTTGCATTGAAGTACAATGCGAGTGAGAGAGTTGCCGAACTTGCGGATCGGGATTTAATAGCTTCCGAGGAGTCAAACTTCACACTCGCTAGTGTTGCTACGCCATTTGTTTTTGGGCCTCTTCCATAGAATTCTCATTTGAATGTCAATAAGTCAAAAAATGATTGGTGGACGGATCATTCCAGTAAAGCCTCTCTCAAACACGTAGCTGCACTGGCCAATATCCGGGTAGTGGAACACCTTGGAGCCCGTGGTCAACGTTTTCTCATTGTCGGGGCCTATTTGAGGAATAAGAGGATGATTGGCCGTATTCATGGACCCCAAGGCTCCCATCCGCTCTACCAGATGTTGTGGAGAGTGATGTCCCCGAAAAAATCTTTCGTACCACAGTAAATCTTCAAAGGTAATTCTAGGTATTGCTTACTGGCCTCTCGAGCAATGGATCATAGATACAGTAAATGGGCTTTTGAACTTTGAAAAAACTCTGAATGGAGATTAAGCTGGAACTAAAGCGTTTCTGAACCGATATTCCTATTAAAGTGTAAGACGAGCGGAAGCGAAATCTATCTGTAGAATTTCTTATATGTGAGGAATACATTCTCAATGGCCCATGTTGTGACCGACTCCTACCGCAGCTGTTGCTCCTGCATCTACTGGAAGTATAACTCCTGTAATCCATGATGCTTCGCTACTAGCAAGAAAACGAATTGCAGCGCCAACATCCCAACCTAAATAAGCTAATTAGACTTAAAATTCTATGGAACATCTCCACAACTTACCTGATCCTTCAGTTCCAAGGATACTTCTCTTTTTTCTGCTCTCCCGGATAATATCGCTCATAACGCCCTCGATTCCTCCAACCATTGGTGTATACACTGCCCCTACGTAGATATTGTTAGACCGTACTTGAAGACAACATAGAATAAGGCCACTGATTCACCTGGGCAGACACAATTCACTTGAATGCCGCTACTCCCGTGGTGCGTGGACATTGCCCTCGTCATATTTACAATTGCACCTTTTGTCGTAGGGTGGATAATGTCTGGGGATCCACCTCGGATGCCATTGACGCTAGCAACATTAATAATGCTACCTAGTTCACGAGTGTCTGTGTCACGTTGTTTCTCCAACATGACCGGAATGGCGAACTTAGCCATGGAGATCATACTTGTCACATTGATTTGGGCTGCAATTGCCCATTGCGTCATATCCACATCCACAGAGTTGCCTTTTGCACCATGGATACCAACATTATTCACGAGTACGTCGAGGCGACCAAATTCAGTCTTCGCAAGCTGAACGACGGCTTCGCAATCATCCAGCTTGGTGATGTCGGCAACGCCAACTACCGCCCGCCCAGGAAGCTGGAGATATTCAATTATTTGGACGGTACGTTTTGCGGAGGCTTCGTCTTTATCCACTCAAAGCACACTTGCGCCAATTTCCGCGAGCATGATCGCAGTTGCTCGCCCATTGCCTATCGAGTAGCCTAGAGCCCCAGCTCCAGTGACAATGGCAACTTTTGATTGTAGCGTCCTAGAAGGTCGCTCGGACATCGCTTGTTTCTCATATTCTGTGATTGGTATATAATCATAGGAGTCGAATTCGCTATTTTCTCCGTTCTTTCTAGCCATCGATGCAAGTCCACGAAGCCACGAGTGAGATTTCTTGATCGTTGTAGGTGGTCGCTTTTGAGCAATGGGCGGGGAAAATACAAAACGATATAAGGCTACAGAGCTCACAAGTATTGGGACAGCTTGTCTGGGGCTCGCCATACCGATGCGGTGATAACGGAAGAGGCATCGCACTGGCGTTCCTCAGATCACCAACTAAAAATTCCTTCGGGTCGGCTTTCGGCGATGTCATCGCTTCCATATCCGAGTATCGATGTCTGCAGACTGAATCCCCGAAGAAAAGCTGTGTCCACATCAGTTGCTTTTGACTCACGCTATTGCCTGTACAGGGTTGACTGATGTGAGCATTATTGTGTGGGCTGCTGGCAAAATCATTCGTAAGCGAACGCATTTCAAGCCCAATTATGGCGATCCCTTTACGTTTGCAAACTACCGTGAGACGATGCCTAGCATCCCTAACAGGAGCCATAGCCAACTCGCGCAAGATTGCAGTAAATTACTACCTGGCTGTGAATCAAGCGATCAATCCAAAAGTAGAGCTTCGGTTCTCTACATCGGCAACCTTTAACTAATACTTGATGCTAAATATGAAATACCTGTGTTGTGGCATGATTTTTTTGATTATGCTTGTGAAGTAGTCAGTGGTGTCTATCGTGGTCGACTTTTATCCCTTTTGGAGGCAAGGGAGTCGACCACTTAATATCTAGGTGCTGTAGTAAAACCAAATTAGCACGGTTCTAATGCTTTCTAATAGCCTCCAGGAAGGACTACTGAGATCTTTTTGCCCAGCCTTTCTGTTTCGATTCATTTGCAGAACATGGAAACACATCCACCACGTTCAAAAGTGTCTTGTCATGTGATATCACCACAAATACACGACCATTCTCAATATCGACCTTTTGCAGGGTTTGAAGTGTCTTGGTGGCTTCTGTCGGGTTATAGGCAGCGCTGGGCCCATCAGGAAGATCGGATATTTTCATCAAGGGGCTTGTTGTCCCCTGTGGTAAGTAGACGCAGTTCGTGTGCCTGATGCGGGGAGTTGACTCATTCTTGCATGTGATCACTTCTATCTCCACAGGCTGAGGAGAGTGAGCTGATGGTCGCAATTGACCCATATGATGACAGCAGTCACCGGCAATTAACACAAAGTTTCACCAGCATGGCTGTTTTGCAACGTCGTGCGAACCAGACCTGAGAGATGGCCCACAGCATGGCCTGGTGTATGAAGAAGATAAAACGAGCCATCACCAAATAGATCGAACGAGGGAAATCCAGCCACTGTGGGCGTCATGTCCACTAGCTCGATCAGCTTCCGCCCTGAATAATCGGATTCGAGAACAGGACTGTCATTATTGGTGGGAAATCCAGGTATTATTACTCTTGTAAAGCCAGGACCGACTACTAGGTCTGTTGAGGGAGGTAGTCTTGACATATCACCAATATGGTCCCAGTGCCAATGACTCCACACCACGGTATCAATGCTCTCAAGTGGGATACTATTTTCTTCTAGAGTGGTAGGAATGTCTTTCTTAACATCGGCTGTCCATCCAGCCTCTCCCATACGGCGCACCAAAAATGGAGACAGGTTCTGCCAGTCCTTACGGATTCCCATATCGAAGAGTACTCGTCCTCCGGCCGGACGTTATACCAAGAATGAGAAACTTGGAACATGATCAAGTTTATCAAGTCCTTCTATGATTGGTGTAGCAAATCGTGACCAATGGTATACTAGGGAGACATCCGTTGCAAATGATGCTGACATCAACGGTCACATTCCCACTAGGAATGATGAATAAAGAGCTCATGTCCATCGACCGGCCATGATCATAGACAAAGCACAAAATATCAGTGTTTCATAACTGCGGAGGCGCAGTTTTGCCGTTCCCCGACTCTGGGATGCAGGTAGGTCGGCAATTTAGAAGCTGAGACGATAATGTTCGGTGATCTCGGCGTTTTATACCATGCCCTTCTACCGATCAACAGGGAAAAGAGACAACCAATTCCACTGTCGGCCAAACATCTCTCTAGCACATGACGTTTGAAGTTGTAGATAGCTGGAGAGGTGATTGCCATGATAAATGATTCACCAACCCAGTCCAGCTTGAGACGCCCAGCGACATGGAATTTACCTGAGTTGAAGTATCAGACAATGTGCTCTTCGATTCTCTTCCGTGAGGTAGTGGATTATCAGGTACGCTAAGAAAGATTGATCCGTCGGGAATTCTCTCTAAGTTCGGTCCAGTTTCAGGATCCAACGCTGATAAAAGGTGATATCTTCACCGAAAACTCTGAGGGAGGTGCTAGGCAACAAGGACTATTCCCGGTGGAAGGTATGAGCAAGTTCCTTTGGTCGCTGTCACCATTTGTCTAAAAGCCTGCTTACCATTCCACCAGATTTGTTTGATCAGTCGACTCTGGCTTATGTGTCAGACTACAGTGTTTCAGATTATGTACAAGCCATTGAACTAGCATACGAGGCATTTCCAAGCTATAAGAGCCTTGCACCGAGATCGCGCAGTGAGCTACTAAGGAGTTGGGCCATAGAGGTACGCCGCTCACGGCAAGACCTGGCGGCACTATGCACATTGGAATTAGGGAAACCGTTCAAAAAGTCCTTGCGAGCCGTCGACTACGCCATTGACTTTCTGCACTGGTTCGAGAATCTTGCTGAACAAGGATGTGGAGGCGAAACGATCCCAAATTCTTCTACCGGGAATGTAAGAATCTTCACGCTCCTCCAGCCAGTCGGCGTCGTGTGCGCTATCACGCCGTGGAACTCTCTATACTCGGGCGTATTAAAGGAAATCGCGCCGCGTTGGCTATTGGCTGTCCGGTCGTCCATAAGCCGGCCCCCGAAACATCTTTATATAGGATTACACTTATAAAGACATACGGAAGAGCTAGTAAATCCGTCGGTACCTAGGAGATAATAAAAGTAATAGTTTGAATATAGTAAAGGATAACTTAGCGTTAATAGAGATAACTATATTTATCCTCGTACTAAATAGTAATAGATATTATATATATACTAGTAGTAAGGGCGCTAAGTAACGCCTAAGATAGATACTATAAGATCCTCTACCGAAAAATAGCTACATATTAACTAAAGATAATTAAACTATTAATATTAAACTCTTTAGTTACTATATAGTTATAGGCTATCTCGACTAAGGAGTTAATTCGGAATTATAGGTCGCGGTCGGCCTTATAAGTATAGCTAGTAAAAAGATTGTTAGGAATGAGCGGGAGCTATTCGAAAGAGCTATATCGACGGATTTCTATCTAACTATAGGAGTAGTATCAACATCGATTCGAAGCGTAAGGAGCTTAGGGGAGCTTCGTACGCGTCTCGCGTACGATATACTAGCTAGTTACGTACGTAAGTCTTAGTATTCGTAATAAAGATACTATAGATTCTCTAGTATATATTCTATCGCTAGCCTCTTAATAGTTAGTTTTAAAATTATATCGAGTAGCTCTTTATTCGTAGAAAAGTAGGACTTAATATACTCTAGGCCGACCTATAAGTATATAGAGTTAGTAAGTATAGGAATAGGAGGAGATTTATTCTAACGTTATATTATATTAGGGCTCGAGGCCCGCTTAGTTATAAAAGAAGAGAAAAGGGGCCTTAGTATAGAAGAATAAGTAAGTAAGAAGAAAAGTAGATAATATAAGTAATAAGTAAGTAAGTAGATAAGAAATAAATAACTTAACGTATACTCTTATACGTTGAGTATTAAATAGTAGTTATAAGAGTATAGTTTATAGAATTAAGAGTATTTTCCTTCTACGAGTTCGGCTATATAACTATATAGCTTAAGTTTTAGTAGTAGTAACCTTTACGAATAAGGCTATTATAGCTTTACTTATATCTATTATAAGAAGTCTTAAAAGTATAGTATTATAGTTTCCTTACTAATATAAGTAAGAAAAGAGTTTTATTCTAGTCGTAGCTACTATAGTATTCGTTTTAGTATCGGTTAGTTCTTATTCTATAGTTCTAGAAGAGAGAGAACCCCTAGTAACGTAGCCCTACTCCTTTATCTAATATATAGAATAAACGAGAATATAAATCGATTTAACTTCTATATAATATAAGGCTCTCTACTAGTAAGGTTAAAGCGCCTAGCGTATAATAAACTAGTTTAAATAGTAATTAGGGGGAATTATTTAAGAAATATTATATAGTAAGTGTTAAGACTAAGCGATACCCTATCAAGGCCTAGTTACGTAATTAGGCTTATATAAGCTAAGATTACGTAGTATCTATTAGGCAAGGCTATACTTAAGCCTTACGGAAGATTCTATAAAACGCCATTCTATTCTATAGGATTAGAAATTACTTAACTTAATTTCTAAGTATCCTAGGAGTTAACTCGTATTTACGAATACTCGGCAATTACTCTCGTACTTACGAGATATTATGACGGAGCCTACGCCTATATAAAACAGGCCTATACTCCTTTACTTAGATAGATCTTAAGTTATTTAATAAGATAGAAAGCGACTATAGATTCTACTCCTTCTTTCTACGGTCTTCGACTACTTCTACTATAGATCCTAAACCTTATCCCCCGGACAAGGAAAAGGAGTTAACTATAGTATCGAACTAGTAATAGAAAATAGAAAGACGCCCGAAGTCCCTTAGAAGCCTCTATATAGAATATCTCGAGATAAATTACTCGTTCTACGAAAGACTCTTACGAAACTACTCGATAAAGGCTTTATTAAGGTAAGTTCGTCGTTTACGATAGCTCCTATACTCTTCGTACGAAAACCGAAAGGTAGTTTAAGATTTTATATCGACTATTATAGTCTTAATAAGATTACGAAGAAAGATCGTTATTCTCTACTACTAATCTACGAGACTTTACGAAATATTAAACGCGTAAAATAGTATACGAAACTCGATATTATAGTAACTTTCTATAAAATTCGGATCGCGAAAGGCGACGAATAAATAACGATATTTCGTACGAGATACGGCCTTTTCGAATAGATAGTTACTTCCTTTAGGCTCGCGAACGTACCTACTACGTTCTAGAAATATATTAACTAGATTCTTCGTAATTATCTAGATATCTTCTATTTAGCGTACGTAAATAATATTCTTATCTATTCTTTCGAATCTTTAGAAGAGTACCGAAATTATATACGATAAGTCCTTTAATAATTACGAGAAGCGAATTTCTAAATTAATATCTTAAAATACGAGTTTAAAGTAAAGTCTACTAAGTATCTTAAGTTTATTATCGAAGTAGAAATAGGCGTATAAATAGACTTCGTAAAGGTATCGATAATTCTAGAATAGGAAGCTCCTCGTATAGTTAAAAAAGTATAGAATTTTATTAGCTTCGCGAATTTCTATTAGAAGTTTATAAAGGAGTTCTCGATAATTATCTTATCGATTATAAAGCTCGTACGAAAGGATATTACTTTTTAATAGAACGAAGAAGCTAACTTAGTCTTTATATAGCTAAAGAAGATATTTACGATAGTATCGATACTCGTATTATTTAACGCTAAAAGAAAGATAATAGTAGAAGTAGATATATTAAAGTAGTATATCGGCGGTATACTATACTAAGTTAACGACGAAGGAGTCGTACGACTCTACGCCTTCTTCTCGAAGAAGAACTTATTCGCGGAATATAACTATAAAATCTATAATAAGAAATACTAGCTATTATACGATACCTAGAAGAATAGAACGCTAAACTACGAAGCGTAAAGAAATTCGAGATTCGATCTAACTATAAAAATCTCGAATACTTTATAATCGTACGGAAGCTAACGAAACGATAGATACGATAGTTACTTATTCTTTCTCGGTATAACTTTAAGATCTTATACGTTAAAGGAACGAATAACGAGCGAGTAGACGCTCTTTCCCGTTATAAATAGGACTTACTAGAAGACGAGGACGACGATCGACTTTAGTATCGTATAACCTAACTCTTAAAGCTAGAAATAGTAAAAGGGAGGAAGAAAGTACTATACGCGGTATCGATACTCTCTAGTAGATACTTATCTAATAGAAAATTAACGATAGTAACGAATTAACTCTAGGTAGCGGTAGAACTAGCGGACGATACCTACCGAGAAGTAGTAGAATATTATAATCTAAGCTAGAAGTAGTTCTAACTAAGGTAGAGTTCCTTAATAGAGTAGGTACTAGAGTATTAACTAGAATAATAAAGGGTATACTTATTCGTCGGACTATATCCTAAAATATAGGTATAGAATTACTAACGAAGTTAACTACGAACTATACTATCTAGGTAAATAAGTATATATATATAATGTTTAAAGTACTACTTTAGTATATTATTATATTAGAAGTAATGTAGTAATATAGTAATGTATCCCCTAGTTACATAATGTAGCCTCGTCCTCCATCGGCTAACCTTCCTTAAACTATCCCTTAGAACGTAGGGCGCCTATCCTAGCGACCTCATCTATAACCTAGTCCGTAATAAGTAGATAAAGATAATTAGAATAACTCTAAAAATTTAAAAATAGTTTATTATTACTTAAAAGCTCTTAGTAGTCTTCGATAGAACTTAATATTCCTAAACTTTAGGATACTATTATTATACTAATATAGAGATAATATAGAAATAAACTATATTACGATACTTAGGAAGATAATATTAGGAACGAATAAGCGCCGCTAAGCGAGCGCCGAGATTCTAGTATATAAGAGCTACTTACCGCATACGGGTCTTAGGCGAACCTTATGCTTTAAGCTTACTACGATAGATACGTTAAGATATTACTTATAATTAAGAGATAGATCCGATATTAAGACTATTTACACTACTTTACTAGTAGTCCTACCTATTAGTACGAGTAATACCTAATAGATAAGCTCTATCTACTAGCCTAATAATACTTAGAAATATTAAATATTTTAGTACTATATTTAAAGTATAAACTATCCTATAGACTTATACTAGTAGGTATACTCTTATAAGAAATAGCTAGGCTATTAATAGAATTAACGATTACTAAGCTCCTATCTAACTCGTCTATAGTATAAATAATATTCTCTACGATCTAGAGTAGCTATTAAGTATATACTTCTTATTTACTTATATAGCTAAATCTAAACCCTCTATCTCCTAGGCTAATTAAATATTTATCTTCTTAGGGCATAAAGTATCTTTCCATCTTTTTTTACGCTACTGTCGTTGGCCTACTAACAGGCGGCTTATGGTCGACTTGTATAATCTGTCCTTTGTCTCTACTATCGATCTCGTTATGTAGATTCGCAAATTCATTCTTGTAGGTCTTTTCTGAAAACGTTGTGCTCTCTGGCGGTGTACCGTCGGGCTTCATGTGCTGGAGATAGTCGTCGGGGTATCCAGTGCTATTAGTACTATTAGTACCATTGTTGAACCGTCTCGTCGGGTAGTCAGTATTGAAACGCCTCCCCAGTACAGATCCGCCGCCCACATACGGCTCTCGCTTTACAACACCCGCGGGCGAGGAGCCTTCGCCAGAGCCGCCACTTGATCTTGCGGGTACCAGTCCCCGAAATGCACCGTTCATCCCGGCGGCGGTCAGCGTAAAGGCGCCACCTATCCCGAGAGCTTTGTTTAGACGCCTATCTGCGCGCCGTTCTCTGTCTTCATGAATTGCCCATTGGAGGCCTTGTGTAAAGTCTTGGTTCTCGTTTTGGCGTCTGTCGGCCATCCACTGTGTCTCCCACTGACGCTCCCAGTAGCCTAACTGTCCGACCCACGTAATCCATTCTTTCTTCTGTTCTGAGTTGAAGCCTTCTGGTGCAGGGGGGAGCTGGCCTTGTGCTAGCCATTGAGCTATACGAACAGCCTCGCGACCGATTGGAGGCGGCATGCCAACTGGCGGAATGTGTGACGG